GTAATAAACCTCCAATGTCACTTATTATAACATTTATTTTAATCACCGCTTGGTTCTCCAGTATAGATTTAATTTTATTGATGAAATCAAGCTTGTTTGGAACAGTTACAATACGCAAAGTCAATTTATTTTTATTAAGATAGTCCGCTATTACTTGCAATATAATATTTATCGATAATGCGAGCTGAAAAAAAACTTTATGTATGGCTTACTATAATAATGACGATAAATGAAAAGAATTTAAAACTTCTTTTACCTCTGGTCAGACTTGATGTGTAGATATTGCGAATTTTTTTTTTTATTTTTAACTACTCAAATACCATTATTGCCAAAAAATGTTTATGGCAATGAATTCAAAAACAAAGAACATTTATACAATTTCGAATAATCCGATCTTAGTACAAAACAAATGTACCCTTTAAATTTCAAGTCTGTACAACCAACGGCTTAAACAGTGCGTTATTTTTAAATCAGTAATTCAGATACTCTGTTATTTGTATTTAAAGACAAAGTTATCATGATATCTGAGGCCCGGGCTCGATTTTCGTTCGGGTCAATAAAGTAAAATTAACTTAATTGTCTCGGGTATTATTACTTTTGTTGCTTCAGATTTCGTTAGTACAAATTGCGATGTCGTCTTATATTTATTAGATTAACGGTCAGTTGCACAAGCATCCATTAAGGTTTAATGACGTTTTCAAGATCTAATGAATGTCCAATTTGTATGTGTAATGTCGCTTTGAACTAATGACAACGTTTGTGCAACTGGCAGTAAGATTGTTTGAAAAATTGCATAAACAACTTAAAAAAAATCTATTATATCTATTTTATTATTTGAAACATATTACATTGGACCTATATTAAACAAATGATCAATTATTCGGTATCTCATTCATAATTAAATATATGTTTTAATTTCTTAAATGGCGGTAATTTTTATTTGTAAGAATAAAATAAAATAAAAATTAAATTTCTAAATATCTTTATCTAATTTCTTAAGATAGTCTTACCTAACTTTATTACGTAAATTACAAAGCAATTAATAAATGAAAACAATAGATAAAACGCATTGCTTGAGTGGATTATAAAATTTAAACGTTCATAATTTCCGCACTGTTAGATGTAAAGTCCACTTATGGAGGAAATTATCTATATAATAAACTTAAATACGTAATATTGATTTCTTATATTTTCACGAACACTATCCATTTGTGAATATTTAGTATAGCACTCCGTGTACTATACGTACCTACCGGCCGCATCTACCTCAAATATTATATGAACAACGAAATGTGATACGTGAAGATGACGTCGTACGGATTACTTCCATATAGCTACTATTTATAACATAGCCGTATTTTGTAGATATCATCCCTACAATCTGCTACGTACCGTGCACGAACGTTTACTTAAAATAAATATACTTACATCTTTAATGTCAGTTTGATAGAAGGGCTGGAACTTAAGAGATTGTAACTCAAGTAACTGGCGTATACGTGATGGTTTAGATTTAAAGAATATATTCTCAATAGTGACCCCACCGCATCTGTACCGAAAATAATAATAAAAGTGAATTGTCATTATAATAAGCTCAAAATTCTTAAACGTATTTTTAATTGGATATCTTTTTGGTATAAAACAAAAAGACTTTTATGGAGAAAATTTTGCGAGGATATTACTAAGATATCTCAAGGAGCCAGAATTCATAAAGTCTTAGCTAATCTCCATCTAACCAACTGGACTTTTGTAGAAACCTTAGGTACATAACTTTTACCGAAACTCGACGACGCTAATCGTCGTTTACACGGATTTCATAAAAATAGATAGACTACACTAACTATGTTTAAGTATATGCAGGAACTATTCAATATCTTAAACAATACAAAATACATTTAAGTAAGCAAACTGCCTATTTTAGAAAATACGAACAAAACACAAAAATAAAAAATATACTAAAACAGTATTTTTTAAATAAAGTATATTATAATATGCGAGAGTTTTTCGAAGAAACAAAGTCTATTATTTCTGCTTAATTTTTTACATTTTATATTTTAATTATTTATCTTTCAATTATTCCGTTACTTTAATTGTATTTTAATTTTATGTTTATTTTTTTTTATAACTTGCTGCGCCCTAGCAGCAATCATAAATGGAAACATAACATTAAATCAACCACCTAGCTAAACTACATGAAAGCAATAAAGTTGAATTGAATTCTATAGAAACTGCGGAGGAGACAATAGAACTTTTGGCGTCAACACACTTCACAGATTCAGTACTAATAAACAAAGACTATAAAATCAAAAAATAGTCCTTTGGGCAATAGAGTATTTTAAACCTAACAGATTTGCTGGTGAAGATGAAATCCTCCCAGCGCTTCTACAATAAGGCAAAGATTCCTCACGCCTATGTTGTTAAGAAACTTTAGAGCTATAGCTAGGTCCTGGAGTTATATACCGGATAGATTGGTCAAGAGTAAAAGTCCTTTTCATTCCAAAAGCAAGTAAAAAGGATTATGCACAACCAAAATCCTTTAGACCAATAAGTCTCAACTCATTTCTACTCAAATGTATGAAAAAGGTTATTGATATATGAAATGATATTACAATAAAAAGGGTAGATAGATCGTATCAGTACTAATACGATGACAAAAATTGTCTCCAGCATATACGCACGCACGTGGCACAATATTCTCCAATTATTCATAAACTATAATTGAACATGTCACAGACCACATGTGTGAGAATTTAATGCATGTTTCATGCCTACTTTTACCTCAACGATTTAAAGACTTCGACCAACGGTTCAACTTAAAAATGCTGATGTCTAACATTACTCTATTATTTCTCCTTGTCGTTAGTGTATATATTCTTTGCCCGTACATGTAAGGTAGAGCGTAGGCACTAACTTCCCTAAAAACTCGAATTGTATGTAAGTAACAACATACTCTTTGACAGAACTCTTTCACAATTTGCAACCGCAGTATTTGCTCTTTCTTTTTATCAAACAATATTTATTATTCTGTATTCTTACGAATAAATTGTGGGTCACATTTTATTCGTAAGTATACATTTGATCTTAAGTCGACTTACTTATGTAGTTTCTACAGTTTCGCATTACACAAAGTGGCATTTTAAAAATGAATATGGTACATAAACGCACACAATTAACGTTTTCGCCGCACTATGCTCAAAGTATGCTAATTACCATAGTTTCAAGGTGACACTTTTTGAATGCAAATAACTTATCTAACTATTTTTAAATTAATATCATTGGATATATGCATAAGGGACGGAGCTCTGCAAAAACGTCCTTTGCATCCCAAACAACATGCATATTAAAAGAGCAAATCTACGGAAACTGCCCTACTTAAACTGACAGATAGGATTGAAAGAGCTATGGAAGACAAGCAAATAGCTCTATGAGCCTTCCTAGATATTGAAGGAGCTTTTGATAACGTTACCATTGAAACCTTATCTAGGGGTATGAGGAACAAAGTGATTGACAGCACAATGACCCGATGGATCGAATCAATCGTCGTTCTGTCGCCGCTGTTGTGGTACTTATTGCTTGACCAACTATTAACACAAGACTCCGAGAAAAACTTAATATACAAGGCTACGCGGATTACGAAGTAGCTCGCGTCATTAGTCCGTATCAAAGCACTGTATCATCTATACAACATAGTTCTCTAAAAGTCATAGACAAATGTTGTACAGAGGAAAAACTGTCGGTAAATCCGAACAAAGCAGCAATAGTCTCTTATTGTCTGAGAGGGGTGGACATATCCTTTTTCACGGTAGTTAAATACTTGGGCAACACGGCCAACATCTCCTATGTAAATGTGGACCGCTGATTCACAAACACACTATACTCTGAGACGACATATAATCAGCCTAGATGATATAAAAGCTCTAACAGCCAGGAAAATTAGAGACTTCTTGAAGGCTACCGGGCTGAAAGAGCTACTATGATTTTGGCGGCAAGTCACAAAAGATATTGCAGGTCGCAGTGACTAGAGCTCCACAAGGAACTGCATAGCCTCTTAACTAACAAATAATAAAATAATATGCCTAAAAACAATATTATGCAAGAAGACCCTCACTTCCTGCATTGATTATTGAGTTAAATTGCTTATAGTATCTTTTCCATAAATGAAAGTAAGTACAGTACCTCATATATGGTATTATGATTCAATAGCATCTGCTATTTAAGTAAATATTTAATAAAATCTTTAAAATACCTGCCTCAAATTATTTTGAAGGTACGTACCTGGTCCTCTTATAAACATCTGCGTAGTTTGCTATAAACATACAATCGTGGCAGAAATTTATCTTCTCATTCATGTGCGCTTTAATATCCACGACCATTTTTTTGATGAAACTAATTTCGTTGCCGGCCTGGTCTTGTAAATTTTTTAAAGCACAAGTTTGGAATACTCCATCTATGAAAGTCACCCAATTATCACGCCACTGGACTTGACCTTGAGTCATGGATAAATTCATAGTGTGAATGCTTTGGAACTCATCTCTGTAGGTAAGAAAATTAAAGGAATAATTTCAATATTCCGTTATTAATTACGCATATCGCCACATACACGTAGATAACATTCAACAAACTAAGCAATATATCTAAGCTGCTTTCAACAAACTTTTAGGTCTGATTGTATATATAAGTATATATAAATTTAATCTTGAATTAGACTTACTTGTATTCAATTCCTTTCTCACTGAGTATTTTGTAGATATCATCTTTATTCAAAGTTTCACCATCAGAATAATTGTATTGCTGATTCTCTGGTTCTATAGTAAATCTTCTGCCTGATATAATAACAGCTGAACCTTCGATAATCACTCTTTTATCATAAGTTACCTGAAAAAGTTACCTGATTTTGTTATGGGTAATAGCTCATTTTCTATGTTTGCAGCTTCTACGTTTTACTTCTAGCAAAACCTTACTATAATTCGCACAATTTAACTTGCGTGAGTGCTTATATGTATTTACGACACTACCAGTGCTCCTTGGCAGTGTTGGAATGTAGGAACAGAGATGACATTAGTTCTCCACAATGAACGATGGATCGTCACATTAGTCAGCAAAATAAAATATGTTTTGTGTGTTATACTGACCTCAAACCGTCCACTGCCTCTCTGGACTGCGACTGTCAGATACAACACTTGATCATCATGCACTTGAGGTTGCGAATGGAAGTTCACATCAGAAAACTGAACGGAAACTTCGCGTTTCTTATGACCAGCTGTCATAGCAATCGTATCCCATACTGCTACTAATGCCGCAGCGTATGGAAATACTCTAACGCCTGTTAAAAATATTAATTAGTATTCAAAATTATAATCTCTTATTAAAATCTGTTGTCGTCATTGGCACGACAAATCGAATTTGAATAAATTATCTTTTGCCATAACGATAAAATGATCTTATATTCATTCAATATTTACCATTTTTAAGATGTGATTGAAATACGTTGAACTTTTTCTTAAATTAAGAATACTTATTTTAAAAATCTAATTTGTAAACAGATATAGTTTTTGAAAAAATCATATTTAGCCTATCATTGTAATACCTACCATCAAAATAATGTCCATTAAGATATTTGTTCTCATCATCTTCCACGGTCACCAGTAGTTTTAATACGGAACAATAGGATCGACCCCAGTTAAGGTATTCACATATTTTCCTGTAAATATCAATATCATAATAGTACTGCGATAGCTTTCCTACGTTCATGTCCTCAATGCTCAACTTAAAAAGAACAAAAACCCAGCCCCGGCGGCAACGAAATCTTACTCATATTAGTTTGGGGATAGTCTTTTCGTATGCATCAACTTGTAATGAAATCTTTCTGGCTATACTATTTCCATCTGGCTGATTTCGGTTTTATTAAAAAATATATATATTTAAGAAGATAACTCCGAATTCAAATTAAGAAAATGTGTTTTCATTTGTTTTTCTTACTATCAAATTGAGTGAATCCAATGAAGAAATTCAATACATATTGAAATATTATTACAAAAAAAGGTAAAAACACAACGCAAGCCGCGAAAAAAATTGTGACATGCAGGAACCTAGTGCAGTTTCTGTGAGAGTAGCAAAAATTTGGTTTAAGCGTTTAAGTCCGAAAATTTTGATGTCAAAGATGTACGTCACTCTCCTGTTACGGATAAAAAGAATGCCAAATTTTGGAAAAGTGCAGCATAATAGACATATAGTAGTTACGACGTAGCTGAAGAAATGGGGATTGATTAAAAAATAGTTTCGGCGCATCTGTAAAAAGCTGGGTACTCAAAAAGTTCGATATTTCTCACACGTTCATTTTTGAAAAGCTGATAACTGGTAATAAATGATAAATCACACATGACGAGAATGTGCGAAAGATGTCGTGGTCGAAAGTCGGTCAGGCTTCACTAACTGTGGCAAAACCCGGGTTAACTCGCAATCACCTTGTTGCGAACCCGGTTAACCCGGAGTTTTTTAGTTGTGTGTGTATAGTGGGATTGGAAGAGCATTATTAATTATGAGCTGCTACTACCAGGCAGGACAATCGATTCTGTACTTTACTGCGAACAACTGATGAGATTAAAGCAGGAAGTCCAGAGAAAGTGGTCAGAATTAATCAAGAGAGTGGGTGTGGTTTTTCATCATGATAACTAAACCTTCCATATGTATCTATAGCCACTCAAAAAATAAGAGACTTTAGCTGGGAGGTGTTTATGCATTTATGCGTCCTGGACTTGCACCTTTAGGTTTCCACCTGTTTCGGCCTCTTCAGAATTATTGAGGCAGTGTCAGGTTAACCTGAGATGATAACATTACGCGAGGTTAGCAGTCCAGGCAGTCAACTAGAGTTAAATATGAAAAGTAAGTGAGCCGGTCTGAGAAGCTAGCTTTTGATAGATTTGAATTGATTAGCTTCATTTTTATCAAGAACTAGACATCAAGAACAATTCAATCACACTGCTTCATTTTTGGATGATGTTACTGTAAACATTAAAAATCGATAAAATACTAAAATCGACCATAGTTTTGTTTTTCTTTAATTCGCTGTGTTAGTAATAATTTGTTCTCTAACTCTTAATGCTCTTTTATTAGTACATAAATACCAACCAACGATTTTGGTGATGCCTCCATTATACTTACTCATTTATATCTTTAATATAAGTTACATTTTGAGCATTGTTTTTCGTCTAATAAAAATAGATCATGAATTAAAAAAAAAGAAGATAACATTGCATAAATTACTTAGATCATTGTGCACGCAATAATGAATATGAAATAGTTAAAATTTACATTAAAGTATAAAATACTTAAAAAAAATATATTTAGGGTATGTTACTTACTAATTGAGATTCAGAAAAAACAACAAAGGAAAAAGAAAGATAAAGTTATGGATATACCTACTAAAAGAATGTATTTTCTCACCATTTCTCTTCATAAGCCCATTCCACCAAATGTGATAGCGGCCGAGTCTCTGTTGACACTGGAAATTCAATTTTCGGATATAGAGCGCTGATCTTTATATCATAACCTTCCATATATAAGCTGAAATCACAGAATGTTACGAGTATTAGGGCTATGGCAAATGGAATAGTAATAATAGTAATTAGAATACATCCAATAAAAAAGCTTTCTTTTGTATAGACTCCATTATGACGAATGAGAGCAGTTTTTAATGAGAATCTGTTTCTGTTTACATCACTTTTACAAATATTGGAATTCGTTTAACTTTTATTTATTCAAGGAATTATTATAGATATTTAATCAATTTTGCATTCCGATGCTATACCTATTGATACTTATAGTTTTTATTTTTCAGTACAGCATTGTAAATGAAAATTTGATCAAATACCTATAATAATTCCTTAGGTAGATAAAATATTTGTTAAAATTACTTTTTTTTGCTGTTTACGTGGGCTGACTGAACATCGATGAGAATACACTCACTAGTAGCGAAAAGTATCAAAGTGCTTGAAAAATTTGTCAGTCCTATTGGGTACCCAAGGTTGCGTAGATCACAGTTGCTAGATTGCACAGTTGTTTAGATTGCGAAAGATTGTCGTTTCGTAGTACCCGAGGTTGGTGGATTTTTTAAGTAGTTTTCATTAAAGATGCAAGGTTGTAAAATATAATAATATCTCAAAATACTTACTTTCCTAAGGCGTTCAATAAGAAAACCACACCATCTTTCTCGCCTCGTCGTGTCAGAGGAACGTGCTTACAATTTTGAGACAGAGCTCTCTTCAATATTGCTTGCAAAAGTCCATGCGGAGCTATTTCCACCAGCACAGCATTACTTGGTACATGATGCAGAACTTCTTCAAATAGTACCTTTTTCTAGTTATAAAAATATAAAATGATTTGGTTACAAACCACATATTTGTTGATCATATAAGTATTAGATATAAATCATTTGCTTATTTAGAAATAGATAAACGTATTTTTTCCCTGCTTTTTGATTTACCACTAACTATGCTTCAGGAAACTTTCAAAGACATCTAAGATCACAATATTGTTTACCAGAAATATCTTTATATCTCAAAAATGATTTCAGGTAACAAAATGCAAATTAGGTAGTGTAATAAATGCTGTTAAATAATGAAGATCACACGTCTTGAAATTGGGCTTGTGGTTCCTCGTTGTAAAAGATATTCATGAGATATTAAACCCCAAAGGTTATATTAGAATTAAGTGAACGTACTAGCAAATTGTTGGTGTGGTATTCGGCTGAAGAATATTTAGCATGTGGTTCATTGTACTGCTCCTGTGGCACAGAAGTGGTCAACCATTTCGAGCTTCTTAGCCTTGGCTCCTTAATCACTTCCTGTGACATCTTAAGGAAATCGGGACCTGTAATTAACATTTTCCGGATTACAATACAATATCCAAAAAAAAAAAATTAAACTTTCTGTTTAAATATTAATAAAATAGGAAACTACTAAAATATGATCATAAGACAGTTTTTTATCGAATGAGTCGATACTGTCTTTTATTAATTTGGTTATATACTGACCTGCTTCGGCAATATACCGCGAATGATAAGCGATATTGGAGCATTGTACTTCCTTAGCAAATACACCTTTCTTTTCAAGCACTTCCACGAATGCTTTTACTGATTCTTCAGGTCCTGAAATGGTACTCGAGTTTGCACTGTTGTGGCAAACCACTTCAATTTCCTGGGGACATAACTTAGATAGCTGGAAAATAAAGATATCATAATGATTATAATGAACAACTATATGAATGAGTTAGGTATACAATTTTATTATGTTACTACTAATCTTTGTTTTTTTTTTACTATGATTAATTTTATGATGATTTATTTATTTTAATTGTCGCTGATTTTTTTTTTGTTTTTAGACATTCATATACTATATAGAACTAAGAACATTCAACTTACGGCTTTATATCCCATGCCTATGGCCGCCATGGAGCCACGGATGAAGGGTGTTTGTATAGAAACGAGACCACGATTGTAAGCCAACAACAGCATCTGCTCATCTGTGAAGCAGCCATCGGCATACGCACAACCTAACTCGCCGACGCTATGACCTAAGTAATATCAAAAGTTTTAAATTCTTGTGCAATGCAATTATAGTATTGTATAATATTTCTAAAAAATAAAGATAAACAATACTTGAAATCTTTCTTCAATAGGAAAGGAAATCTAAAGAAAGGCATAATATTGTTTAAGCTATATAGTAACTGTATATTGTGAGTAAATCAGTCAAATGCGACTAAAAGAGTCGCACTAAGCGCAAGAAGGGTTCCGTATTGGAAACGAGCAAAAAAATTACGTTTATTGTACATAATGGAGCCCCCTTAATATTTATTAAATTTGTTGTTGAAGCGGTAACAGAAATACTTCATCTGTAAAAGTTTAAACTGTCTAACTTTCACGGTTCTTGAGCCTGGTCACAGACAAACAGACAGACAACGAAGTCTTAGTATTTTTTATTGTTCTCGTTTTACCCTTTGGTTATCGGATTCGATTGATTATTTTTTAATGTTAGTGGTATTACAATACTATGCTAGTACCACATCTCACATCTATGATGCTTTTGGATATAACAAAGAGAAAAATTATTTGGTACATTGAGTTGTCGACAAAATTATCATATATATAGAATTTTTAGACACAGTATTTAAAATGTTTATCGTAATTCTGGACTCACCAATTATATTATCTGGTACCAATCCGACCGCAGCTAGTATATTAGTTAGCCCTATTTGTATAGCGGCAATGCCAACAAAACAATTCAGAATGTTATCGAATATGCACTTGTCTTCAGTTGTTATAATATGTTTCAGATCGATCCCCTTAGGTTTGAGAATTTCGTGGCATCTAAAATATTTATTAAATTAAATAAAACATCTAATTTGATAGTTGAATATTTCTCAAAAAACATTATAAAGCACATAAAAATATTATAAAGGTATAATAAGCCTAGGTAGTATACTATAAGCCACGCGTAATAAGTGAATCGGTTAATATGTTACTACTCTACCAATTATTGAGCTACCAGAGACTTGCACGAGAACATTGATTTTATCACGAACTTAATATTTTCACTGTCCGTAGGCGTATTTTCATCATTGCCTCGGTATTTTCACATCTCAATGAAATATCACTAAGGTCTTTGTTAGTTAAATTGAAAGAGCAGTCATCTAATTACAGAAGATAACAGATTTGAGTCCTGTTTGGAGATTTCTTAGACATTTCATTATATATAACGATAAGCAGCTGACTAATTCTTCGACTTTATTTCATATCTCAACTTTATTTCAACGTTTCAAATATGCACTTTGGGAAATCTTCGTTACCTTTGGATAGTTTGGTTAAATAATGGGATTCGCATGAGATCACGACCCATCCCGATCCACTGCGATCCCATGCCACTGTACACAAACCACAGGGGTCTTGAAATATTATCGTGGTAGTCCACCCTAAGGTTATGGATCTCGGTGTCGTCGTTTTGAGTGGCTGCAATAAATTTATAATATAGAAACAAATACATCACACCTTAGCCATCTAGTATATTCAAAAGCAGTAACAAAGCAAATATATGAGAAAAGTTTTAAGAACTGCATTATATCGTTAATATTCATACAGCTCATAAAAACGCCTAATACATATAAGTTTATGTTGTACAGCAATAAACACAAGGAAATATTTCTACTTACAAAAGATACCTATACCTCGAGCCAAATGTTTCGAAATACGGTTCCTATGTATATTGTGAAGTAAAGCTATCTCCTCGGGGTCTAATGGACGTGATTTAATGTCATCTAATATCTTCTGCACAGCTGCTTCATGCCGACCTGACACAGCTATTAAGTATGGGATATCTGAACGATATTTGGAGAGGTCCTAGAAAGATAAACGATAGTTTTGCTTAAACACGGTATTTTTTTATGGATTTGCTTTTTTAGATTTAAGAATTCCAAAGGGGTCCAAACAATATGAGGGCGGGGTGTTACGGGATGAAGATATAAGTATAAAGTATCTAAATAATCTACACTGTGATAATTCCTTCGGAATTCAAAACCCCGTAAAGTTTACATGGTCACTGTTTAAAGATTTAAAAAATGTGGCAGATATTATGACCAGTCGAGGTAGCACGTGGTGGTACCTAAGAGGAACTCACTGATTTGACCACTCAAGTGCTAATGACTAACTACTTTTATACCTTAGGTTTATAGCAACCTCGGAGAAGTGCATGCCCGTTGATTCCTGTAAATGTAAACGCATTTACTGCTGTATAGGCTGATCTATTGAATCTTATATTTTGCGTAACTATTCTCATACGTCCGTCATGTAAGGATGCTATATCACTTCTCGGCTTGCTACAGTTTATTGTTGCAGGCAATTCTCCTCTTTGGTAAGCAGAAACAAGCTTAAATGGAAAAATGAGACAGATTATTATTATATTTATCATATATTTATTTATTTTGTTAATTTTATATTTAAAGGGAATTTACTAGACGGGAATAACCGCAGGCAAGACTGCAAGCATGTCTGCTGGTCTTTGTTGCCATATACGGACATGTCTGGCTAGTGTAGGACGGTCGCAGTCATTACACACACCTATAGTAGCGAGGTCCGGTGCGGGCATGCCCGTCTAGTGAATTCCCCGCGTTACTTGTGCTGTAAATTAAGATTTCTCGGTGTTCTAAATAAAGCAATTTTTCACTTTTGTAAATTATATGAAAATTAAAATCCATATTTTATTTTAAAAATACATATTAAAATTATGAATTTCTACTTACTTTAAATATTGCGCAGGCACTAGCAGCGCTCTCTGTATAGCCCACGTTTGAACTCACGCTTCCAACGAGCAAAGGATCGACGCGGTCTTTGCAGAAAACGTTTTCAATCGCCTGGAGTTCAATCTTATCCATGTTTGGGCAAGCTGAAAATAATCATTATTTGCAAAATAATTTATAATATCTACACACTCCTTGACAGATAAGTTATAGTAATATCAATGAAATTATTTCTGTGTTCTGCTGCATATCTTAACTTTTTGGAAATATATAGTTTTTTAATGTCAGATTAAATTACCTAATCCATATCCTTCAATGTACCCAACGTCTACTGGCGATACTCCTGCTTCATCATAGAATTGTTGAAAAAAATTTACGAGCTTTTCTTTGTCTTGCGGAATTTCACACTTCTCTATCAGAGTATTATCGTTTGTTGTTCCGAAGCGAGCCTTAACGTGACAAAGCTCGACGTAAGCTCTATAAATAGCAATTGTATATTTATAATCGTTTACATACCTTGCTAAAATGCGTAACAATTTATCCTAAATTACTTCTTTAAACAACTTCCACTCGTGAAAATGTAGAATATGCAATCTCTTGTCTCGGTAAGTAGATCAATTTTTTAATTTTGCAGTGAAAGTCTACTTTTTTACTTGTCTACAGAACTATGGATTGTGATTATAATATGATCATCATTAACATTTTGTCAATCAAATAGAATTATGTGGCCATCCGATTTTAAGGCAAATCATGTCACCTTCTTGCATCCTTGTGTTTTTGCAGGAAAAATACGCTAATGGCTTCTGACATTGAAGGGCCATCAGCTGCATCGTCATAGCATTTCGTTTTGCCGTCTGAATTTAGGGGCACCGACCTGTAATAACGCACACAAGTTATTCAGTAACATATCTTTTCTTCGAAATTTCTTTTATTACGAGTATTATTGAGATATTTAACATATTCTTAAGATATGTTTTATATAGATATGTCAATAAACATTATATGTAGTATTGATAGTTTCACAGCCATATCGGAAATAATGCTGAATGAAGTAGATATAGAGATTGCTGAAGGAATCATGACTAAAGCAAATAAATTTTTACATCGCAATATTATAGGGTTCCAAACTTCAAATATGGGCCTTAATTTTGCGTATATCTAGTAACTAGGCATATAACTAATCGTAATAAAAATCGAGGTAATATTTAAACCTATGGCTGATGGGTGTTTGAGGATGCAGAAGAGTTTTTCCAACACCGACAATGGCCGCTTCGCAGTAACCTTCCTTGATAGCTTCTCTAGCTTTCTCGAGAGCCAGGAGAGTGCCGCAGGATGAAGCTTCCATGAAGATCGACGGTCCTTTCAGGTTCAACCAGTATGATATCCGGTTGGCAGTCATTGATTTAGTGGACCTGAAGAAGATACATGAAAATGATAAGATAAATATTCACAACCCATAGTACCCCGCAAAACTAAAAATTTTCTTCAGAGCAGAATATTTTTTATTTTATCGAAAAAAAATAATCATGTTAGCCATGGTAAAAAATATGGTAATCCTGAAAGTAAAAATATCTTTTAAAAAACACTCAAAATTGTTCTGTTTAAATCATTAAAGTAATTTATTACACCTAAGCCTAATATATATGCAAGAGTGAATGCTGAAAGCTCTATAGTATAATTACTACGCTTGACGTCAGATATTTGTCGAAATCGAATCTAAATTATATTAATTATTGGGTTGGCACAAAAGTAATGAGACACACTAGAAAAATCTATAACATTTCCTTTTTAAAATCAATTTTTTCGATAATATTCTATTGGGTTGGCACAAAAGTAATGAGACACACTAGAAAAATCTATAACATTTCCTTTTTAAAATCAATTTTTTCGATAATATTCTAGAATGTTGTAGAACATTCTAGGTACTTCTGGTGTAGGGTATATTAAGCCGCGCTCGCGATTTGTTTAGTCAGTTTGAAGAAAAATGGACGAACGACAAGTTCGAACACTATACTTATACGAGTACTTGTTAGGCCACAGTGCGCGGGCTGCGGCTGACAATATCAACAATGCATTAGGCGCTGGAAGTACAAGCCATGCGACGGTGTCCCGATGGTTTGACTGTTTTAAATCAGGAGACAGGAGCCTTGAAAGTCAGCCACGCTCAGGGCGACCACCCGCAGTGAATGATGACGATTTGCGCCGCGAACTGCGGTTGAATCCAGATGCTACCACTCGTGAATTAGCGGAAGCACTTAAATGCAGTCACCACGCCGTGGAACACCATCTGCATGAGCTTGGTTATCGAAAAGTTTTGGCTCGGTGGGTACCGCACATCCTTACAGACGCCAGTCGTGCAGTCCGTGTCGCTATCTGTCAGTCACTTTTGCTGCGACCCCGACGTAAAGAGTTTTTGTCAGATCTGGTTACTGGAGATGAATCATGGATTTATTACGAGAACGATACACGTCGTGCTTTTTGGCTGCCTCGAGAAGAAACGCCACCAACTCAACCGCAGCCGAGTCAAAAGAACCGCCGAAAAATTCTGCTTTGCTGTTTCTGCGATGCGCAAGGCATACTGTTTTATGAGCTATTACACAATGAAACTATAAACGCTGACAAATATTCAACCCAGCTTACCAAATTATCTGCCGCTATCAAGAAAAAACCACGAAGAAGACGAGTCAATGTAGTTTTACTGCACGATAACGCTCGACCTCACGTCGCATCTGTGGTTCGCCGGCAGTTTGAGAACTTGGGCTGGGAGACGATAACCCACCCACCTTATTCCCCAGACCTCGCCCCATCAGACTATCATTTGTTTAGAGCCCTGAAACAGCATTTGCGGGGTAAACAATTTAATGATTTCTCTGAAGTAGAGGCAGAGTTGAACAACTTTTTCGAGGCACAGCCATCAGAGTTCTGGGCAAAAGACATCCAAACTTTGCCGGATCGTTGGCAAGAAGTCTTAGATACTAATGGTAATTACATCATTGACTAAACTTTTTTTATTGTAATAATAATAAAAAAGTAAAAACTTAAACCAAGTGTCTCATTACTTTTGTGCCAACCAGAATGTTGTAGAACATTCTAGGTACTTCTGGTGTAGGGTATATAAAGCCGCGCTCGCGATTTGTTTAGTCAGTTTGAAGAAAAATGGACGAGCGACAAGTTCGAACACTATACTTATACGAGTACTTGTTAGGCCACAGTGCGCGGGCTGCGGCTGACAATATCAACAATGCATTAGGCGCTGGAAGTACAAGCCATGCGACGGTGTCCCGATGGTTTGACCGTTTTAAAGCAGGAGACAGGAGCCTTGAAAGTCAGCCACACTCAGGGCGACCACCCGCAGTGAATGATGACGATTTGCGCCGCGAACTGCAGTTGAATCCGGATGCTACCACTCGTGAATTAGCGGAAGCACTTAAATGCAGTCACCACGCCGTGGAACACCATCTGCATGAGCTTGGTTATCGAAAAGTTTTGGCTCGGTGGGTACCGCACATCCTTACAGACGCCAGTCGTGCAGTCCGTGTCGCTATCTGTCAGTCACTTTTGCTGCGACTCCGACGTAAAGAGTTTTTGTCAGATCTGGTTACTGGAGATGAATCATTACGAGAACGATACACGTCGTGCTTTTTGGCTGCCTCGAGAAGAAACGCCACCAACTCAACCGAAGCCGAGTCAAAAGAACCGCCGAAAAATTCTGCTTTGCTGTTTCTGGGATGCGCAAGGCATACTGTTTTATGAGCTATTACACAATGAAACTATAAACGCTGACAAATATTCAACCCAGCTTACCAAATTATCTGCCGCTATCAAGAAAAACGACGAAGACGAGTCAATGTAGTTTTACTGCACGATAACGCTCGACCTCACGTCGCATCTGTGGTTCGCCGGCAGTTGGAGAACTTGGGCTGTGAGACGATACCCCACCCACCTTATTCCCCAGACCTCGCCCCATCAGACTATCATTTGTTTAGAGCCCTGAAACAGCATTTGCGGGGTAAAGAATTTAATGATTTCTCTAACGTAGAGGCGGAGTTGAATAACTTTTTCGAGGCACAGCCATCAGAGTTCTGGGCAAAAGGCATCCAAACTTTGCCGGATCGTTGGCAAGAAGTTTTAGATACTAATGGTAATTACATCATTGACTAAACTTTTTTTATTGTAATAATAATAAAAAAGTAAAAACTTAAACCAAATGTCTCATTACTTTTGTGCCAACCCGATACTTATAAATATTTTCAGTATTGCCAATGAGATGACCAATAAATAAATTCGTGGCAATTACATTATGAGATTTGATGAGGTGCAATAAAATTTACCCTATGATCGCAAACTGTACATCTGAATTGCAGGATATATCTTCATCCTCACAATATCCGTAAGATACGAAAACTGCGACTTTTTTCCCCCATAGTTCAACCGGATTAACTCCTTAAAACAGAAATAATTAATGAAACATCATTTACACTCAGTGATTTCAGTAATTGCAATAAATTATATGAAAGGAATGCTGAAAGATTTATTTAGAATATTCATAATTCACTTACCTGCATCGTATATTGCTTGGTAGGTATGTTCAATGATTTTCTTAGCTGTTGGTTCGAGTGCCTGACTCAGTTTGTAAAACACGGTAAAGAACTGGGCGTCGAATCTGTCCAACCCGGTAATTCTTCCGTATTTTTCAGGTAGTTCTGGATACTTGTAGTTCTTCCAACGAGGACTGGCATTCACCAGATTTTGCTAAATAAAACAGGACTTTATTGTATTTGATCAAAGTCAATGTTAAAATAATCTTTATTCAAAAAGTACTTTAGATCAGTCCAACATTTTTTTCCACTCGTTCAGGACGTGTTTTGGCTGACAAGAAGAACGAGTAAGAATCTACCATATCTAATGGGAGTAATGACATTCACAAATACCTCGTCATTACCAGATCAATACATTATAAATAGAGAGAAAATAAACTATGGTCTTATAATGTGGTCTTTCAGTTTTTAAATACGTACTTTTAAATAGTAGATTTAAACTGCATGATATCTAACTATTGTATTTTGCTTTTGACCTTATTGTAGAGACTAGTGACAGGCACCGTTAATTTATTCTTATTTCTTGTGTTAAAATTGTAAACAAAGTAATATTTTTACGAACGTACATTAAGCTCTCGTACTTGTATTGAGATGCAACAGTCATTATGACTATTTCCTTAAATTTCCCCTTTAAAGAGTCCCTAATCCTAAGACTATAAATTGATCTAATTGCTCTTTTCTGAACACAAAAATCTCTTGTAAGTCGGCAGAGTTTGCGCGCTAGAGGTGCGCTCGGCTTCCCACTCCACACGACGGACACTACCGCGACGCCGGCGTTGGCCGACACTTCGAGCCCCATCTCAGAGTGCCAGGGATGAAGTGGATTTTTAAGCAGTTATCATTAAAAGAGAATTTGTATTAATCACATACACAAATCTAGCATTAGGCAAAATCGTTTTTTAGTAAATTTCTATAAATTTAAAGGAATGAATGAAATCTACGCAGAACTTTTGCTTCCGCAAATTTTTTGAATTTACAACTTAAAGTTGTAAATTAAAAAAATTAAAATTTAACTTAAAGAAGGGACAACTTAGTCTCAGTTTCAGTGTGAAGATATAGGATATGACAGGATAAATTTGTTTTAATTATTATTGTGCTTAGTATAAAAAGTACTACTTTACGTTTTGAGACATCTTGTCAGCGAATTCAACATAACTATTGCAGTCTGGCAGCAGGCCTGATATACCAGAAATTACCACCGCTTCGGGAGAGGTCTTGGGCGTTTCAGATATTGCGTTAGTAGGCTCTTGAGGCAATGGCGCCATGGCGTAGCTATAACAAGAACATGAAGATAGTTATTACCATATATAATTATCTAGACAACACAAGATGAATGAAAGTCATGAGACAAAAAAGAACTGTTTTTATGAATGAGTATTTATTATTAATGAAAAATGCTTAAAAAACAGCTCTATCCCTGGTACTCAGAGATGGGATTCAAACCTTTCTCAGTCCGCACGACTGCTCTAACCACTTACCTACCCAGGACATGTCAGGACTGAATAATTTTTTAAGAACTTGTACTCTTGTACTCGTTTCTACAGAGCGTATTTTCATCAATGTTCAAACAACCCACCCAAACAGCTGAATGAAGAATTTTATACTTTCGATTAAGATTAAAATTTGTTCTAATTATTATATTTGATCAATCTCACATTCACAATGCTCTACTAGAAAATTTTGTTAATGAAAACTTTACATTTGTTATGAAGTAAGTAAAAACGGACAATTGTGCAGTATGTGGCACTCTTTATGATGTGCAACATATACTTATCGAATGTGTCAAATTTCAATCTGATAGAATTATCTTAACCAACACACTACAGCGAAACTTTTTAGATGTTGGCATATTGCAGAACTGTGTGCAGAACGTACGAGCGAAACCGTTTTCAAACTCGCTCTATAATATAGCCTCTAAATATAAATAAGTAACTAAGTTAATTTTGTAAATGTACTAATAAGGCATTATGGTACTGACATGTTTTTTAAAGCTCCTAAAAATATAGATAATAAAAAAGCTATAACATAAGCGTTTCTTTAAAAGATCGTCTTTTTTCATTTCGTCAAGCCTGACAAAGCTAACCCCTTTTTACTTTAATTAAAACTAGAACTTAGTTGATTAAAATAGTACCTTTGTCAAAAAAATACGTGGTTACTTAAAAAAAGCTTATATTATATCTATAAAAATATATTATAATAGTTCACAGTGCTATACGACGTCTTATAGAAATATGCTTAAAAAAATCACAATTACTAGATTCGAATCTAGAATCAAATCTAGAGATAACTATAATAAATATGTATGTATATTAAATACTCACTGCTATTTGTCAACTTTAAACCAACACTAAATCACACTGATTAGTATCAAACACATTATTCTTTTATAACTTTGCGTACACAATAATTAGCATTTAATTAATGTATTCATTCTAACCTTTACATTGAATTTTTAACTACTTGTACACACATCATTGCGTCAGGATACCACAACCCGTGTTTAAGCAATGTATTTTATGCTTTATTACAATTATTTAACGATTAAGGTAAATTCAAAAAATCAGTTTTGCATAACGTAATTTGATTCTGACTGTACATTTACTAAATACGCATCTTAAATTACCGAATGCTCATTAAATGTGAGATTTGGTGCCCATATTTAGTAATTGTATTGATTACGTTGTATTAGCATAATATTCTTTTAACTTTTTTTTTAAATATCCCACCAAAAACATTTACATGTAAAATGTTACCAAGTCGACACCATAGGCGAGCCAAAAAGTTTTCAGGGCCCCAATTCTGCCAATATTTATGTGATAACCGCAATTCAATCTCGTCTCAACTATTTGCATCTTGCCATTATACTATCTACCTAAGTGCAATTTCTTATATATATTCGTATATTTCTTAAATATTTGTTATTTGTTTAATGAAAAATACTTAAAAAATTAATTTGTCCCTAGTACTCTGAGATGGGATTAGAACCCTATAACATAGGCGTTTACCCTATAACCACCTTTCGCAATCCGGGCTTAAACTTATTAGATATCCACGGAGATAAAATATTTGCATATCGACATATCGTTAAACTGTCGATAAAACATCAAAGACTTCTATGTAAAAGATTCGAAAATAAAAATTAAAAGAAGAACTAAAATGTACCCAGTTATTTACAAATAAAAAAAAAATTACTTAAAATTAAAAAATGAATTCCGTTTTATTATTTATATACCTTATACGAGGGTCAAACTGAAAGTTCTTAGAAAATCAAAAACTGATTACATTAGCCAGTTATTAGTTTTATTATATCTTTTCAAAATATTGTCCATTCACGTCAATACACCGCTGCATGCGATGGAACCACTGGGAAAAGCACTTTGCCCACTCGTACTTAGGGGTCTCTTCAATGGCATCGCGATACGCAGCCACCGCTTCTTCAGCATTCATAAACCGCTTTCCTTTAAGTTTTTCTTTAATTTTTGGAAATAAATAAAAATCACAAGGCGCGAGGTCGGGGCTATACGGCGGGTGACCCAGTAATTCAACGTTTGATGTCGCCAAATAGTCGATCGTTCGCTTGGCGGTGTGCGACGAGGCGTTGTCGTGGTGAAGGAGGATCCTACTGCGAGGTCGTTTCTCTCGAACTTTTTCCAAGACAAGTGGCAAACAATTGGTAGTGTACCATTCTGCAGAAACTGTTTTTTGATCCTCTAACACAATTGTTGCAAAATGACCTATCCTTCCAAAGAACGAGGCCACCATTTTTTTTCCCGCACTTCGATCTCTCTTCACTTTAGTTGGCAACTCCTCGAAAGGAAACACCCACTGAGCAGATTGTCTTTTGGTTTTAGGATCATAACAGTAAATCCAGCTTTCGTCACCTGTTAGTATGTCGAACACAGCATTTGAGTCACCTCCGTTAAATCTTTCAATCATTTTACGACACCAATCCACACGATGGAGTTTTTGAGCCTCAGTCAAATTATGAGGTATCCACCGGGCGCAAAGCTTCCTGACCGCTAAATGTTCGTGGAGGATTTTGTGCACTTGACTCATACCGATGCCTAAGCTTGTCCGAATCTGTTGATAGGTCACTCTTTTGTCAGTCTCTATCATACGCCGCACAAAACAGATGTTATCTTCAGTCGTCGCCGTAGAAGGCCGTCCCTCACGTAAATCATCAGTGAGATTAGTGCGACCACGTTTAAACTCATTAAACCAGTTGTAAACAGTCGCACGAGATGGGGCTTCATCGTGAAAGGCCAATCGTAGTCTATCATAACTTTCTTGTTGACTTAAATGACATCGAAAGTCATAAAAAATCATTGCACGAAAATTTTCTCGTGTTAAATTCATGATGACGTGACACAGACAATTTTCAATTTGCCGCCAAATCGTAAAACAAATGACAAATGAATGAAATATATACTCAGTAATATTGGCAAAGAGTTATATTTTCAAATTTTAGAATTATTTTTTTATTATATTGTTTATAAGTGGCCAGTTCTAAGAACTTTCAGTTTGACCCTCGTATATATTCATATCATATTTTAGCTCTTCGTTAGTGTTTCTCTTAATATCTTAGATAAAAAAAAAAATATTTTTGAATCTTAATTCTTATCAAGTTTTGATGTCATCGTTTTATGAGGTTTTGTATCGAGGGGTTTTCAATTTAAGTATACTGATATTATAAAGAGGACAAATTTTATTGTTTGTTTGCATTGAATTGTATGCATTAACACCTCACTTTTATTTTTATGTATATTTTGTGTCTTAGCGTATTTTATCATAGATTAAAATCACCCGCCTCTGTTTTAGAATGTAAGCAAGCATGTTGTTGTTTGTTTTACAACCTGTAACATAATTAACGCACATCCCTATTGTCGTTTGTTTAAAATCAAATAATCATGCGATTTCAAAAACTCTAATATAGGTATTTTATTTGTTAAATTTTGTAAACTAAGATATTTATATCTATTACAGCTATAACAAACGAAAAATAAACTAAAGTTAATTCAAAAAGGGTTTTTAAAAAGCACTTTATTCTTTGCTTGTAATAATAGTTATTTAAGATACGAATGCGGAAAGTAAGGTTTTAAGAATAAGGGCCGAATTCAATCATTGGCACGAATTCGAAAATCCTTTTACGCTCAAGTTTCTTACAACATTTTTCAATGCTTTTTGTGAGGAAATAAAACAAATATATAGGTTAATAAAACTAAGTATGTATTAAAGGTAAAAATTATTTGTTAAAATTAAACGTGATATTTCAACATGTTTTCGTGTCATAATCAAAAAGCCTTTTACGCTCAAGTTTCTTACAAAATTTTTCAATGCCTTTTGCGAGGAAATAAAACGAGAGGGCAAATCAGAGTTATGGTCCGTAAACTTTTTTCATCAACAATAATAACAGTAAGTAAACAAAATCTTGATCTTGATCAGCTGCCGCCGATAATTGTTTTTTATCATTATAATGTCAAATTACCAAAACACATCCGTGTGATTTAAATGTAGATCAAATAGTAGCAATAAAACAAAAACAAATATTCAATTACAGAATAACAAATGCCTTAAACGCGTCACATCTTTTAGATTAATGAATATATATACGTATTGTATGCTAATTGAGTAATAAGTATAACATTCATTTGCTGGTTGCAAGCTACTTAAGAATTTTATTCGCATAAAACATGATATAAAATGGTGAGTCCACTTATTACAGTAACGAGCTATAGAAATTAAAATAACTGAACTTTTTGATGTCATTAGAGTACCTAATAGAGTATATATTCATTTATTTTAGTTATTGTTCAGCGTAGAACTGTATGATGTAAAATTGGGTGAATAAAACAGTAAGTTACATATGAAGTTGTTACCAGATTTTCTCAGTACAATTTCTGTCTGTACATTGACAAACCGATGCAATGACTTAAAAATTCAAGAAAATGAATATTAAGTCCAATTTCTGTATATATCCTCGGTAATTTTCCCGAAAACAATCCGGAATATTCTAGCAAAACCTCTCTAGTCATTAATACGATGCCTTTTATACAGTGTCAATAGTGTCTGCATACGGACGTTATTGGCGTTTTACTGTAAATATATAGTGTATTCTTGATTTCTAGCAATGCTAGTGGATCGCGTATATGTAAGTATATCGATTACAAAGCAATTTTGCACAGTCTAGTCCCTACAGGAAATTCATTTCTTTTATATCATATTTCATCATCAGCCCTTTTACGCCCCCACTGCCTTCCTTATGGATGGTTAAGGAGGATGGGCCATGACCCTCCACGCTGGCCCAATGTGGATTGGAGGGTATTAACGACTGCAAATGCAGCCGGGACCAACGGCTTAACGTGCCTTCCGAGGCACGGAGTAGTTCGAGATAATATTTTTTTGGTCACCCATCCCGTGACCGACCCTTGCGAAAGTTGCTTAACGACTACGATCACGGGCCGCGGCGCTTATCCACTACGCCACCGAGCTAATATTTATCAAAAAAGGTTGTCACCAACAGTATTATAACATTTAACAGAACCACTCAAAACGTGAAAACGAGGTTAGAGATCTAGGAGTGTACTAAAACATTGATTATGTGTGGATGTTGCTATACTAATTATAACCTATACAATACAATACAATTAAACAATAAAAAATAAATAAACAAACTTCTACTTCTTCATCTTTTATTAATGGTTCATCTGTGCGATTCGCACAATTCAGCCAATTTCAAGTAATTAAATTAGTCAAATTAAATTAATTTCTACGCGTAAAATTAAATTAATGAAAGATGGCGAGGCATTCCGTAAACTTACATTGCGATAAAATAATAATCTATTGTCAACATTGTCATGTTTATGTGTATTATATTATTTTTCTCTTTGTTTATGAATTATTTATGAAATTTAAGGTCGAAAAAAGTCGAAAAAGCTATGTCATTGCATCAGTTTGTCAATGTACAGACTGACGCGTTTAAGGCATTTGTAATCTTATACTGAGAAAATCTGGTAACAACTTCATATGTAACTTACTGTTTTATTCACCCAATTTTACATCATACAGTTCTACGCTGAACAATGACTTCAAAATATTGAATACATATCTATTAGGTACTCTAATGACATCAAAAGGTTCAGTTATTTTAATTTCTATAGCTCGTTACTGTAATAAGTGGACTCACCATTATATATCATGTTTTATGCGAATAAAATTCTTAAGTAGCTTGCAACCAGCGAATGAATGTTATACTTATTACTCAATTAGCATACAATACGTATATATATTCATTAATCTAAAAGAAGTGACGCGTTTAAGGCATTTGTTATTCTGTAATTAAATATTTGTTTTTGTTTTGTTGCTACTATTTGATCTACATTTAAATCACACGGATGTGTTTTGGTAATTTGACATTATAATGATAAAAAAACAATTATCGGGGGCAGCTGATCAAGATCAAGATTTTGTTTACTTACTGTTACTATTGTTGATGAAAAAAGTTTACGGACCATAACTCTGATTTGCCCTTTCGTTAGACCAAAACTTGGGTACTCGCCCATATTGAAAACGTAAAAAACTAAAGAAAAAAAATAATTATAAAGGTGGTTTATTGATTGCTCAATTCAAACCCAGGAAATATATAGGGATATAATAATATAAGTCTTGGAATAATAAAGGAGGTATTAATTTAAAACAAGTCACAAACATAACTTGATTCGTTTCCATAAATTAGAATGATTGTAATATTACTAAGCTAGAATATTTATTAAAAGACAATAACAGAAATTCCAAAAACATTTATTTCAAATAATTTCTACCTACAACCTTATGAAAAAATAATATTAATTGGACATCAACCTTTACATGTGTTCATTGAATACGGCAACACTATTTATTATCATGCCCAACCACAACTACTCCGAGTCTGATGCCATGAATTTAATGAATGCATCAGTTTTCAGTACTGTATCACATTGGTTGCTGTTCTCATAAGCCTCTATGATATTCTTATCCAGATATTTGTTGACGATGTTAGAGCAAGCCAGATCTTTATCCGCATGTGCTAGGACAGCACGTATATTGTGTACCTTCATCTCTTTAGGAAAACTTTCTAAAGTATCAACGTCGGGAATGGGAAGCTTAGCACGAATGAGGATAAGTTGCGAACGTAATTTGTGCTGTTTAAAATTGTACTTTTGAAGTATCTTTATTCTGGCGTATGCTCCTTGGATCAAACTTCTAGTGTACTGGGAATCGTAAGGTAATTTCTTGACAAGACATTCTACTTTGTCATTCCAGTTATTATAAGTTACAAGCTCGTTTTCTATTTCAATTTCATTTTTCGAAGTAATCATTTTATACATGTGTTTGATGAGAGTGTTTTGTTGATCCTCAGGAGATGTGTTCTTGAAGCGATTGTTGAATGATTTCGAGATGTCAAGTGGGGTCCCTCCGAGCATGAACACTGTTCCAGTCAGACCTTTAAAGCAAATAAGATTGAAATACTTATTATTTGAAGTTAATTTAGAAAGGAGTCTAGAAGGTATATAAAAAGTTCTTTGTAATATTAAACTAAATCACTTGGCGATGCTATATCGCCAAGCGCTATTAGTGACATCGATGTTCATACGTGCGCTGATTTATTCTTGCAATTGATGAAGTGAAAAAAACTAGAATCCTCGCAGATATAAATATACTTATATATACTTTTCTATTAGTAATGCAACCATGTACGTTGGAATGATTATTCGCATTACAAATCAGTTATGATTTTCAAATTAGTTATTACTTATGGAATGCAATAATTAGTAACTCAGTCATGAATAAAGAGCGTCGTAAGAATATTATTTGGAAAAAAAATTGTTCTATTGAATATTGTAATATTCACCTTTAGTTTCGAGAATGGAAGCTATTTCCAAGGCGACAAGAATACCAAAATCGTAGCCGAGTAGGTAGAAAGATCTTTTTGGAGTTAGTTTCTGAATTATTGTCTGAAAAATAAGTTAACTAAAAGTAGTCAATACAGTTTTTTTAACAAAAGGCAAAAGGAACACTTTTGAAACTTTGAATCTTTATCAGTAAATTGAATTGAGTAACTGAAGCAAAAAATACGTATCTAATTTTTTTCCATTATCTAGCTGACGGACTAAATTTCTTTTTTTTTTTACCCAGTCATCATCCCTATTAAGATATAAGTATATTGCAATCTCTACACTGTTTTTAAGAGCTCTAACTAGATCATAAACAGTGGTTCGTAAATATCGTTTTAAATTACATTTGCAAACTTTTGTGTAATTTCCTCCAAAGTCATGTCAGCGTGATTGGGTTGTAGTACAACTGCAGGTATCTTGAGTCGCTCGCAAAGAGTGCTGAATCTGCTATAATGCCCTTCTAAGCCAGGGATCACGCACAGGTAGTCATGTTCCACGTCGAACTCATCTACACGCTATGACAAAATATATTTACATTATAAAAGAAAATACCGTTATATTGAGATTTATACCTATATATTGAGAGTATCTTACCAGTTCGTTTCTATGTACAAGAGTACGCATGATGACCAGTTCACAAGTAGCTTGCATAACGTCTGAATCAAAGTTAGTAAAGTATGCGGCAAATCCTTCGGCATCTTTTTCGATATCTATATACTGTCCTTGGATATTCTCTAATCTGAAAACCATCGTTGAAGGAAAAATAAATGGCTGTGATTTAATTCCTTTCACTAGGGGAGGTAGTGAAAAAGATGCTAATAATAGACGAAAAGATAACTAAACTCAAGAAATTGAATGTTACATAAATAAGTAAAATAATAATTTAGATAAAGTGTGCACGTTAGGTCAATGTAATTTCTTACATTTTTGAAAATAAGGAAGTTGTGACCTCCTCGAATACAGAACGCGACACTGAAGTGTTCTAAATTATCAGACTCCCAATTCTTTTATTCCTTTTGTTATTTAATTTTTTCCAGATATTGAAGCAGAAAGTTTTTACTTCTAGCCTGTATAGGCTAGAAGTAAAAACTTTCTGCTTATTTAGACATTACAGATATGATATTTTATAAATTAATGATAATTACATGTCCGATAAAACAAATATTTTAGCAATAACGACTAATAAAGTGTTAGCAGTTCCATTTAGCATGTTTATTTAGTTAACTACTTACTCAGCTATCGTCATTCTGGGAACAACATCTTTCGAAATAGTTATGTTGAACTTTTGCTGTATAATGTTGCACACTTCTTGAGCGCGACCATGATCAATACCAATTTGCTCCAAGGTGGTTCGACTCATCGTCGCATTAGTTATATTTACTCCTGGATAAATAAAATTTAAAAAAAATTATGCTTAATAGATAATACTGGGAGACAAAAATCAGGTAAATATAATCTGTTCAAAGATTTTGAAAGTGTAGCTTTTTAATCTCCAATGATTTTATATGCTACAAATATTTTTTTTTTAATTGAAAGCTTTACTGTACTAAACGTACTATAACTTATAATATGCATACACGGAATAGTCATTCCAACTGACTGTTAAAGTTTTACCCCCTGTGAATCCTACATCCTACCCCTCTCCTGTACAGTCTCAGTTACCTGGTATCTTAGCTACTTCTTTTAGAATACTCTGTGAGGCTATTGGTTTTGCATATGCTATAACTACAGCGTCGTCACTGGTCAATGCTATTTCTACCGCCTCTGCAGCATTCTGCCACAGTAAGTTTTCATCCAAATTTTCAGCCGAGTTACGTCGATTATTGTACTGCAATGTAATTATGACAAAAATATTACGAGTATATAAGTAGATGAGAATGTAGAGAAAAAAGGCCAAAGAAAGCTCAAAGTTTGATGCAAAATTAATTGGTCAAAGGGGGTCTTTGACCCTTTCATTTTGCATCAATCGGACCTCAAATCCTAATTCAGACCAATGCAAGTAAATGATGTGGAGCAACCAAAAGCATCTATTGACAGGAGACTATTAAGACGATTTCCTAGATTTTTTTGTTTGTGTAACTCAATTTTTATTAGTCAATATTTATAATAGCTTGGGAAAAATTCAAAACATTTTTAATAAAGTTAATTTCATTTAAGTAAAGTACGAAGGTACCATTTTGTTCGATAACTTTTTGCCATCTTGTAGATAGAGACATGATTCCATCGCTTTAGAAATTTTGGGGATTCCGATCCAAAAACTGTGTCAAGTGGCTTTGGCAGACCTCGCGTGATGTTAACCTGACACTGCCTAAAGAATTTTGAAGAGACCGAAACAGCTAAAATCTGAAGGTGCAAAGTCAGGATTATACGACAGATGTATTAACACCTCCCAGCTAAATGTATTAACAACTCTTAATTTTTGCTGAGTGGCAAAAAATGTGTGAGGTCTAGCATTATCGTGATGAAAAACCACATCCCTTATATCGATTAATTCTGGCCGCTTTCTCTCGACTTCTAGCTTTTATCTCATTAGTTGTTCGCAGTAGAGTTCAGAATTGATGGTCCTGCTTGGCGATAACAGCTCATAATGAATAATGCCCTTCCAAACCCACCATCTCTTTCACCTTGAATGAATGAATGAATGAATGAATGAATATACTTTATTGCCCATTAACACATAAACATGAAAACAATTTTTATTAGAAACATCGATGCAAAAGGCGGCCTTATTGCTAAGGTAGCAATCTCTACCAGGCTACCCTTGACTAAAAGAAGCTATACCGATTGAGTAAAGAGACAGCGGGCAAGTGTGTTAAAGAAAGATGAATGTGAAAATTCTTAAAAGTAAATACATATACTAATATAATAAAAAATATATATATATATACAAAACAACACAAAACAGAATACAATTTCAGGAAGATGAATCCAGCTTGAGGAAATGTTCCTTGACATATTTAACAAAGGACTCTCGTGATTGTTCGCGTCTGATATTTACCGGCAGTGAGTTCCACAGTTTGATAGCTCTGATAAAAAACGACTTGGCTACAAAATCAGTTGTATGAGGAGGGATCACTAAGGAAAGGTTATGGGAAGACCTCAAATCTCGGAGAGAATTAGAAGAGTGAAAAACGAAACGATCTTTAAGATATTGCGGTGTTTGAGGATTAAAAAGAATGGAATAAAGAAGCGATAGGATGTGACAGTCTCTTCTACGAGAGATAGGTAGCCATTGAAGTTGGGTACGATAATCAGAGATATGGTCATACTTGCGTAGACCAAAGATGAAAACGATACATAAATTCTGAAGACGTTCAAGCTTATTTAGATGTATGACACTTAGGTCAGAATAACAGGAATCAGCATAGTCAAGCAGTGGGAGAAGCAGGGATTGCGCAAGAGTGATTTTTGTCTTAGTCGGCAATAGATTCTTGAGTCGTTTGAGCGAGCTATATGCACCAAACACTTTCCTACTAACCTCACGAACGTGATGGCTCCACGAAAAATTGCAGTCGAAAAACACACCAAGATTTTTAACGCTGTCTTGAAATGGTATACAATCGCCATTCAAGAGGATAGGTGGCAGCGTATTATAATTTATCCTGTCCAAATACCAATGGCTTCCGATAATTATTGCCTGAGATTTTTGTGGGTTAACTACCAGACCATGTCGTCGGCTCCATTCAGAAATATGCTGAAGATCTACGTTAGTGGTGGCAATTGCCTTTGACAGTCCCTCTATAGGTGCTTGTGTATAAATTTGGAAATCGTCTGCATACATATGATAGGAAGAAGAGAGAGGAAGAGTAATTGAATTAATGAAGATAGTGAAAAGGAGAGGAGACAAAACGCCACCCTGCGGTACTCCGGCAGTTGTGTCGCACCAATCGGAGAAACTGTTTCCCACACTTATGCGCTGCCGTCGCCCGTACAGGTAACTATGAAACCAATCAATTACCGGTGGAGATACATTGAGAGAAACCAACATTGCTAGCAATATGTCAAAATCCACAGTATTAAATGCATTACTAAAGTCTAAAAGTGTTAATATAGTAAGCTGACGATTTTCTATACCCTCGCGTATATCATCTGCAATCTTGACAAGTGCAGTAGTCGTACTATGACCAGCACGGAAACCAGATTAAATGGATTGAGCAGTTTGTTCAAAGAAAGGAATCTACTAAATTGTAAATGAACCAGTTTTTCAAGGACTTTGGATAGGAAGGGCAATATGGAAATAGGACGATAATCTGAAAAGGAATCAGGCTTAAGCTTTTTAGGTACAGGAACAACATTAGCGTCCTTCCATGCAGAAGGGTAAAAAGATTGTTACAAGTTAACCTGAGTATCACCATAGTCTGTAAAGCCTGAACAACCTTTGACCACGATCTTTTTCGCACATTCTTGTCGTACGTGATCCACTTTTTATCATAAGTTATCAGCTTCATCAGAAATGGTTCGGTTTCATTACGCCGTATTAAAGATTCACAAATGAGTACACTGTTCATTAGGTTTCTTTCAGTGAGCTCGCGAGGTACCCAAATATCCAATTTTTTTGTATACTCAGCTTTTTTCAAATGCACCAGAACTGTTTTTTGGTCAATCCTCAGTTACGTCGTAACTACTGACATGCCGATCTTGCTTCATTTTTCAAAAATGAAAATCGCCTAAACGAATTTGTGCTACTCTCACAGAAACTGCACTAGGTCCATAAACGTCACAATTGTTTTTCGCGGCTTGCGGAGCATTTTTATTTTTGGTCCTTAACGTGCATGTTGTAACCAAAATAAGACGAGAAACTTAAGTATTCTTAATAAAAATAAGCTCTGAAGTAGCGAAAAAGTAAAAAGCGCTTGAAAAATTCGTCAGTACTGTTAGATAGCTCAGTGGTTAGAGTAGTTGGATTGCGAAAGGTGGTGGATTCATGTCCCAACTCAGAGTACCAGGGACAAAGTGAGTTATGTCATACTTTTCAGTATAGCCTCGTGAATGCAAAATTGATCAAATATAATAATAAGATGTGAAACAATTGGTTCTAACCTGTTGCAGATTCATCAATCGCAATGACAGCGATGGTAGACCGTCTCTTGCTCTGCGAATGATGATATCCTTCCATAGTTTGTCATCTTCGCTTATCACTGCAAAGTACCTGACGAGCATTGTTAAGTTTTAACAATGTTTTTAATATATTTTTAAGTTTAAAAATATTCTTATTTATGTTACCTTAGGTCGGAGCATAGTTTCCTCGTTGCTAAGTCTAAGTTAGTTACTAAAGTATTGATATCATACTTGTTGCATTGATTTATCGTAACCACATAAACACCTTCTATATCATCTGATCTTGAACAACTTCTTAACAAATTCACGGCGTCTTCTTTACATTTAATAGATTTTGAAGATACCTCTACAACAACGCCTTTTTGTTTCCAATTTCTGATGAGATAAATATAAATGATTGAGGAATATATGGTTTCAATTGTAATACTTGCATCAATCATATTTTTGATACTCACTCTATTTTGTGTTTTACGTAAGGTGATTCCAGACAATGCAAATAGAGTTTTGTAGCGCCGTGGTTCACCAGAGTATCGGCTACTTGTAGCCCAAAGTCACTGTCACATACTACTAAGTGGCTTCGATTAGGTGTGCATGATAACCTTCAATATGGCATAGTATTAGTATTTAAATTAGCCACGTCTAAACTTACTTAACTTTCTATATTATTTTGTCATTAATTAATTAATTACAATTTCATTAAAGTGTCATAAAATTACCAGTATGATAATCAAAACTAATTCGTGTCCTTATAAGGACTTAAAAATAAGGTGAATAAACCCATCACGTGAACTGATCTACGGCGGGTAGATTAAAATTCTTACCAAACACGCTTACACTGTATGCTATACCTTGATTTCACTAGTATAGGGGCCTGTGGAAGTCTCAGAAGCACACGACCACGGTGTCGACTTCCCGCTAGCAAACGGAAAGCACGTGGCGTCTCATGAGGCTCATATGTGACTCGCGACAAAGGTCGGACGTAGCCTCGCCTAATACCTTCACTCATCAACAATTGAAGTTTCTGAAAACAATATTTAATGTAAAGTCTGAAATCGTCAATCATTAAATTATTGAGACTATTTTATCTGTCACTTGTTATTTTATCACTGTTTACTAATTTTTATCGTCTAACTCCTGCGTGCATCATGCTACGTGTCACAACCCGCGATGTTATGCATACATTTCTACATGCTCTTTGCAATTCTACGCGGAACGAACTACAAAATATTTGTAACCGATCCTCGAGGCAACGCGCAGTAGGTATAGCGGGGCCAATTAGATGATGAATATTAATATAGTTAAATATTTTTTAGTTCATGTAATAAATAAATAAAATATATATATAAAATTTACCAACAAAAGTATAGTGTACGATAATAGTCGCGGTAGTTTAAAAAAGAAATTGAATTGCAATCGTTGGCGCTCACCTCCAAGTAGCAAATAATGTTATGTTTCTTATTCTACTATATTATAATTTATGATAATTATTTGAGTTAACAGAACAAAATTATAATTTACGATCCTATTAATTTTTCAGTGTAATTTTAAATTTTATCTTAATTATAGATTAATCAACTGTATATATGTGTGTGTGCGTGTGTTAGTGTGTGTGTATGTGTGTTAGCTAGCGTTTGTTAGAAATTGGTATACAGAGAAAACAGAAGGAATTCAGAAAAACCTATTCAGCAGTTCCTCGGTCTCTTCATAAGTGAGGGTATGAAGACATTTCTCAACCACGATTTTACATTTTCGTATGGTGACACTGTAAATTTTAAGGATTTTATTATTTTGTTGTAAAGTTTGGGGCTCAGGATCTGATATTGACAACTCGCCACTTTACAGGACTCTAATCTACACATTCTATCGGATCTACGCACTCGCTTATTAAAATAAGGATCATAAACTAAGCTAGTATGTTAACGCACCACAGTATTCAATATGAAGGAGTTTCTAATTCTTGGTAAATTACAACGAGCACATAGCTTGTCTGTTGGAAAAGAAAACGGTTTGAGGCACATAACTTTCAGAACAACTTTTTGAGCTCGTTCCAAGCGTAAAAATGAACACTTTCCCCAAGCGGTAATGCAGTACGTAAGAATGGAGTGGGCAAGAGCAAAATATACTGTTCTGAGTGTTTTGACGTCGGCGGAGACCCTTAAATTTCGGAAGACAAAAATGAGTTTCCAAACCCTTGAGATGAGTGAATCAATCTGATCAAGCCAAGTCAGTTTGCTATCCATCATCACACCAAGATATTTTAAGCTATGAGTACTAGTAATCCTAGCACAGTCGCTGTTCGCATAGGTCATCTGTGATATTTTAGATTTGTGGATTACTAGCTCAAATGCATAATCCGGCTGGGAAGCGATTCTTGGGGCAAAGGTGATATATTTGGTTATGTCGGTATAATGTGTAAGTAAATTTGCTGTAAGCTACTCCGTGATTGCTATCTATGCCGATTCCGCACACGAACGAGCTTCCGACCAGTCCTATGAACCAGAATGATGATATCGTCTGCATAAGTAATGATTTCAGAGTTTAATAATGACATCTTACAAAGTTTATTAATGTAGATAAAAAAATGTAGGTCTATGGACACTACCTTGAGGTACTCCATAAATAAGAGGTATCGCATTACTAGTATGATCATTAATTCGAACAACTTGAGAACGTTTAGATAGATAGCTACAGAAAATGTTAAGTGCCAGACCCCTAACACCGAGTCTTCCCAACTTTTTTAATAGTATTGGAACAGAGACAGTGTCAAATGCCTTCGATAAGTCAAGGAAAATGACGATAATTTTTAGTTATTTATTGAAGTTAGATGCCACACCATTAGCCAACTTCAGAACCACATCCTCGGTACTTTTACTGGATTTCAAACCATATTGGTTATCAGCTAAAACGCACTGTGAATTTAAAAATGTAATAAGTCGTGGTGGTAGTAAGTAAACCCAATGAAAAATTGCGTATATGTGCCGATTATAAAGTAACATTGAACCCCTCTTTGTTGGTCAATAGGTATCCATTACCCCGTGTAAAAAAATTATTTTCAGACTTAAACGGGAGTATTCAGTTTTCCGAAATTGATTTATCGTCTGCCTTTAACCAAATTGAACTAGACGACTCAAAAAATACACGCTATCAACACACATCGCGGCTTGTTTAGATATAATAGGTTAGTGTTTGGCTTAGCTTCGAGTCCGTCAATATTTCAGCGTATTATGACAAATATTATGCGAAATATTCCTGGAGTTTCATTTTTGGACGATGTATTGATAACGGCCAAGAACACAATAAATCATATTAAAACATTGGAAATTGTTTTTGAAAGATTACGTAACAGAGGATAAAAATTGAATAGAAAGAAAAGAGCTATTAATAAAAACGGTATTCGTACAGATTCCGATAAAGTGGAAGCCATAGTCAAATTGCCTAGACCAACAAATTTAGTCGAGTTACGGTCTTTTTTGGGTATGGTTAATTTTTATGCTAAGTTTATTAAAAATGTAAGTTCACATTTAACGCAATTATATTCACTACTTAAGAAAACATCTAAGTGATATTGGAGTAAACAGTGTGAAGATGTATTATTTTGATTAAAAACTTATTAACGAGTGCTAACGTGCTCTCGCACTATGATCATAATAAGTTACTTATTCTGACATGCGATGCAAGCGCGCACGGAGTGGAAGCTGTGCTGACTCAGCCTAACACGCAGGGCGGGCGGGACTAACGAGCTATAAGTTACGCGTCGCGGACGCTAACGCCTGCCGAACAAAAATAAAGTCAAATCCAACGTGAAGCGCTAGCTATTGTGTTTGCAGTTAAAAAGTTTCACCAATATTAATATGGCAGAAAATTTTTATTACGTACGGATCACAAACCGTTAGTTACAATTTTCGTCCCGAAAGCGGGCGTTCCTTGTATGGCAGCGAACCGTCTCCAGCAGTGGGCTATTATTTTTTCAGCGTATACTTTTGATATTAAATACGTAAAAACTAATAAAAAATAATGCAGACGTATTATTACGCTTGCCATTACACGAGACAAAGTCTACCAAAGAATCTGTTCCCGAACAAACTTATTTACATTTTGCAAGAGGTGCATTACAATTAGATTATAAAAAAATGTGCAATGAAACTCAGACAGCTACATCCATATAGAACTCAAACAACTACAGCCGGCGGAGATAGAATTCAAACAACTACATCCATATTTTAACCGTAAAAACGAAATATATTCAGAGTTAGGATGTCTTATGTGGGGTCACCGGAAAAGTGTCGTGAGGGAGTGCTTAGAGAGCTACATGAAACATATTTAGGAATAGTAAAGATGAAAAGTTTGGCTAGGAGTTATGTATGGTGGGCGGGTCTAGACGAGCAGATTGAGACCGTCTGCCGCAACTGCGACACCTGTGGCGCGCTTGCGCCTGCGCCGGCTGCGCACGAACCTCGTCCTTGGCCTTGGTGTCCGCGACCTTGGCGACGTATACATATTGACTATGCGGTTTGCGACGAGATTTTCACCCTAGGGATCACATATATTTTAGAAACTATGGTCAGAACCATAAATGGGTTTCTGGTGAAGTTCAATCAAAACTCGGTTCGACTAACTTTATACGAGGGTCAAACTGAAAGTTCTTAGAAAATCAAAAACTGATTACATTAGCCAGTTATTAGTTTTATTATATCTTTTCAAAATATTGTCCATTCACGTCAATACACCGCTGCATGCGATGGAACCACTGGGAAAAGCACTTTGCCCACTCGTCCTTAGGGGTCTCTTCAATGGCATCGCGATACGCAGCCACCGCTTCTTCAGCATTCATAAACCGCTTTCCTTTAAGTTTTTCTTTAATTTTTGGAAATAAATAAAAATCACAAGGCGCGAGGTCGGGGCGATACGGCGGGTGACCCAGTAATTCAACGTTTGATGTCGCCAAATAGTCGATCGTTCGCTTGGCGGTGTGCGACGAGGCGTTGTCGTGGTGAAGGAGGATCCTACTGCGAGGTCGTTTCTCTCGAACTTTTTCCAAGACAAGTGGCAAACAATTGGTAGTGTACCATTCTGCAGAAACTGTTTTTTGATCCTCTAACACAATTGTTGCAAAATGACCTATCCTTCCAAAGAACGAGGCCACCATTTTTTTTCCCGCACTTCGATCTCTCTTCTTTACTTTAGTTGGCAACTCCTCGAAAGGAAACACCCACTGAGCAGATTGTCTTTTGGTTTTAGGATCATAACAGTAAATCCAGCTTTCGTCACCTGTTAGTATGTCGAACACAGCATTTGAGTCACCTCCGTTAAATCTTTCAATCATTTTACGACACCAATCCACACGATGGAGTTTTTGAGCCTCAGTCAAATTATGAGGTATCCACCGGGCGCAAAGCTTCCTGACCGCTAAATGTTCGTGGAGGATTTTGTGCACTTGACTCATACCGATGCCTAAGCTTGTCCGAATCTGTTGATAGGTCACTCTTTTGTCAGTCTCTATCATACGCCGCACAACACAGATGTTATCTTCAGTCGTCGCCGTAGAAGGCCGTCCCTCACGTAAATCATCAGTGAGATTAGTGCGACCACGTTTAAACTCATTAAACCAGTTGTAAACAGTCGCACGAGATGGGGCTTCATCGTGAAAGGCCAATCGTAGTCTATCATAACTTTCTTGTTGACTTAAATGACATCGAAAGTCATAAAAAATCATTGCACGAAAATTTTCTCGTGTTAAATTCATGATGACGTGACACAGACAATTTTCAATTTGCCGCCAAATCGTAAAACAAATGACAAATGAATGAAATATATACTCAGTAATATTGGCAAAGAGTTATATTTTCAAATTTTAGAATTATTTTTTTATTATATTGTTTATAAGTGGCCAGTTCTAAGAACTTTCAGTTTGACCCTCGTAGTACGGGATAATATGGGAAGGGAGTCGCATCGGCATATTGATCAACTAAAGAGGCGGTCTAGGAGTTCACTTGTGGCACCTTCCTGCTCGTCAACTGAGCACAATCACAGGGAAGAAAAGGAGACAGGCTCTGATATATCACGTGACAGGGACAATGATGATATAATTACTCTTAATAACCCCAGCCAGAAGTTCGAAATCGTTGATGATGCGCCTGTATCAACCGCACATGCAGCGTCACCTAGTCACCGTGATCTGGGTTCCGATAACAGTAAACGTATCCGGAAACCGGTGAAACGATTTGGTATCGATATAGATTAAAATTAGTACCTACTGTCTTAACCATTAATGTTCAGTTTATTTTTTTATAATTTTTTCATATTATAGATATATATTATATAATTTGTAGTGAGGTGTTATATAGGTAGATTAATAAGAATCCCGAATGTCGGGTATGTTTGTTACCGATTCAACTCCTTTGTGTCGCAATACCACTGATAACGAATAGACTCTTTTTATTTCGCTCCTCCAGTATATACTTTTATTTAAAGAAGGCATTCGATCTTGTAGACAATGACATTTTGTTGCAAAAATTGGCAAAGGCGGGTTATGTTCCAAAACTTCTCCACTTTTTTGCAAATTATCTGTGAGATCGTCGCCAGTTTGTGCGACTAGGAAAATTTGTATCAGAAAAGTACTATACGGGATCTGGAGTAAGCCAAGGAAGTACGCTTGGGTCGACGCTTTTGTTGATCATGATTAACGATCTGCCCGAGACTGTCGAAACAGCGCGATGTCTTCTTTTTGCTGATGATTTAAAACTATATCTCGGTATTAGAGGCGTTGAAGATACACTAAGTTTGCAAATGGACTTAAATGCTGTATCGGAATAGAGCAGTAATAACAATCTCCCTTTTAACAACGCCAAATGTAAAACTTTTACTTTCATGCGAAAACGAAGCTTTATAAAAGTGGATTATAAATTATCTGACGTATCTCTAGAAAGAGTAAATAAAATTCGCGATTTAGTACTAACTTTAGACTATTAACTTGAATTTCACACACATGTGATTAATATTAGTAAATCTGCGAATAAGCTTTTAGGTTTTATTATAAGAACATCCTCCGATTTCAGTGATATGTCCGTGGCTAGTGTATTATATAATGCCTATGTTCGCAGTAAACTTGAGTATGGAGCAGTTATTTGGGATCCGCACAAAGATAAATATGAACTCATGATATGAGAGACTACAAAGAAAGTATGCACGCTGGTTATATAAAAAAATCTACGGCTATTACCCGTATTTGTACCCGTCTCTATTTGTATCAGGCATGCTTAACCTGGAGACCGTAGCACATCGAAGAAAAGTTCTCCTCGCTGCACATTACCTCTCTGTGCTCTATAACAAAGTAGATTGCCCAGATGTATTAGAAAAGGTGAGCATTTCGGTTCCCATGCTTGTTTCGAGCGATGCTGCAGGTTTAGTGAAACCACGACGAATGCCGCGTCTTCTCCCTCGACCTCTCACTCGTACTGTTTATGCTTCGCAGGCACCCACAGTACGCGCAATGCGTCTGATCGGTGACATGCTCGCTCATCACGAGAAATCTGATTTGTTTGTGGATGGTGTAAGACAACTAGTAGCTATGACTAGACGATTTCTAAATTTTATAGATTTCAGCAGCAGGATATAGTTGACATTATGTGTATTCATAATAACATTAATTATTTGAATTGGCATGAATTGTAGTTTTCCAAATTGTAATTTATTTCTCTATATTTAGTTGTATTATCATTTTAATTTTGACTTTAAAGCTAAGCTAATAAATTTATCGAATTTTAATTTGAAATTTCTTATTATTTCTTGACATTTTGTATAACTTGCATGTGTGTTGGACTTAAAATCTGTGAACTTGCAAGTGTATGTAACGTAGGCGGGATGATAAATAGCTAGCCCAACACATATTTTGTATAATAACGATATAAAATCTCCTTAGTATTTTCAACATTGGTTCATTAGCTGCCAGTGTTCCAAATTTCAAATCGATCGTATAGTTTTTCTTTTAAATATTGACATTTCAAAAAGCATTATTTTGTTTTTTCTGCAAAATGGATAAAATTGAGCCACGACCTGTGATAAAGTTTTTGCATTTAAGAGGATTAAAAGGTGGAGAGTTTTTTTCGGAGATGAAGGATGTTTTGGGAGAAAATGCTCCTTCATATGCGACCATAAAAAATTGGGTGGCTGAATATAAACGTGGCCGTACCAGCACCCAAGATGAACATCGTCCAGGATGTCCAAAAAGTGCCACTACTCCAGAAATTGTGATCCAAATTCATGATACAGTTTTAGCTGATCGAAGATTGATTCCGAGATAGCTGATACTGTAGGCATATCTAAAGAACGGGCGCATTACATTTTGACTCAAGAAATATGTATGAAAAAATTATCTGCAAGGTGGGTGCCGCGATTGCCTACAGTTGACCAAAAACGCGTTCGTATGCAAATTTCACAAGAATGTTTGGACCGCTTTAAATTGCAATTCAACTGATTTTCTGCGACGGTTTGTAACTACAGACGAGACTTGGGTTCACTACTATATACCTGAATCAAAAATTCAGTCTAAACAATGTACGGAAAAAGGATCCCCGGCTCCAAAGAAAGCAAAAGCCGTGAAATCAGCGGGAAAAGTCATGGCGTCAGTATTTTGGGAAGGGTATATTGATGATTGATTACCTTCCAAAAGGACAAAACATAAATGGCGAATATTATGCTGATCTACTGGATAAATTACAAGTATGTATTCGTGAAAAAAGACCCGGCCTGGCTAAAAAAAATAATCTTTCATCAGGATAATGCGCGCGTTCACACGTGCATCACTGCGATGGCGAAATTCAAAGAATTAAATTATGATTTGCTACCACACCCAGCTTATTTTCCTGATCTGGCACCATCTGACTTTCATCTATTCCCTAAATTCAAAAATTTTTAGGTGGACAAAGATTTGAAAATAATAGCGAGGTGATGTCTGCCGTGGACAGTTATTTTGAAGGGCTTGAAGAAAACCACTTAGATGAAGTGCATAGCGCTTCAAGGAGACTATGTCGAAAAATAAATATACTTTTAACACACTAATTCAAGTTTTTCTATGCTAGCTATTTATCATCTTCCCCTCGTATAATAATAAATAAATAAATAAATACTATTTGGCGACGAGGATATCGAACAATATTTCGCTCCTCCAGTATATACTACTTAGCAGCCCTGACAAGCGTGGCTGAGATACCATCGCATCCAATAGCGCTAACCTGATGAAGATCGATTATAAAACCCTCAACCTCGCAATTATCCGTATTGAGAAAATCCATTGAATCAAATACACAAGGCATATCAAACAATAATTTTGATCCTGTATGGGTATTATAGCTAGTTGGTTTTATTTTAGCAGCTAGATTTTTACCAATATGAGCAAAAAATGAGTTTACAGTGTTTACCGAATTCAATGGATTATCATTAATGGATAGGAGGTGCGAAGCAATCATCCAGCGTCCAGGTCGTCTTAGGACTTTTGTTATATTTTTTCATCTTTATTTTTTCGATCTTTCAAATTTACGTTTAATTTCCTTTAGTAAATTATTGCAAAAAATTCTGTATCTTATATAGGTAATCCGTAAGCAATGATTTTTTGGGTTTCTTTCAGAATTTTTATATCTTATGCGACGCACTAACCCTGGTGTGATCCAGGGTTTTAAAATTCTGTTTCTGCTTCTAAAGTCATTAGACAGTTACTGGTGACAATTTTTGATAATATGTCAACAAGGTTTGTTGCCACTTTAGTGGCATTATTCGTATTGGGAACTGACGAGAAGTCAGTTTTTTCAATAACTGATGCACATGCAAAGATGTCAGTACGCGTTATAGCTTAATGCTGTTTTTGCAGTTTCAAATTTAATGTTACAAACGATAACCATTGGAGTGTGGTCGGTGATATGGGAATCAAGTATAAGAGTAAGGACAAATTACAAAATTATAGTTGTGCAGCTACTTACTCTCATCTCTAACAAGTTATTTTCTCTAAAGATGGAAGAAAAGTCCGTTACAGAGTACGAACGCGAGAAGAACATGTGACTCATTCCAAATGAAAAATTTTGCGGTTCTACTAACTGTGTTATATCAACTGTGTATCCTGAGCAGCCACAGCAGCTAAGGGAAATCTGCAATAAATTATTTTAGATTAGAAATGATTATACATAACGATTATATATAACTTCACGATTATTCAAGTTTAAAAACCAACATCATTATGGTATTTCTTATACTTACATCTTTCAACTCCCCTTTGATGTAACCACAAACTAGATCGCAGCCTCCATCATAATTATTTTGTTTCAAATGTTTCTTAATCATATCCGCAAAAGTACCATCTCTGGAATTTCCTATGTGGTCATCTGAAAAAGTGGTAAAAATCATATAGCGACATATTTTTTAGTAATTAAAGCTCAGTAAATTATAAAATAAACTTAAATTAATTTTACCTCTCAAGTCAGGAAAGAGTTTCTTGAGAAAGCGTTTTTTGCTTAGATCGCTGACTGTAGTGAATACTCTACAATCATGTGCAAGGGCGATGGATATAATGGCCTGGCCCATAGCTCCTGTTCCGCCATGCACGAGGATCGACATACCTTTTTTAAGCTCGAATTTTATGTTCTGTATAAAAAAATAAGATTGTGCAGTATGTTTAGAGTATTGAGCAAATTCTAATAGGAAAGTCATACACTGCACAGAAACAATCCTATTGAAAAATTATTCGCTATATAAGCTTTTTGTTTGTTTTATCAGATTTCTAAATTCGGCAATGAAATTTTTATAAAAATGGGATTTTAATTAGAATGGTAAATGATACGTAGGCGGGATGATAAATAGCTAGCCCAACCCATATTTTGTATAATAACGATATAAAATCTCCTTAGTATTTTACTCATTGGTTCATTAGCTGCCAGTGTTCCAAATTTCAAATCGATCGTATAGTTTTTCTCTTAAATATTGACATTTCAAAAAGCATTATTTTGTTTTTTCTGCAAAATGGATAAAATAGAGCTACGAGCTCTGATAAAGTTTTTGCATTTAAAAGGATTAATAGGTGGAGAGATTTTTTCGGAGATGAAGGATGTTTTGGGAGAAAATGCTCTTTCATATGCGACCATAAAAAATTGGGTGGCTGAATTTAAACGTGGCCGTAACAGCACCGAAGATGAACATCATCCAGGACGTCCAAAAAGTGCCACTACTTCAGAAATTGTGATCAAAATTCATGATGCAGTTTTAGCTGACCGAAGATTGAAACTTTCCGAGATAGCTGATACTGTAGGCATCTCTAAAGAACGGGCGCATTACATTTTGACTCAAGAATTATCTATGAAAAAATTATCCGCAAGGTGGTGCCGCGATTGCTTACAGCTGACCAAAAACGCGTTCCACTAGAATATTTAGACCGCTTTAAGAGCAATACAAGTGATTTTCTGCGACGGTTTGTTACTACAGACGAGACTTGGGTTCGCCACTATATACCCGAATCAAAAATTCAGTCTAAACAATGGACGGAAAAAGGATCCCTGGCTCCAAAGAAAGCAAAAGCCGTGAAATCAGCGGGGAAAGTCATGGCGTCAGTATTTTGGGATTCGAAGGGTATATTGATGATTGATTACCTTCCAAAAGGACAAAACATAAATGGCGAATATTATGCTGATCTACTGGATAAATTACAAGTGTGTATTCGTTAAAAAAGACCCGGCCTGGCTAAAAAAAAAATACTTTTCATCAGGATAATGCGCGCGTTCACACGTGCATCACTGCGATGGCGAAATTCAAAGAATTAAATTATGATTTGCTACCACACCCAGCTTATTTTCCTGATCTGGCACCATCTGACTTTCATCTATTCCCTAAGTTCAAAATGTTTGTAGATGGACAAAGATTTGAAAATAATAGCGAGGTTATGTCTGCCGTGGACAGTTATTTTGAAGGGCTTGAAGAAAGCCACTTCAGGCACATCAAGGCTTTAGAGCATAGATGGATGAAGTGCATAGCGCTTCAAGGAGACTATGTCGAAAAATAAATATACTTTTAACACACTACTTCAAGTTTTTCTATGCTAGGCTAGCTATTTATCATCCCGCACTCGTATTTAATACTAAATAGCTTCTATTTCTAGAAACTATGGCAGTAAACTGACCAGACAGTAAAATGCATGAGCGTATGCCAAAGGCACTGTGGCTGCGTCCTCCAGGTTCCAATGTTCTGGCACTGGCCATAAGAGCTCAGGACGAGCTCGCAACTTGCTGCTTGCAGACCTACCGGCTACTAAACCCATCACACGATCACCTCTAGACATAATTATCACTTTTGAAAAATAATACGTATTTAAATAGTGAAACTTAGTAAATATCATTAAAATTTAGGTTTTCAATTGAAGTACTACAAATTATTCAGCAAGACTTTTATTTTAACTTAACTATTTTTAATCAAACCTGTCTGTTATTCCGCTGAAATCCATACCAAAACCATCGTTTTCAGAATAATTTATGTTCTCTCCCGTCACTGCCTTTGCATCTTTAACATTGAGGCCAACGTAGTGAACCTATAACGGATGAAATAATTGCGTAATAAAATAACGTGGATCCGGTCCACACGTTATAACATCAAACCATAACTTGCGAACGTCATGTTTAGTTCTATGGATTGCAGTTTTTATACATTTATGTCTATTTAGTTCGACTACACGATAATCATATTGTGATTGACAATAAACGATGCTTTATTTTTTTATTAGTCTTATTGAGAAGCTAGAGTTTTTTACTATGTTTTCGTGCTTCATTTTTATAATCGCTTGTAACTTCGGCGGGTCGTCAACATTAACACAAGTGTTTGTATTCATTTTCATTTTTTAATATTCTATTAATTAATTAGATGCGCATTTATAAGGATTTTGATGATATCTTATTTTCCTAATATATAGTATATTGTTTGTTATACATGTTATTTACAGCAGCCAATAAATTTGTTAATCTACAACTTACAGTTACTTCTACTCCTGATCCTGACGGGTCTTGAACTTCGACCCACCTTAGTGAATCTATATTACCAGGTTGAGAACATTTTAGTTCACATGTAGCTGCTTTGCTTTCACATATCGTTGGCACATAATAATCATTTCCCCATACATTCTGGTGAAAAATTAAAAAGTATTTATGTAAATTTTGAAAATGATAATCCATAAAACTGACCAAGCAGATTTTATTAACACGTTCACTGCGGCAAGTAAAATCATTATTATTCATCTGGTGCGGCGGCGGGTCAAAATGTGCCCCCAATAATATTTCCGGCAGTGCGTAGCAGGTTTTTCTAGACCCACCAGCACTAGGATAGATTAAATTGCTATAACTTTGTGGAAACATAATATATACATTTTTTTTATATTGTTAGAATGACCTTGAACCAAACTTCATTAGGTTTGATTTACTCCAGGATCTGCCAAACAGGAAATGAGAAATAAAGCACGAAAACGGCAGACCGATATCGACCTGAACCGCACTTGAAAGTATTTTTAGTAGTGACGAGACAGAGAAAAATAAGGGGATATAGAAAACAAAACAGAATTATCGTAAAGGAATTAAAAAATGTTTTTATTTACATATGCCTGTCTTGGAAACATATTACGCAAAGGTTTTGGTTGCATTTCCTGCAATATTTATTTATTTTGCTTGGGTGCTATATCAGGTTTTCCAAACTGAACAACTTTCAATAACTGCAGGGCGAATTACTCTATTTTCCAAAATTTGTATTTTTCTTTTATTGCTTGCCATTGTTGAATACATTAGATCAATTAGATAGCACAACACTAACTGGCGGGACGCGCGCTTTGTGCGATATCGGGTCGACAACTGCCTGTTGGAAGGGCGGGTCGAAATAGGCTCGCTGCCGCACTCAGCGGATGTTTTTCACCGTCAGTGCGTGGTAGGTCAATAAAAGCCTGCCGTTATGTTTTGATGGGGAACACCTACAATTTTGGCCGCAAGATGAACTATATATTTGTCTCTGTCGTATTTATATAAACACCTGAGATAATCGTTTCGCACTAGCGAGAAGGACATAGAAAGACAGCTGAAATACCGCGGCAGGCCGATATCGGCCTGTTACGCAGTGAACGTTTTAAACCGTAATACAAAAGTTGTTTTTATTTTATTATATTAGGTCATTTGTGTAAATTAAGTTTCGAAACTCACATTTTGTAAAGCGCAATATGGCACATCAGGAATGTTATCTAACTCTTTATCGAAAGAATCTTTTTGGTCAAACATCATCAAAGATATATTCTTATTATAGTCTCTCCAATGCTTCACAATATCCTTCACAGCATAAGGGGCAGGGTATGAAGACATAACCAGTAACTTATGTTGTTTGGGCAAGTCTCTTAACACTTCACTTATATGATGAACATCGGTGTTTGTTGATACTGAAATTGCAGTAGTGTGAGGTGCTCTTGGAATTGGTTTGAGTATAGCAAATTCTACTTTGTTTTGTCCAGTGCCGAAAGATGAGATAGAACTATATAGCGCTGTAGGGTAAATATTTTTTGTTTCTACCCCTATGTTAAGTATGCAAGTATTAGCTTTTGTATGTTGGTAAAGAGCTTCAAAAACCTGAAAGCCATAAAAATAAAATTCACTTTCAATCATTTTATTTTCCAAAAACATAACTCGTCTTATATGACTTAAAAATCAACTGTCTCAAATGTTCTAGCAATGAAAAGTATGGCATTACGAATGTGAAATTTATCAAAGATATACATACCTTTTTATCTTTTAGTAAATAAGGTAGTATTATTACATCATATTTTTCAATTACATTTATAGATTGTAAAAGATGTTCAAAGTCAATTTGTATAGCTTCGATTCTTATTATTGCTTGATTCTCTAATATTGACATAATTTTAGTGACGAAATTGCGCCTATTTGGAATATTGACTATGTACAATGTCAATTTATTTTTATTGAGATATTCCGCTATTATTTGCAATACAATATAGATGGACAATCCAATCTGAAAGATATTAAATAAAAAATTTGCTTAAATGTTTAAAAAAATACAAAACTATTCTCAATGAAAAATGCTTAAAAATCCACTTTGTCCCTGGCACTCTGAAATGGGACTCGAACCCATGACCGTTCGTAATCCGGGTGACTGCTCTAACCACTGAGCTACCCCGTACCTAATAGGACTGACGAATTTTTCAAACACTTGTTATATTTTTGCTACTACAGAGCATATTGAGCTTTCGTAATCTGGGCGACTGCTTTTCAAACTTTTCTAAACTCTGTTAAGGATTTTTTTTATTTGGGATTAATAAGTAACGGTTTAATTAGACTTGGGCAGTTACTGCATCGGACACACCTTGCATCCTTGAGGCTTAACCGAGTTTGATTTAACATTTATTATATTTTGAAACACACACCTTATCAAATTCACGCTACTCTTTGACCACAAAAGTACCGCAAAATTATTAAATACAAAACATAATTTTTAAATAATAAATTCTTTTTGGGTATTTGCTTCAATTCCCACGGACCCGATTTATTTAAGTTCCTATTGTCTTTTACATTGGTAACCCACAGTTTTTATTGAACGTAAGCACCCTTCAGGTATTTTTGAAATGATGTACTCAATCTTAGTTTTGGTGACCGTCGTAAATAAAAGATATTGACACCTCTTTGGTGATCTCTTTTTTACCCTTTCTCTCTTTCACCTTCTATATATGTGGCTATTCAGACCACAGCATTTCGATACCGAAGTGATAATAATAATTTGTTTTGACATACAAAGTCTCCCGCCGTAGATTAACGAACCGATGGCGTAGCTCTCGACTTTGACAAGTGCTTGTAACAGCCTAGACTGAATAAATAATTTATACTTTGACTTTTTGTTTCTGACATGTTTATACAATAGAAGCTAAGTATCGACGAAAATGTATGAAGAATCACAAGTTGGGTACCTTGATATTCTAGGTAAAACTGTCAAATTTATTAGAAATAAAAAGTTTAATTCCATTAAAATAAGGTCGCAATGTCACAAATTGTATCAAATATATTCAAAACATGCATATTTCCAAACCTAACACTTTTATAAAATGCAGCGTTTGAATGCATGTATTATATGGCGCGTTTATTGCCTCAACCAAGCTTCTACTGCGAAAAAACCTTATGTTTATTCCCTTTTGTCCACGTTGGCGAGACCGAGATAGTAAATAATATACTTACATCGTTTATGTCACTTTGAAAGAAGGACTGGAACTTTTGTGATTGTAATGCAGTTACTTGACGTATACGTAGTGGTTTAGATTTGAAAAAAATATGCTCAATAGTGACACCACCACACCTGAAAACAAAACTGATGTTATTTAGAATAGCAAGGTTTTGCTTTAGTAAATAAATCGAGTCTATATAGTCTAAGAGATCGAGACAAAAATATGCAAGAGATTTCTGAAGCTTCACATTTCAGTATGTTAAAGTATTAAAGGTATATACATAGTAATTAGCGAAAAACTTATTCTTAATTCAATAAAGTAGACTAAAGATCTCAGCCCCCTTACTCTCGAACGCAATCGCGACTGATCGATATTGCAATTGTGCCGCTCCGCACTCTTGATTGGTGCACTAGCATACTCTGGCGCTAGTGTAAGGTGGCTGATTGCATAATCATAAAACGCGGCGACTCGACATATCTCAGAAATTGGTATGGAAATGAGCTCCGAAACAGTTTCATAATGGTTGAGTGTTAATTTAATAATACATGATAAGTAGCAACTTTATAAAAAATAGGCTTAACCTTTTATATAGGCTTAAAAAAACATATTCATAAAAACATAAAAGTTGGTTTCGCGCTTCAGCCAAAAGGTGTTCGAGCATCTGATGAAGTCCGCACTGGGTACTGAGTGATTTATATTATTTCTTAATTCAACATACTAAAATAAGTAGCTCAAGAATACAAACTGTTTTTCTGTGACTAATATGCGAATTTTCGGTCACTTGTCCTATAACTGACCCTTGGGAAAGTTGCTTTAACTCCATACCGTAGATCGAGCCCACTAACCACACTATCAGAACTGACAGATAGTAGTTAAAAACATTCAATCTTACAAACTGCTGTAATTTCTCAGCCCTTTTATCCCAAAATCGCCCTAACATGTTTTGAACATAATTTGTCGCTTATTTATTTCTCTATAGTTAACTTCTTTTTTAATTCGCAATATTTCTTTATTAAAATCCGTTGCATACCTGGTCCTCTTATGAACATCTGAGTAACTAAATAAAAACATGTCATCGCGACAGAAATGTATCATCTCGCTTATGTGCACTTTAATGTCCACAACAATTTTCTTGATGAAGCTTATTTCGTTGCCGGTCTGGCCTAGGAAATTTCTCAAGATGGAAGTCTGAAATACTCCATCTATGAAAGTCACCCAGTTATCTCGCCACTGGACTTGTCCTTGAGTCATGGATGTACTGACAGTGTGAAGACTTCGGAACTCATCTCTGTAGGTGGGATTATTATTATTAGCTTTGATTTAGTGTTTCTTTTGGAAATGTGCTTTTATAAAAAATTCGTTCTATACAGGAAAAATTTCCAACTAGCACTTTATCCAAACATTTAGAGCAATAAGTTGGAATGTATGAGTAAGACTTTGTGTTATATATATATATATATATATATATATATATATATATATATATATATATATATATATATATATATATATATTAATCTGGGATCGATCTTACTTGTAATCAAATCCTTTTTCATAAAATATTTTATAAATATCATCTTTCGTCAAATTTTCATTATCATAATTATCAACAATATGATTATCTTGTTCCATAGCAAATCGTCTGCCTGCTATTATAATAGCTGATCCTTCGATAATTATTCCTTTATCACAAGCCACCTGAAAAAATAGATTTTATTTTACTTTATTCCGCTCAGATTGTTAGGTCAAAGAACTTTCCTATAAATTAAAACTATACTTTTCGTAAAAACTGTACTATATTATAAAAAATATACCATCACAGATATCCAATGTGTATTAGTATTAAATACTGAAATTATGTATAGCTCGAACCAATGGCCTGGCATGCTTTAAGCACGAAAGGACTCGAGAGAATTAGATCGCCCATAAATTATCAACATTTATTAAGTCACTTCAACCTCACAATCACACTCTGAACGCGTAAATCACCACGCCATTAACTCATAGTTTCTCACAATGAATATGTACAAACGGTGTATAGCATTCTTTGTATTCCGTGTTATATATTACCAACCTCAAAACGTCCACTGCCTCTCTGGACTGTGATTGTCAGATACAACACTTGATGGTCATGCACTGGAGGTTGCGAGTAGAACTTCACGTCGGAAAACCGTATAGAAATTTCGCGTTTCTTGTGACCTGCTGTCATGGCAATAGTGTCCCACACTGCTACTAATGCTGCAGCGTATGGAAATACTCTAACACCTGAAGAATATGAAGCAACAATCATAAAATTATTGCTAGCAATGGGTATATTATTCATATCATATTCATTCTGAATATTAAGCTACTTTCATATTGGCTAATTCCATATTCAATACTATTGTTAGTGATTCACAAGCAGGGTAAAAGCAAACGATGTCACAATTTTTTTCCCCAATCATGAGCATTCACAGCTATAATAATATTTACCATCACAAAAATGTCCATTAATATACTTGTACTCGTCATCTTCCATGGCTACCAGTAGTTTCAATACGGAGCAGTAAGTTCGATCCCCATTGAGGTATTCACAAATTTTCCTGTTAGCAACAAATGTTTCGTAATTAATTTACAACAATTCTAACGAAATTTAGTTTGCAATATATATATTCGAATTTATGTAGAAATTATTATAAGACCATCGTCTTTTTTCTATCTCTCTCTCTGTTTATAATGTTTTGATCTGGTAATGACATGGTTTTTGTAAATGTCATTACTCTTAGTAGAACTGGTGAGTTTCTTGCTCGTTCTTCGTATCAGCCAAAAGACGTCCTGAACGAGTGGTAGGGAAAAAAATGTTGGACAATTCAAAAGTATTTTTAAGAAGTCTATTTGAATAAAGATTATTTTGACTTTGACATTAAATTTCCAAGTACCTATACAAAAATAAAACAAAAAGACGCCGACACTGATAGAATACTTCATATTTATATCAGATAAATCCATTTCACTATCGTAAAACACCAAAGAACAAAACAATATTTGTAATTCAAATAAAATAACCAGAGAAAGGAAGTCACAGTTTCAGGAAATTATTTCTCACCATTTTTCTCCATGTGCCCATTCCACCAAATGTGATAGTGGCCGAGTCTTTGTTGACACTGGAAACTCAATTTTCGGATACAGAGCGCTGATATCTATATCGTAACCTTCTATGTAGAGACTGAAATTATAGCAGGACAGATTAACGAAATAATTTCTTTTAATTGCTGATTAATATGTTTCATCTCTTTTTTATATTTGTAAGTGTCCAATAAAAATCACAACACAAACTCCCTTACAATTTTATTTAACTTTCCAGTAATATTATTGAAGCAACGAGGAGACTCAGTACATATATTTTCAAAGCAAAAACGACACTATAGATAATGTTGCGTCTCTGTGTGATAGTTTTCAAGGAAATTTGGTTCTACTTTTATAATTTCCAAACATCAACTATCGGAATCACGTTTTTGATTTTGTTTATTCATAAAATCTCAAAGGAATACGTTAATTAGTATTTACGAATACTTACTTCCCTAAGGCGTTCAATAAGAAGATCACAGCATCTTTCTCGCCACGTCGTGTCAGAGGTACATGCTTACAATTTTCAGAAAGAGCTCTCTTCAAGATAGCTTGTAAAAGGCCATGTGGAGCTATCTCTACCAGCACAGCGTTACTTGGAACATGATGCAGTACTTCTTCAAATAGTACTTTATTCTAATGGAAAGAAGAATTATAAATTGTTCAAGGTATGCATAATAATAGGTACATTTTAGGTATATTTTGTCTCGATTCAGCAAATTATCGAGACACTCTCTTAACTTTGATTACCCAGATTTCTAATCAATTGCTGATATGTTATTTTTGTTTCGGTTAGCAAATTTATTATTTAATGAATAGGTAGGGAGTATAGTGATTACGCCTTACGTTACTAATTAGGGCTATGCTTATTGAAGAAGATTCAGAATCAGATTTTTTAATTACTGGCAATTGTTTTTAATATATTTAGAATTTACCACGGCATTCTAAAGCCCGATTTAGTATTGGCATTACACTAACGCACCAGTAAATTGTTCGTGTGATATTGAGCTGAAGAATATTTAGCGCGAGGATCACCCCACTGCTCTGGCGGTACAGAAGAAGACAGCCATTTCGAGCTTCTTAACTTTGACTCTTTCACTACTTCTTGAGACATCTTAAGGAATTCAGGACCTGCAATTATCGTATACCGTATTGAGATTATGCTGAGGATATCCATTTATTAAAAACTACATATTTTAATACAAATAGTGTTATCCACAAAAATTCATCTTATATCGAATAGGTAATGTTATTCTGCGTGGAAAAAAGATACCTACCGATTAGCCAATATTACCTATATTACATGAAGATACATATCTCACTTTATTATGTATTTGTTCTGCAATATTAAAGAGTAACCGTAACCAGTTCTTATTATATATTAAACTTAATCAACCAACATTCAATTGTATCTATCGCTCTGCCATACTAACCTGCACCAGCAATGTACCGCGAATGGTAAGGTATATTAGAGCATTGCACCTCTTTGGCAAATACACCTCTTTTTGCTAGAACTTTTACAAATGCTTTCACTGACTCTTCGGGTCCTGATATGGTACTCGAACTTGCACTGTTATGACAAACCACTTCAATTTCCTGTGGACAGATCTGGGACAGCTGGAAAATATATATATTTTTAAGACCTTTAAAGTATATGAACTGTTTCAGTTAGATATTTACAACGTAATACACACTGCGGCTTCAATTGGCAATGATAAATTATGACAATAAGGTGTTGCTTATGTAAATTGATTATTTATTCCTGATACACTTTTGTTATCTCGAGCTACTCCATGCTTCGGAAGGCAAGTTAAGCCGTTGGTCCCGGCTGTACTTGCAGTCGTTAATACCCTCCAATCCGCATTGGGCCAGCGTAGAGGGTCATGGCCCATCCTCCTTAACCATCCATAAGGAAGGCCTGAGCCCCTGCAGGGCTGTTGATGATGATGATGAAGAGACACTTATGTGTAAGTTCTGAGACTTCAGATATTTTTTGACTGCTTAAAATTCTTTAGGTTTTGTAAATTTGTAGCAATAATGAATCGACTTTTTTACTATGAGTTCTATTGGAACTCATAAATTTACAACGGTCGTTCAACTTACGGCTTTATATCCCATGCCTATGGCCGCCATGGAGCCACGGATGAAGGGTGTTTGTATAGAAACGAGACCACGATTGTAAGCCAACAACAACATCTGCTCATCTGTGAAGCAGCCATCGGCATATGCACAACCTAACTCGCCGACGCTATGCCCTGCGGATAATTATTATTATTAATTCAAAATAACTGGTAATTTAAATAAGTTTTGTTTTAGAGAATGCGTCATTTTTCTGCAAATCGTAATTATAAATTAATTGAAAATAAAGGTGTCGTTTGATTTAGTTTCTTTTTTTGTCAGTTCGTTAATAAAAAGCAAGTTGCCGCCATTTTGGCACGCATTCTTTTTCCGATCGCCGAGGACTAAAGACATCAAGCTCATATCGTTATATTTTCGTACGAAAGAGATAAAATAGAATAAATCCACATTGGTATACACGCCTGCCTGTTATTTTAAAGGTCCCCCGATATGGACCTATTTATCTTTTTAGGCTTCGTAAAAGAAAGAAAGAAAGAAGAAAGAAGAAGGAAGAGAGAAGACAGAAGAAAGAAGAAAGAAGAAAGAAGAAAGAAGAAAGAAGAAAGAAGAAAGAAGAAAGAAGAAAGAAGAAAGAAGAAAGAAGAAAGAAGAAAGAAGAAAGAAAATATATTTATTAAGAAGAAAGAAGAAAGAAGAAAGAAGAAAGAAGAAAGAAGAAAGAAGAAAGAAAATATATTTATTATCACATAGGTACATAACAATGGTTTAACTTATTACAAAGGTGGTGGCCAATCAGGACTCTGCCTCAGCATAAGCCATACCAGAGTAGCTTACCCTGATATTCTGGCAGAGCCTGTACAAAAGGTTGGCGTTATAGATATATATATACATAAATTATAGGTATATAAAAGCCCCTTATGACTACCCGCCGTCATATTTTATACAACATATATTATAAATGCCAGTCATTATTTTATGGAATTGATAGGACTTCGTTTGTACAAATAGTGTTTGTAAAATCGAATCATTCTGAACTCACCAATAATATTATCTGGCACCATTCCGACCGCGGTTAGTACATTAGTAAGCCCGATCTGTATAGCCGCTATGCCAACGAAGCAATTCAGGATGTTATCAAATATACACTTGTCATCAGTTGTTATAATATGCTTTAGATCTATACCCTTCGGTTCCAGAATTACGTGGCATCTAAAATAAAAAATAAAAAAATCCTATAACCTATCGATAGGTTTTGAATATTTATTTAATATGTAGCACAACCATTTGTACGACTTAATATTCATTAGATATCAATAAATTGTTATTTCTATCATCATAACACTCGTTTTCAGTAATAAAGGCACTAAGAATTTCATGCATACCGTTAGTGAGTATTATGAGCTAAAAATGTAAGCTTTTCTTTTATTTCTCATTAGAAAGACACATTTTTCTGATACACTCTGACAATCAACTGTTACCTTTGAATGGCCTGGTTAAATATTGGAATCCGCATGAGATCACGACCCATCCCGATCCACTGCGACCCCATGCCACTGTACACAAACCACAGGGGTCTTGGGATATTATCGTGGTAGTCCACCTTCACATTATGTCTTACGGTGTTGTTGTTTTTAGTTGCTGCAATCAATAAAATAAGTCTAGAAACAATTGCCTAACTATCATCCTTATTATTATTGTTCAATTAATGTTCTTGTGTTCCTAAATAATAGTAAAATTAGGAAACATTTCTACTTACAATATATACCTATACCTCGAACCAAATGTTTTGAAATACGCATTTTATGTATATTGTGGAGTAACGCTATCTCCTCGGGATCTAATGGACGTGCTTTGATGTCATCTAGTATCTTCTCCACAGCGGCTTCATGGCGACCTGATACAGCCACTAAGTACGGGATCTCTGTACGATACTTAAAGAGATCCTAGAAAAGTAAACACCGTCGTCGTTGTACATATATAGGTATACTCAACATATAATTGTAGATTATGAAACTAAAGTAATTCTATTAGACATATAAATACTAAAAGCTAATGAAAAACATCAATTGAATATTGTATTAAATTAGAATCTATCCTCAAAGGAATTAAGTACGTCTTTATCAGTTTTATTTTATGAATTACGTAATTTTTATCAATATTTATATTTACTCCTTTGTTCCTTGTATTAAGGTCGATTTTCAATTGTGTGATTTTTGTACAAAGCAAACAACGTCTGTTCTTAATGAAATTTATTTTGCTACTACTCATACTAAAGCATGCGTTATACCTTCCATTACTTACACATAAAGAAACGTTTTAACATAAACCGCCCACCAAAGGACTAGGAAGTCCTTTCAATCCAGAAAATTACAATATTACAATTAGTTTAACAAACATAAATACAATTGTCAAATACAGAAACTCAGTTATATAATTATTATCGTATTGATAATGTAAAGATTCTTTTGAACAATTTAATTATTTGAATTGAACATCATACCATTTTACAAGCAACCATTACAAACATAAGTAAATGAACAAAATTATTCATTATCTATTGGAAGTGCACATAATTTTGTAACACACCGTTTAACAACCGATTCTCCAATCTTTACACTATAAACTCGTGTTAGTCCATCTGGTCCTGGATGCTTGTCAGTTATACGACCTAAAACCCATTTCCCTGGAGGAAGATTTTCTTGTTTAATTAAAACTATATCGCCTCTTTTAAATTCCTTTTCTCTCTTAAGCCATTTAGGTCGTTGTTGAAGCCGAGACAAATATTCGTTTTGCCACCGAGACCAAAAATCATGAAGCAGTTTTTGAGTATATTGCCAACGCGTCAAGTATCCAATTTTAACATCTTTTAAGCTGGGAGTTGGTACTGAAATAAGAGAATCTCCAATAAGAAAATGTCCCGGTGTTAAAGGTTCAGTTTTTTCATCAGACAGGTCGACGGGACACAGCGGACGTGAATTTAGACACGCCTCGATGCTACAAAGCACAGTCGACATCTCTTCAAATGTCAGATGAGTAGTTATAATTCTTTTCAGGTGGTACTTAATCGATTTTACTCCGGCTTCCCAAAGTCCTCCAAAATTTGGTGAGTAAGCTGGAATAAAATGCCACTGTGTACCCTCTAATGCCAGTTTTGCAGCGATTTCTCCATCAAATTCTAAGCATGCCGCCTTCCAAGCCTCTGTGAGTTGTCTATTTGCACCAATAAAATTTCTGCCTTGGTCACTCCAAAGGTGGGCGCACCTTCCTCGGCGAGCGCAAAATCTTTTATATGCACCAATAAAAGCTTCAGACGACATGTCTCCGACCAACTCAAGGTGAATTGCCTTGGTAGACATGCATACAAAGATAGAGATGTACGATTTGTTTGTCTTTGCTCCTCTGCCTTTACTAAACAAGACTGGAAATGGTCCAGCAAAATCCACTCCGGCGTTTATGAATGGACGTGCTGGTGTCACACGAGTTATCGGTAAGTCTCCCATTACTTGAGTTCTTGCCTTTGCATTATGTTTAGCGCAGATTAGACACCGATGGACATGTCTTTTAACCAGGCTCTTAACTCTAAGAATCCAATATCTGGACCGTATGTGGCATAGCATTAATTGCATTCCTCCATGTAATGTTTGTAGGTGAGCATCAGTAATGATGAGTGGGGTAAGTGGATTGTTTTTACCTAATATGATAGGATGCTTGCTGTATTCTTCTAAATTGGCATTTCTTAATCTACCGCCCACCCTGAGGATTCCTTTTTCATCTAAATACGGATCTAATGTTTTTAATTTGCTCATCCTTTTAACATGGTTCTTAATTTTTAATGATTCTATTTCTTCTTGAAATTCTTCATTCTGTACTATCTTTATACACGAATTCATTGCATTTTCTATTTCTTCCGTTTCAATATTTTTAGGTATATTTTTCTTATCATTTTTAATCTTATAGTTCAAAAATCTTTTACAATGTGTGATCGTTTTCAGTAACTCAGTAAGTGTATTAAATTCATAGAACTTCTGATATAGAATATTTTCTTTTTCTTGTACTGTTGTGTTTGTTAGTTTTAAAGCTTGTATAGACGTCATTTTACTCTCTAAATCTGTAGATGTAATATTTGGTCTAGTGAGTTGAATATTTTCTTGAGATAACCATTTAGGTCCGTGCCACCAAATATCACACGTCTTTAAATCTTTAACAAGCATTCCTCTTGACGCAATGTCTGCAGGGTTTTCAAGCGATTGAACGTGATACCACTGAGTACAGTTGACATTGGAGGTGATTTCGACAACACGATTGGCGACAAAAGTCTTCCATCTTCCAGGTTCACCGAATAGCCATGATATAACTATAGAGGAATCAGTCCAAGCGAATACTTGGGAAGGTGGTACTCTCATTGCTGTTGAAACTTGATTCAGTAACCTTGATAGAAGTAAGGCTCCGCACAGTTCTAGACGTGGTAAGGATATTGTTTTTAATGGAGCTACTTTGGTTCTCGCAGCAATTAGAAACGTCTTATAAGTATCATCTTGTGTTTTTACCCGACAATACACCACTGCAGCATACGCCTGCTCTGAAGCGTCACTAAACCCATGGATTTCTAGAGTGCTTTTATTGGCTTTTGATACTCCTATCCATCTATCGATGTAAATCTCGTTAACGTTTTTAAGATCTGCGTGGATTTCCATCCATTTATCTTTGAGTGCGTCAGGGAGTTGTTCATCCCATTTTATTTTTTCAAGCCACAAGCTTTGAATTAGAATCTTAGCCAACACAATACATGGAGCAATCCACCCCAGTGGGTCAAATAACTTTTGAATATCTGAGAGTATAATACGTTTAGTAATCGTGTGACTTATAGGAGGTAAATTTAAATTATATTCAAATTGATCTTTACCCAAATTCCATTGAATACCTAATGCTTTAACAGTTCCGTCCATGTTAATTTCCAAATGGGCATTCGTCGACCGAGCACTTGGCTCGATACTTCTCATAAACTCTGCGTTATTAGAAGCCCATTTTTTTAATTCAAAACCGCCACGCCGGAGAAGTTCTCGCAGCTCAGAGCTGACACGAATTGCCTCTGGAACACTATCACAGCCAGACATACAATCATCGATATAGAAGTCCTCATTTAATATTCGGGCAGCTTCAGGATATTGCTCACCTTCATCAATAGCCAATTGTTTAAGAGTCCTGATTGCAAGGTATGGTGCCGAAGCTGTCCCAAATGTTACAGTCAAAAGTCGGTAGTGTTTCAAGTCATCAACGGGATTACTTCTCCACAGAATTCTTTGATAATCTGTATCTTCTTGGTGTACTAATATCATACGGTACATCTTAGTTATGTCTGACACAAAACAAATAGCATGACTTCGCCATCGTAATATGAGGTTCCTTAGGTCATCTTGTAATGCCGGCCCTGCCAACAGTTCGTCATTTAAAGAAATTCCATTGGAGCCCTTGTTTGAAGCGTCAAACACCACACGTGTCTTGGTTGATTCTTTATCATGGCGGATAACGGCATGATGAGGTAAGTATATTGATTTATTATGTTTTTCTTTTACAGGTACTTCTTCTATATGTCCTAGCTCTTGATAGTCTTCTATAACTTTAATATATTCTTCTTTCAGGTCTGGATTTCTCAAAAATCTTCTTTCAAGTTGCATAAATCTTTTTAGCGCCGTCTCCCTCGTGTTTCCTTCAGGCGACTTCGGCTTATTTGTTTTAAAAGGTAATCTAACTATATATCTTCCTTTGTCATTTCTAGTATGTGTTTTATCGTAAATTGCTTCGCATAGCTCTTCTTCTTTAGTGAAATTTCTCTTTGCATCAATATCAATCTCCCACATTACCTGTAGTAAATCTTCAATATTAGTATTTGGTGTTAATGCCAGCACGGACTTCTCGCGCATATTAAGTTTTATGTTTATACCTCCCATCACAATCCATCCCAGGTTGGTTTTCTGAGCACAAGGAGTACCTGGGGGACCTTTGACTAGTCCGTGTTGTATTATTTTTGAATATTCATCTACTCCCAATAGTAAATCCATGGATCCAGAAACATAAAAATTTGGATCTGCTAAGTGGAGACCCTTTAGATGTGGCCATTCGTCTAATAATTTTTTATTTGAAGGTATGTGGGTTGTAAGGTGCTTTGACATCACGTAGGCTTGTATAGGTAACTCAAAATCAGATTCCCACTGTGATAAAACTTGAATTTTGACCTCTTGCTTTACTGGTACCTTCATCGTTTCCATGCCTGTGACGATAAGATTTACTTGCTTACGTTCTAGTTTTAGTGCTTGAGCAGCCTTTTCGTTAATAAAACATGCTTGTGACCCGGAATCGATGAGCGCCTTGAGTACAGTAGTGTGTCCATAATCTCCTTTTACTATCACTACTGCCGTTGCTAATAAACAAACCGTTTGCTCATCTTCATTTGTAGACGCCATTGTAGTGTGAACTGCCTTCTCTTTCACCGCCACTTCAGAGGACGACGTCGGTTGTGTTGGTTCTGGCGGTGAAGCCGACGTGTTTGTATTATTTGCTTGATGAAGAAGTGAGTGATGGCGCCGTTTACATATACGACAGGACATTGGTACACGGCACTTGAACGCCGAATGCCCTGGGGCCAAGCAATTAAAACAGAGTTTATTAATTTGTACATAATGAATTCGTTCAGAAATTTGCATTTTAGAAAAAACTTTACAACGACATAAAGTATGATTATCTTTACACATAACGCAGCTTTTTTCAGGTGTAGACACGTGAAACACTCTATCTCGAATTGTAGCTCGTTCTCTGGTAGCTGAAGGCGGTGTGACGAGTTCTAAGGTTTGGAATTTTGATTCTAAAAATTTCTTCAAATCTCCCCACTTTGACAGCTCTTCTTTATTTTCAGTGTATGCATTTTGTTCCCACTCCTTATGTGACTCCGAGTCCAACTTCTGTACGACCAGAAATATTATTATTGGATCCCAAGAGTCAGTTAAAATGCCCAGATTTTGTAAACTGTTCATAATTTCATTGGTAGTGTCCAATAAACCCTTTAATTGAGTGGCCGTCTGGGACGTGCATTTTTTTTGTGCAAACAATCGTTTCAATAAAGAATTCACAATTAATCGTTTATTTCCAAAGCGTTTTTTTAATATGTCCCACGCTTGAAAATAATTACTTTCTGTTACTTGTATGTGTTTTAATAATGCCGCTGCCTCTCCAGTGATGCTTGTTTTGAGATAGTGCAACTTCTGAACGTTGGTGAGTGACGTGTTGTCATGAACTAAGGATACAAATAAGTCATTATATGTGGGCCACTCTTCATAATTTCCAGAAAATACGGGCAACTGTATACGCGGTAACTTCACTAGTATATGTCCTTGGGTTTCAAAGGTATCCGATGTCTTAGGCGATGTAGACCGAGTATTCACCGATAATAAATCCTTCAAGTCGGCGAGCATCGATAAATATAAGTCTTCATGAATATAGTACTCTTCATTCAAAAAATAAGGCACCACGCCACGCTGCTCCCGTGGTGTAATTTTCACTAATTCATTGTGAGCGTGCTTATAACTCGCCCAGTATTCTTCAATACACTGAATTCTAGTCTGTAGGTAACCCTTTGTAAGTCTTTGTTTTGGACATTTCTTCAAATTTATTTGAGTCTTTTTAAGTAATTCCGCCGTATTTTCTAAAATATTTAGTATTTGCTCCATAGTAGTCATAGCTCGTCACTTTACACTCCACTCGATGTTAATATCTCAATCACACAACGTTTTTTTACAATAATAAAAAATGTTCACTTCGATTAGCTCAATAATATTTACGTAATTCACGTTATAACTTCAAAAAAATGCATTTGAACAATCCTTATCGCTGTGGAATGCCGAGTCCTTTTGTTCTCGTAGACCGGTTGGACGCTCGACGCGTTGAATCAAGTAAACAGGTAAAAGTCCGGCTCGCTGTTGACCATTTTATGTTCCTTGTATTAAGGTCGATTTTCAATTGTGTGATTTTTGTACAAAGCAAACAACGTCTGTTCTTAATGAAATTTATTTTGCTACTACTCATACTAAAGCATGCGTTATACCTTCCATTACTTACACATAAAGAAACGTTTTAACATCCTTCATAGATTGAAGGAGTGTTCGTCATAAATAAAAAAATATTTCACTGAAAGTTCAGCTAGTTAGCTCGGTCAGCTTCTCAGACCTTTACAAGAAACGACCGACTCAAGCCCAATTTTACCACACATTGCCCAGGTTTCTCAATATCAACTATAGTAGTTTGCTTAGGTTCGGTTTTTTATTTGGAAACCCCCGGCCGATAAAGTTTCCGTCGGATGGTATCTAGTCTTTACTTTGTAGAAAATGAAGGAAAAGGACACAACTTATTGAAACACATGATGACTCTTGAACAATTGATTTACCACTACACACAGACCTTATTTTACTTATTATAGAAAAGTTCATTTTCTAAAACATGATTCTACTAGTATGAATTAACATAACACCTGAAAGCCTATCTGTTTCTCCGAAAAATGCTAATATAACTTCAAAGTCTTCGAAGATCTTTTGTGCCTATGAATGTACTTTCTGCTCTAATTTTACTTGTTTTACTATTACCTTCTTTTTCCTTTTCGATTTAATTAGATATAGGTAAGGCTCAAGCACCTGTAGTGGGGACATCATTAGGTTGTTGATGATGTTCATTTACCTTTGGTTTATAGCAGCTTTTAAGAAGTGCATGTCCGTTGATTCCTGTATATGTAAACGCATTAACTGCCGTATATGTTGTTTTATTGAATCTTGTATTCTCCGTAACCATTCTCATACGTCCGTCATGTAAGGATGCTATGTCACTTCTCGGTTTGCTACAGTTTATTGTTGCGGGTAATTCTCCGCTTTGATAAGCAGAAATAAGCTAAAATGAAAATAATACGATACGATAACATTATTATGTTAGTATCAGATAGTGATTATTTCCATAACAATTATTGAGGTTATTAATATCTATATCTTATTTCGAAAACTTTACATAATTATAACAACATTAATAACTTTTGCTATTTTTTTGGAATTACATAAAAGAAAAAATCTTTTATTTTTATAATAATTAAAATAACAAATTTAATTACTGTCTTACTTTAAATATTGCGCAGGCGCTAGCAGCGCTCTCTGTATAGCCCACGTTGGAACTCACGCTTCCAACGAGCAAAGGATCGACGCGGTCTTTGCAGAAAACATTTTCCATCGCTTGAAGTTCAATCTTATCCATTTTCGGACAAGCTGAAAATAAATTTACCCTTAAGTTATTTGTTATTTTTTTTTAATATTTTCAAAATAATTGTTTCAAATTATCACTAATGTAATTGAGCATAGATAAATGTGTGTCTATAACTTTTACGTTATAATTTTTAAGACTCTCATTATAATCTTCATGAACAATCGTACTGCGCAAATAAATTATTATACTATTATAATGTATTTGACGATTTTATATAAATACCTAATCCAAATCCTTCGATGTACCCAACGTCTGCCGGTGATACTCTTGCCTCATCATAAAAATGCTGCAAAAACTTTGTAAGCTGTTCTTTGTCTTGCAGAATTTCACACTTTTCCAGTAGAACATTCTTATTTGCTACTCCAAAATGAGCTTTCACATGGTGTAGCTCAACATATGCTCTTGAGAACAAAAATAAATATAACCGTTTTAATAATCCGCATAATAAAATCTGACGTTACATTGCAAAAGTACATCATGATTACTCTGGAAACCTTTAGCCAATTTCGCTACGTAAAGTTAATGTAATGAAGATGTATCAATGACGTTCAACCTTCCAATATCATCTCTTTTTGGTACCAATTAACAGTAATTGTAGTAGTAACAGTACTAGATCACAAAATAATAAAAATACCTGCCACAATATAATTCTTCATAGATAAGACAATGGCAAAATACAAATATCTGAAACACTATTGAGTGACACAAATCCTTGTGGAAATAGCATAATGAATGCAGTCGGTACTAGTTTATTGATATCTATGAAGCTATGAGTTGTAAACATAAGATTATCTTAGAATCTATTGTGTAGTCAGTATACGCAAAGACTATTTGGCCCAGTTGAAACAAATAGAATGATGTTTGATAATGATAAATGACAATGGTAATCTGTTTTTTTATTTATTTACGTTTATATACATATGTCTGGTATGTGATATGCATGTAACCGTATCTGTATAGACAAGACATGTTTGTTTTGAAGATAATTTCCTTTTTTTTGCTGATTGTTGCACCGCTCTTAAGTTCTCTTGCCATAACTGTCCGGTTAGCTGGTAGTGAATACTTTATAGTTTTAAGTCCGCTGTTTGTATATTTTAATAGTGGATTTATTCCACAAAAGAAAGAAGGAAGAAAGAAAAATAAAGAAAAAATAAATGAATATATTAGTACCATACACATGTGAAGTATACTTCTTATACATACATATAGCATTAATTTGGTAGTGACTGTTTAGATTTAGGATTCACTTTAACTTATTTATGTTAAAGTGAATCCTAAATCTATCCTAATCCTATATATATTTCTGTAATTTAATATACCTTGCCAGAACTATTAATAATTCCTTTATACCTCTTTGCATCCTTGTGTTTCTGCAGGAAAAATACGCTAATAGCTTCTGACATTGAAGGGCCATCAGCTGCATCGTCATAGCATTTGGTTTTACCATCTAAGTTTAGAGGCATCATTCTGTAATGAAACAATAAGGGTTTATGATAATTTATATTTTTTGATTATTAAAAGATTTTACTTTGAAAGTTTTTCTGAGAAAAAAAAACAATGATAAATTCGTAGCGACACAGGAACCAATGTCGTGGTAATAATCAAGATTGATTCATATGCTCAATTGGATCTCGACTGGTGTACTTATATACGTATCATTTAATTGTAAGATCTAAGGTTTCAATATAAAAAGAAGAGTTTACATTTGTATCATAATGTAAGTGCAAAATGTAAGTATCTCTGTTAAGACCTGTGGCTGATTGGTGTTTGAGGATGCAAAACTATTTTTCCAAGACCAACTATAGCTGCTTCGCAGTAGCCTGCAACGATAGCTTCCCTAGCTTTCTCCAGAGCCAAGAGAGTGCCACAGGAGGAAGCGTCCATAAAGATCGAGGGTCCTTTTAGGTTCAACCAGTATGATATCCGATTGGCTGTCATCGATTTACAGCAACTGGATAAGACACAAGAAATTCATATATATCACAAAAAATTATATTTCCATGAAGTTCATAACCGACGTTAATAATGTACTACCTTTAAAAAATTTAATTACGTTATCTATGTTAATATAAAAAAAAATGTAAACATTCAGATTGCGTTTAGATACTTCAGAATTATTAAAGTACTGCTGGTTTTTTAGCGAATTTTCCAACATATAGATATGGCGAAACTCTAAAACTTGTTAAATTAAAAAACTTGCGTGGCAATTACGAATTGTACATTGAACTATATGCTTTACCCTAGAATTGCGTACTGCATATCTGGACTGTAGTTCATTTTCTCAGACTCGCAATATCCATAACTTATGAAAACTGCGACATTTTTCCCCCACAATTCAATCGGGTTGACCCCTACAAAACAACAATTAATCATTAAATAGGTCAAAGTAATGGAGTCCCAAATAATCCATATCTCTTGCATGTTACTGGATGTTTAAAAAAGTCATTTATTTGCATTATTAAAATAATATGGGTAGTGTTGTGACGTCACTACACAATTCAGCTCATTTTTTGCTTAATATTTTTATTCTTAACATACTTTTGGATAATTAATAGGGGTGTGTCCTGCAAGTTTTATGTCGAAAATACAGGTTTCTGTTATATTTTCGGAAAATATGAAACATTTTAACTCATAAATATTAAACAAAAAAATTATATGGGATTAATTTCGTTAATATTACGCATTGGAAACTTGAAAAGAGTAGGCAAAATATATATTTAAAAAACTACTAAAATTCATATGGCATTAAATTCATTATTTTAACATAAATGCACAAATAACAAAGATATTACATTAGATAGATTGTCCAAGCGACCATACGGTTTGCGCTACGTTTTCTCTTCTAGGTGTTTTGTTTTTACATAATTTTTATTTACATAATGTTCTAGACATGAAAGAAGCGACCAGTTAATAGTCATATTAGATTTAACGTATGGTACTATTAAATCTAAGAATATCTTTGGAGATCTATGATTAAAACAAAACAAACAAAAACTATTACTATTCCAGAAATTAATTAGAATTACTATGTGAACAGTATTATGCATGATTATAATTAAGATATGCAATAATATGTCGTAATTCCGTATGTAAATGGATAGGGAATCTATCTCGAACCTTACTCGTGGTTTCGAAGTAAGGAACCGCTTTGTTTCGTTAGCTAATGTTTTCTATTAAAATCTTTATTCACCCAGTTGCAATTAACGTCAATTAAAACTGTCATTAGTTTATTTAGAAATTTATGGTAATTTTTATATTGTTATTATTAAAATTATACTTTAATTTCCTAATTTATCCCCTTTGGGGACGAATTTCTTAAAATCCCGTAAATATTTAAAACTCCTAGCACTTGAATTTTTTAAGATTTCGTGATGAGTGAGTGAGACCTATCGCTTTTATATAATCTATATGTAACACCAATACCAATTGTATTTCTAAGCGAGTGTATCCAAAATAGTTTTATAAACTTTTACCAATCAGTGAATTTGATGACCACGTGATCTATAATATGTAGTAGTATATAGAGTATCGATTTCCAACCAAGCACTGCTGTGCGTTGTAACTAAATCTTAGAATAATCTATCAGGCTGACAGATCGACAGTCAGCAGAGCAATCAGGATTGGCCGGAAAAAATTCCAACCGCATTATAATCACTTACAGAATTTTAGTAAGCTTTTTTGGAATCAAAACACAAAATACAAAAACACGATCGGCAAAAAAATGTATGGGAAGCGCGGGAAATTTAGTTCAAACTACGCATGCGTGCGTCATTTTTTTAACAGTTCGAACTGGGCATGCGTGCCCCTTTTTTTCATATTCAGCCTAAAACCCTAGTTTAATAAATAAAAAAAGATAGCGGTACTATTATAATGAGTTTTATTTTTAACTAGCTGACCCGACAGACTTCGTCCTGTCAAAAAGATTTGTAATGTGGCAGTTTTTTTGCCTACGTATTTAAAAAAATTCTCCTGAACAGAACCGTCACCCTGGTGATAGGGCGTTGTGAATAAAAAATAATTAAATAAAACATATATAAGGATTTAAAAGTAAGTAATCGCTTTATTGTTAATCATGTGAATCATAATTATTATTGCAATGTATTAATAGTCAACAGCATTATAAAAGTAAACTATTCGAATTAAAAAAATATATAAACATTCTCAAGGAAAAATGCTGAAAGAATCCATCTACCTGTACCCCGGAATGGGACTCGAACCCATTCGCGATCCAGGGACTGCTCTAACCAATGAGCTATCTAGGACCCAACAGCTTTGCTACTACAGAGCGTATTTTCATCAATGTTCCGGCAATACATGTAATGACGTGGAAACTGATGCATTTTATCTCGCGTGCCGAAACTAATACAAAAGAAAAGCGAGTTTCGGAACGCGACATTAAACTTCTCCAACTATGTATTCTGTGCTCCAGCGCACACACGCACATTGTTTTGATAGATATGATCTTTGACGTTAGGAACACACCTACATTGCTTAGACAACAGTGAGTGCTTGTAATTTAATATGAACTTTATACCATAGCAATAAAGCTCATATTGACTACGTTTTAGTTACAAATCATTTGTATGGGAAAAAGAAAAGGGCTATTTTTAGGGTTTTTCCAGCAATAATTCTAATTTTTCTCGCCGTAAAAACCATCCTTGAACTTCAACGAACATTTTAAAAAAAGATTTGGCCAAATTGGTCGAGGCGTTGTTGAGTTATGCGCTTACCAACACATTTTGCGATTCATTTTTATATATATAAGATAGATTTTGTGTATATGCGTTGCGACGATTCTATACATACGCACTTTATAAACGAAGTGTGTATAGAATCGTCTTTGAATTCGTAATTCGAATTTTTCGATTTGAGTGCAGATAAAATATTTTTTTAGTGTAAAGTGAATTTTATAAAATATAAAAATAACTCACTTACCTGCGTCGTATATTGCTTGATAAGTGTGTTCGATAATCTTTTTAGCTATTGGGTCAAGGGACTGGGCCAGATTGTAAAACACAGTGAAGAACTGAGCGTCGAATCTGTCCAGCCCGGTAATTCTCCCGTACTTGTCAGGTAGTTCGGGATACTTGTAGTCCTTCCAGCGCGGGCTGGCATTCACCAGATTTTGCTAAATAAAAGAGTATTTTGAGTATTTAAGAGTATTTCAGTTGGATTTGAATGATTTAGTAAACTTAAGATGACTAAAATAATATATTGACAAAAATCACAATTTACATTCATGTGGACATGTGAAAAGAACACCAGGCGAATAACAGCGAAGCTTTTGTGAATGTATATCTAAATATATTCTTATAACTCAAAGGAGGCTGACTGACATAGTGATCTATCAACGCACAGCCCTAACCATTGGACGGATCGGGTTGAAATTTGGCATGCAGGTAGATGTTATATCGTAGGCATCCGCTAAGAAAAGATTTTGATCAATTCTACCCCCAATGGGATAAAATAGGGGATAAAATTTTGAAGGAAAATTTGTCAATTTTGAAATGATCGGCTGATACTTTGCATGCATAAAGCTACTATGACCTAGGCATCCCATAAGAAAAAATTTTGAAAAATTCCACCCCTAAGGGGATAAAATAGAGGATGAAACTTTAGTCCAGGTATTTTACACGATATAATGAATAAATATTCGTTAGAAATGCTGCTCAAAGTAACTTTACCACGCGGATGAAGTAGCGGGCAATCTACAATAATATTATAAAGAGGGAAGACTTAATTTCTGTTTGTTTGCATTGAATAGACTCTGAAACTACTGCACTGATTTTAAAAATTAACAAAATATATTATACGCGTTGATATAGGTTATAATAGGGATGATGATTAATTTTTGTTTGTTTATCCGTCGGGTAGTGTTAAAAAATATTAAACACGTATTTTTTTATTTTTTTCGTAATCATAAAATTACGGCGTTACACTGAATTAAAATTTCGCATGACGTCACGTTAGAGTACGTTTTATACTCTGTGACGTAGCGAGCCCCCACTCCTCAACTTTAATGCCTGTTATCTAAGCTATTTCTTGTTAATTTGAAGTAAAAAAAAAATACGTATCTAATATTTTTCTATTATCTGACTGACGGACTGAATAGAATTGCATTTTTTTTTACCCAGTCATCATCCCTATTGACGTGGGCGAAGTCGCGGTTGACAGCTAGTCAATATAACCATACGGATATACTCAAAATTTAAATTGATCATAATTCAATCTCTTGCAGATACGAGTATAATGTCTTTTTCTAGTAAATTATTTTGCTGGCGCCTACATATAGTTGATAGTGGTGATGTCCTGCAAATTATTGATGATCTCTGAAATTTATATTTTAATATTGTCACATATGAGATGATATTATTTTCCTTTCCAAAAAATTGGTTAGAAATATTTAACACCAAGTCCCGTCTCTTGAAAAGGTAGTTTCTAACTTACTCTATGTTGCTTCCTATGAAAATGAAATGACTAGGATGAATTTTTTTCGCAGCAAACGTGTTTCTAAATAATATTTTTTCCCTAACAATACATGAATTTGGATTAAACGATACTATGTTATTTATTGAAAAGAATACTACTTTACATTTTTGGAGATCTTATCGGCGAATTCAGCGTAACTATTGCAGTCTGGCAGCAGGCCTGATATACCAGAAATTACCACCGCTTCGGGAGAGGTCTTGGGGTTTTCAGATATTGGGTCAGTGTGCTCTTCAGGCAATGGCGCCATGATGTAGCTAAAACAAAACCATAAAGTGTCGGAACAAATACGAATTGGAATGTAGGATTTATGTATATAAAAATGTATACCGAATTGAACGAATTAAGGAGGGGATGTGTATGTGGTAAATTGTCTTCCTGTTAACTCCTAATGTGGTATATTCATCAAATTTCCTAAAAATTTTAAACGCATGTCTAATTTTGGAGAATCTCTTTAGATGCTTTTATGTCGGTTGATGACCGGTTGAGGCCGATTTTTCGCATTGAAACTATAGTGTTGTTTTAGCTCTTTTTCATTGAAGACATCGGAGGGTTTCAAAGGATAACAAAGTCAGAGTTAATTACAATCGTGCTAGAAATAATAATAAAACTCTATCTATCTATATCTTCGCGCCGTATTGTAATAATATAACATCATAAAGAGTATTAAAAATACTTACTGTAATTTCGTCAATTTCAAAATCGATGCCAAATCACACTGAATGATATTCAAAGCCGTATTCTTTTATAAATTTATATGCAACTGATTTGCATACAAATGCGTGTACTAATTATATTTTTTGGCAATCAATGCATTATATAAGGCACAGATTGTTTTTATACAATTAAATTCGGATCGATTTACTTTTACGAAAATTTAAGTTACGATTTTAAAATTAATGTATAATAAAATAAATAATTGTGTGAAGGCAACTACGAAGTTAAAAACTATGTAAGTACTATTTTCCACATGACCTTCAATATTTGCTCACTTAAATGAATTGCATAGTGGAAATATAATGCGCACTGCCGGAAAATTTTATTTTGAAGGCTTTTTTAATACTAAATCCAATAAAAATGATAACACATAATTTCAAAGGCGCCTCGACATTCTTTCAATCTTAATGTAGGTTTGTATGCATCGAATAAGCTCCGAAACTACTTGATCTACTACAACCATAGAGCAAAAACGTACAGTGTGTCAACAGCGTTAAATGCTGCCGTTTTCACTGAAGCATGGTTATCATACTTTTTATTTAGTCTATTCCACGTTAATTTAATCCAATCCCCCTCCAATCCGCATTACCCTCCAATCCGCATTGGGCCAGCGTGGAGGGTCATGGCCCATACTCCTTAGCCATCCATAAGGAAGGCCTGAGCCCCTGCAATGGGGACGTAAAAGGGCTGATGATTACCACTCTAATTATTTTGAAGCAAGTCAACTTAAATATTAGTTAATTAACATATAAGACTCGTACATAATTTATAAAACTGAAAATGAACTTAACGACAATAGGTGACATCCCTTATTCATTTTGTGTAAATAATTACGACGTTATCGTAAAAAATTTGAATAAATAAGTTATAGATACAAATAAATTTATTTAAGTGCATTGAGTTAGTTGGTCAGCTCCTAATAGTGAACTAGCAGTCGGATTTTTTTTTTATATTTGGCCATACAGTTTGAACATTAATAAGGATATCAAAGTATATTTTTTTTACACGTTTAGTGTATAAGGTATAATATTATATAATAATAACACATAATGAGATGAAAATAGGAGTGGAAGTTCATACGAGGGTATTAAAATGTAACCATAGTAACCATTTTTCACAATTCAATTTGTCATAGTAATTAATTTTAATTTCAATCTCTTTCTTAAATTATTTTTAAATTACTTAAGCTAACACAGGGTTAAATAATTTTATGAATGATTTTTAATATTGGCCTCACATGGAGCCCTGTTTCTTACGAAACAGGGCTTTCTTACGATTCCGTTTGGAAGGACTTAAATAAAAGTAATATTCAATTAGCAGTGATGAAAACAACTAGGATAAAAAGAAATAATTATTTTTAAGTCACAGAATAAAACAAAACGTTATTTAGATGAATTGACGGATAGTCAACAAAATTTAATTTGGCGTCACACACTAAAGTCTCTAAAAACGCTGAGTTGATAAAGCGAGAACAAGCCGACCGTCGAGTTGCACGAGGATTAGTAGTAGAATCTTGCACAAGCAAAGCATCAGTCTGTTTTAAACCTTTAAAATGAAAGCTTTTATCTGAAAGTCCAGAAAGAGCACAGTAGTCAAATATCTAGATCCAAGCAAAATGACAGCATAAATATTACACGACTTCAATAAAAGGACTATTTAATCAAATGAAAGATTTTTGGCATTTTTTGCAAGATGTGTCGATTCTACTGCGCACTAAAATGGAAAGAAGAGCAACTGGACTACTCTATGAAGACAGAGAAACACCGATAGATTTTCCATAATTTGTTCCATCTATTGGGCAGGCTTATGCCCCAGCAGCGCGGACGTTGATTAGCTAATGATGATGATATTAAGGTGGATGATCACTGGCAGATTTTTAATTGAGATTACAGACAAGACTCCAGTTTAGCAGGCCAGTCTGCACACAGTACCCTCGGATCTCGTGGGCGAAACCACGGGAAACTCCTCGAGAATATTCTGTTTCAAACTAAAACAATAATCATCAGCGCTTGTCTACTGTTAACGAATATATCGTGAAACTTACAAAAAGAACAAAAAAATATTGTATCTGTTTTGTATTCACAATGGTAAGTTTATAAAATTCATAACGGAAATATTCTTGCGAACAAAATCACTAAAATATTTTAAATATTAAATAATTACAGACAAATTGATAAGATCCTTCTTTTTTGGCGTAATCAAACAGATAATTATCATCATTTTTATTACATGCAAGATAGATAAGGGATTGAGTGAGTGATATAACGCGTCTTTAATTGGTATAAGTGATTTAATGAAGCATTTAATCACAATTTCACTAACAAAACATCATTATAAAACCGTCAGTATAAAAGTAAAAAATAAATAAAACAAATATTAAAATTAGTCAGCAAAAGTCTTGGACAACTTATCAACAATTATGCGTGTCCTCTCCGATATGTATTGATCTATCTGACCCAAAACTTTGACTATGTGCAACATTTTCTGAACACCTTTCTTGAATTTTTCCATTCTTTCCGCACTAGTCTCTTCCTCGACAGCTCTTGGAGTAAATATCGTTCCTGTACCAAGTTTTGGGGGCAAGCGTGGACCTTTTGTACCTGGAAACAAACCTAACGGCGGCACCTTCAATTTCGGAATCCGCAATCTTGGTGGTTTAATTTTTTGCAGTTTTGGTATAAATCCTGCGGGGGGTGCTGCAGATATTGGAAGTAAGGTATCGCCGAAGCCATCTTGATCGTCGTACCTATCTTCGAGAAGTATAAAGCGGCCGTCTTCCACAGCTTTTGGTATAGCACTGTTGATGAGGTTACATAAAGATCCTACGTTGAATTCGCCGTTGATATTGTCAGCTTTCACTTTGGGACTGAATCTAGATGTTGGAGTACCCTGGAATGAAAAAGCAAATATATTAAATTTGAATTTTCCTTTCTCGAATCATCAAAGTCGACAATAGCCGAAAAAAGAGATGCTCGAAATGTCGCGTTTAGCATTTAAATAAACCGTAATAGTTCTTTATACTATAGTAAATGTAGATTTTATATTCAAAGAAGCCAAAGGTGACTGTCTGATTAACTGATCTATGAACTCATTACTGAAATCTACTAGACGCGTCGAATTGAAATTTGGCACATTAATAGTTATTACTAGTTGTTTTCTCACAACTTAATTCGCGTAAATTATAGCCCATGCTGTCCACATATAATATAGCTTTCCATAAGTAAAACATTTTTGCAAATAGTGCCAGTAGTTTTTGAGCCTAATTAAATACAAACAAACAACACAATTCTTCTTCTTTCAAATATCATTAGCTGTTTTCCCGCGACTTTGCACGCGTAGATTCACACACGTAGGTAAAAGAATTTTTTAAATCTGTCCAGTAGTATCGGAGCTTATTCGATGCAAACAAACAAATCTTTCCTTTTTATTATTACAATATTAGTAAAGATTATGATGAGCCTACAGGTTCGCTTAGTAAGGACTTATAAAATTCAATTTCTAAAAGGACTTTATAAGACAAGTTGTAATAGAAATAGGAAAGCTTGAGATATCATAACTGTCGTTATAGAAAAGTAAGTTTTCTGATTTCATTTAAGAATCGAATTTAGAGACAGAGCTTCGTTTACGTTATTATCATGAAAAAAGTAGACAGCTCAACTGGTGGAATCATCATCAAAATAGGAATTCTATGTCTGTAATAATAAATAACGGGCATTGTGTCACTGAATATATTAGCATGATTGCATTTAATTATGCAAATTTATTGAAATTGCGGTGTCGACTAAACTCCGTAGTAAGCGAAACGTAAACAATTAACAATAAAACATGTAGGCTTGTGAAGTAAATTAATTAGGTTTTGCTTCTAATATAGTCGTAGTGAGCAAGTGTCATGAATTCTTTGAGTCAAATAATAAAAATCAGAAAGAATTAAAAAAAAAGTTTATTTTATTAAAAAAGAAGTTTATTTTCAAATAACAAATCGATTTTGGTAATTAATTTTGCGTTTAGTAGTACCTCATTTCTCAAGAAAGATTATTGGCTATGTAAAATCAAAACGCAAGGTTTTACCGTCAGTGGCCAATGATCCCTAAAAACTGATTTTTATAGATTTATTTTTAAAGTTTAATTGTTATTTCAAATTGTGTTAAGTTTACGAGCTGTCGTCTATGTAAAACCTATTACTCTATTGATATAAATAGATTATAAATACTGATGTTTAAAATTCCGTAATACCACCTAACGAAATCAAAAATTCTTTCAGAATGCTATTTGTAGAAACTTGACGAGCTGCTCAATGTACTGCACATCATCAGTTCTTTTACATCCCTACAGGGGCTGCAGGTCTTCCTTATGGATGTTTAAGGAGGACGGCCATAACTCCACCCCGGCCCAATGCGGACTGACCGGTATTAACCACTGCCAATGTAGCCAGGATCAACAGTTTAACGTGATCTTATTCACTACGCCACCGAGCTGAGTCCACAGGATTAATACCTAACCAAATATAGTACATAACTAAGTGCCCACAAGTAAATCCGTCTTAAGTATTTTTACTTAAGTATATTTCTTTGCAGTAGTTAAGTTAGAAAACCTAAATATTGCTGGAAAATATTGTTAAAAGGAAATCACTTACTTCTTAATATAAACCATATTAATATTGAAAAATATTACGTAAACTGACCACTGCACGACCATAAATATTGATCGTCAACTGAACGTTCGACAGCTAAGAACAGTTTGTATGGGAAAACCAAATTGTCGTTTTCAGTATTATACTCGCAATTTTGTTATTTTTCTCATCGTGTAAACCTTCCCAGGACTTCCACGAATATTTCGTGACTAAAATTTGTCAAATCGGTTCAGCCGTTCTTATTTATTTATATATATTTATATTTTTATTTATTTATATATATAGATTAGATATCGCGTTATAGTTTATTGGTTTAGGCAGTCGCCGGATTGTGTAAGGTTAAGGGTTCGATTCCCGGTTTGGACACGTGAAATTTTCTAATATTTAAAGTGATTTTTATAAGAGAAACATTTTTTCAAATATCTCTCTCTTATTCGGTGTAAGATTTTTATTATAATCGTTTCGTTATAACTTACTTTTTTATCAGACGGGCAATCTATAGTAACACGCATAGGAGGTGGCGCTCTCACATACACACATATAAATATCTGAAACACACACAAACACTGCGTTACATCAGAACACTATCTCTGAAGTTATTTTTCAATTGTTATCAATTAAATGAAATCAATCAATCAAGTGAAAATATAAGAAATCACTATTTTATCGATGTTTCTTTTTAATTTTGTGCTGTTTACTGACCAATATTAACGAAACAGCCACGTGTTGAGACATTTTGAATCACATTTTATTACGTCTGAGGCCCTACTGCGTATGAGCACGTATTAACATCGATTTGCTCAACAGAATCATCCACTCAGCAATTCAGAGTAACATAATTCAAGGTTATTTCACAACAATCGAATCATCAAACGAACCGAGTACAAAAACACATCTTATCGATAAAACGTGCTTCGATATGCATTTGAAAAGAGAAGAGAGTAATAAAACCTTTAATTAAATAATCTCAGTTGTATTTATCTATGGTTGTCTGTAAAAGAGTTTTGTAATCGGTCGTCTAAAATACCTGTAGATATAATGGGATGGTTAGTGAACACTTGCTTTGCTGGTAGTTTAGTGTTGTATCTATGCGCTAAAGTTTATTTCGAGAATGAACTTAAAATGGTTGCTGGCATTTGTGTTGGTGATTGCAGTTATTGTCGCCGTAGAGGTTTGATTTGTTTATAACTTTTTACAGTAGTTTAATGGAACTCGTTGGTGTAGTGGTTAGTGCCTCATTGTGTACATTAAGCTACTTTTTACATAAACATTGATCAAATATAAAAAGTGCACCTGCGTAAAGATTTGCTCAGTGAGTGATACTAAATAGTTATGTTCGGAAATATAGCTTTTTCGTTGATGGTTTTAGTAGTTTTTTTTTGTTAAAAAATTATTTTTTATTTTAAATCACGTCCTTTCGCAATCCAGACAAGTGCTCTAACCACTGAGCTACCCAGGACCCTCTGGAACTGCTACTTTTTCGTTACTAGCGTGCGTATTTTCATGTGCGTGGGTGCTAGTCCCATTTCAGAGTACTTGAGGCTGATGGATTTTTTAAGCATTTTTCAATAAGAATATTTTCCATTATTACTTGATAAAACAAAACAATCAATATTTATCTTTTAAGGTTATTTTTAATAGTGGTTTTGAAATGTAACTTATTGACATCGATTAAGGATAGAGTTATGTTTAAAGTAATCCATTATTAACCGTGTAGTTCTCTTTATGAATAACAATAACCCTTACAAATTCTGAACAAAGAAATAAAAATCTAAAGAAGTATAAATTAAAAATAAAAAACTATTCAATTGTACAAGTTATTCCTCAAGTTCACCAGTTACTCTATTTTGTATCGTTATGATACTCTTTGATTACAGGGAAATATATGAGTAACTTTATAAACAAGTAGAAGAAATTGTAAAATAATTGTATTATTTTTTGCATTTTTTTTTATTTAATTATAAAAAAAAATTGACGATCTGTTTCTCTAAATTCCATTCCATCTTAGTTAGTCTTGAGAATAGGCGTAATGCCTGAGTAAAAAAAGAAATTATATTTAACTCCAACAGTCAGATAATAGAAAAAAAAATATATAAAAAAGTCGAGGCGTGGAGGATCGTACGTCATAGTTTTGTGGAAAATGCACAAAAGCTTGACTTAAAATTTTAAAAATCGTGTTTCATATGTATCCGATGACGACTACAATAAAACCTTTTTATAGATTTTGTATAATTTTTATACTTTTAATATTTTCTTTTATTTTATTATGTTATTATTATATAGAAAAAAATATCGATACCCACGGATTTTTATTTTGGAATTAATAGTCATCATCTCTATTGATATGAAGGAGAGTTTACACTGAATTAATAGACGGGTCAGTAACCGGCGTTAGTGCTGGCGCCGGAACCTACCCTCACCGTATATACGCGTAGACCGGTGTCTGTTAGGACTCTTGACGATTCCTTACCTCGGCAACTGCCTCATGACTCATTAGTCAGTAGCAGTGGTAAAAGATCTGAACTGAACGAGCGACTGATTCGAGTCAGTGTTACCCTAGTTTAGATTAAACCGATAATAACGTAATCATAACTACTGATTTAGAATTGACCCTTTTATATAATGGGATCAATTTGCGGCACCAACACTGATACTTACTATTTTGGATACTTTCGGATTGAACCTCTATGCTATGACAGCGTTGTGCTCGAGGTCGATTTCTACGATGTTTTTATAAAAGAATAGCACTGCAGCACTGACTTACTTACTTACTTGCACCTGTGTAAACTCTGCTTGGACCAAAATGCACTGACATTTTTTATTAATGTTTCCAGGGCAGCATTTTATTGCGTGAGTCGCTGATGCGCCCGCGCACCTCTAAGGAATGCTTCTCATGCAGCGCATCCGATCGGCCGTTCACATACCCCCTCATTAGCTACTTTGGCAAGATCAAGGATGTATTCGTGCGAATGTTTAAGAAGGTCGTCGAAAGCGCTCAGAATTACAAACTAGATTATAAATAAATTTGTGTATGATAATAAGGTGTAACTTTAAAAACTAACTGTGATTATTATTGATCGTTGTTTGTGTTATTTATTTGTCAATATTTTAATAACTCCGGCTGCTGTAGTCACTTGCTAATATTATTTCGTCTCAGCCAGCCATCTAGACAGCTTCAGTCGCTCGGCTCGTTTTTGTTTTGCTTACAGTTCTAACCGATTGATCTGTTCTTTCATATCTAGGAATTATAGATATTTAAAATTATGCACATAAGAAATAGACTTAAAGATAATTATACCAACGTACACTGTATATTATTCAAAATTAGGAATAATAAAATTATTTTAAAAGAAGTGAACCCTTTGTAATACGTATTCCAGTAAGAATATACAGAAAAAAAAAATAACAATAATTCCATTTTTTTGGAAATATAATTATCATGCCATGATCAAAAGTTTAAATTTACAATTTTTTCAATAAATAACTTCGTTAAAATGCCAATCACATCGAACTTTTCCATATCTCGTACAAAAAGTTGCAAAATTGTATAGTAATTTTTTATACTATTTCTAACCTTTGGTATTATTATGAATTGATTGTATAATAAATGAGCTATACTGACAAGAGATGTTTAAAAATAATAATTTAATCTTTTTTGGTAGCACAACACAAGTTATAAAAGTTTGTGTTTGAGGTATATTATAGTATAACTAAATTATTCTTAATTTAATTTATTAAAAGAGTGTTTGTACTAATTTTATATTAAATATAAAAATAAAGATTTGTTTTGTTGGAATTTAATTAAACAATATAATTATTCTGAAACTTTTTATTGTTTTTTTTTAAATTACCTAATCTTTTTACAAAGTCTACTATTAACATGCTATGTAAAAACGTAGTCATTCCTCATTTAAGTACTGAATAATAAATTAAATAAATACAAGACATTTAATAATTATTTTATTAATAAGCTTTTAAATCTATTCAGTTCAGAAGAAGTTAAAGAGCCTCTTTTAAACAAATTCCTTAATTTATCCGATACACTTTTTTTCTTTAAATCGGATCGGATTTTCTTAGAAGCTTTAGAAATAGCTTTTTCTATAGGCGTCTTATGACCTAAAATGGGAACTTTTAGAGGTTTTAAAGGATCACTCAGTGAAGTAGGAATCAAAGGACTTTTTAACAACGATGGTCGGGGTAGCTTGGGTAAGGGAGGGGGTAGAAGTGGTATTAGTGGTATGGGTGGTATAATAGGAGGTAATGGTAGAAGAGGTAAAAGTGGTAACTTTGGTATTAAAGGAGGTAGAATAGGTGGAAGGACTGGTAGTACTTTAGGTAATTTTAGTGGAGAAATTGCTGAGAGTAGTGTAGAAGGGGAAACTAATTGGTCTAATAAAGGCGGAGGCTTTGCCGGTTTAGGAAGTGACAGAGGGGGAAAAGGCGGCTTGTTCTTGTTGTTTATATTGATCACTAATGGTGCATGGTGATTAATGGTGAGCGGTGTGGATTTGAGTTTGAGATCTCCAGTAAGTAGGCCACAGTAACTGTATCGAACCGAATATATCTGAAATAAAAATATGTGCTATTAATATTTTTAAGATTCCAAAAGTATTAAAGTTTTATGGTATCACTCTTGTGTTCCTACTTCTTTCACTGCCGATTTTTTAGAAAATACAACTAGAAAACCTTTAACATTTGATTGGTTAATTTTATTTATGAAACGAACAACGGTAGATGCAATTTTGATAGAAAAAAATTACTTATGATTGTATATTAGTATACCTATAGCAAAAACCCAGTTCATGAATATTTGTGACCGCAATTTTTTTTAATAGAATCTTTAACGCCTTGTTGTATTTTCAGATAACTAAGTGTTTGTTTTTTTAATTATCTATATTTTAACATGACTGTATCACGAGTACAGGCATAATAAGGAAGATACGGGTTTAGGCCCGTATAGTTTTTGTCGATGTTTTTGGTGAATTTTGTAGTATTTTCTAGAGCATGTTACTGAATTTAAGTGTAATTTGAATTACAGGAATAGTTTTCTCAGTCCTTCAAGACTAAACATACCGTTTCTTACTTAGTCCTTTAGAGTAATAGTTATCTTATTACAAAATCGAATTAAAATAATATCTTATTAAAAAGTCTCATCTAAAATAATATGAAATGTAAAGGATGGACACCATAGCGCTTGAAAATTCAATGGCTTTAGGAAATATCAATTCGATATATCTTTACAGAAACTACTTTAAAATAAGTTTTATATTACACAATCACTTTGATTTTTCAATGTAGGAAGAATACTTTTAAACCACATTCTAAACATTATTATGACAAGTTTTAGTGTCAGTAGGTACTTATAAATTTTTAAATAGAGTAACAAATAATGTATTTATTCATAACTCACTATCACAATGACATAACTATATGCACAAAACACATTTCTTGTTACCCGACACGCCAACATATTTACTGATGTATTCAAATGTTTATTGTATAAAGGTAATTTCCGTGACGCTTATATAACTTTAAGTTTCATTGATATAATTGTTACAATGTTATTTAGCTGATTCAACGCTTTTACGTAACATAATGTAATGATACTCAATTGTTTTATTCGCCGATACGGATTTTCAAGGTAATAAACAATGATTAATTGTTAATTTAAAAATATATAAATCGGATCATTATTTTATTATTTAGCTCAAAATTTATTAGTTTTAATGAAAGAAAGATTTTTTTATAAACAATACTACATAAATTCAGCAAAAGGCTGATTGTAGAATTTCCTGAATCCAATGTAATCTAATAGAAATTCAAAAATTTCCGGTTGTACTTAAGAAAATTTTGCTTCTAAATATGACATATATGTATCCCTAATGTTATTAAGCATGTCCTACTCAATTTCTTAAATACAGTTTGTAACAGGTAGGTATAGTTCATTGTATGTTAACTAAAGATATTGCAACTTTTTGACAATAGTCCGCTATATGTCAGATTACTACAATATGTCAAATTTCACCCATGGATTTTAACCTCTACCTTCAATATATTAAGGTTTAAAATCAAGTGGGGGAATTTTACCATTTTATATTATCTGACCTGCTGTAGGTACATATAGAAAAAACGTTTCTTAATAATGGCTTGACATCAGCCATTTTAACGATACATGAGTGGAAATTGATCTGCAGTTTTAATCTACTACAAATACAGCTTCGAACGCAACGTCGCGTCAAGCGCTGCAGCAACATTAGAGATTAACGGTCGGTTTCTGAATTGAGAAAAGCACAAAAATCTCAACTGATTATTCTCAATAACCCAAGTTTTTAAGTTTTCATATGGCAAAAAGTAGCTTGGTGGCGTAGAGGATAAGCGCCGCGGCCCGCGATCGTTGTTGTTAAGCAACTTTCGCAAGGGTCGGTCACGGGATGGGTGACCAAAAAATTATTATCTCGAGCTACTTCGTGCTTCGGAAGGCACGTTAAGCCGTTGGTCCCGGCTGCATTTGCAGTCGTTAATACCCTCCAATCCGCATTGGGCCAGCGTGGAGGGTCATGGCCCATCCTCCTTAACCATCCATAAGGAAGGCCTGAGCCCCTGCAGTGGGGACGTAAAAGGGCTGGTGATGACAAAAAGTCTTAGTTTTATCAAATCACTATCTGATCATTAAAAAACTATAAATCAGTAATGAAAACCTGTTAAAATAACATTTAAAATGGCTTAAGCACGGTTTGAGTAGTGCTCAATTTTATATTCTCAATTCAGAAACCGGGTGTCAGTCTCATAAAACCTACTAAAAGGCAATAAAGGCTTTATTTGATTCAGCCTCTAATGCTGTGGTTGCGCTGTGCACGACGTTGTACAAAGCAGGTTATTATATCAGCTAATCATCTTATAGGTTATGTGTAACTCGATACTGCTGCTGAAATAATATATTTCATCGTAATCATCATCAGCCCTGTTACGTCCCCACTGCAGGGTCTCTGGCCTTCCTTATGAATGGATAAAGATGGGCCATGACCCTCCGTACTGACACAATGCGGATTGGAGGATATTAACACGTACCTTCTGACACACTGAGAAGTACGAGATAGTAAATTTTTCGCACCTGTGGTACATCTACAAGTCATTTAGAACAAAGGAAACCTACATCGCCCACAATAAGTTTCATTACCAATTAGCATATATAGTATATACATCCTACATTGGTTGGACCGCGGTTCCCGGGCTCAACATCTAGCTCGGAGACAATTATCCTTTAGTCTCCCTTGCCAGTTGTCTTCATCATCCAGTAGAACCCACACCTTCACTATTACGGTTCCTACACCTCCATCCTACGAGCGACCCTTCCGAAAGTTGCCCTACTTCCACATAGGTATAAAACCACTCTGCCATCGAACTCCTCAATGCACATAGTATGTAAATTAATACCTTTTCAGTTAAGTATACCTTCTAGGTATCCAGTTCAACACAGATAGAGTAAATACTTTTTTATGGAACTAAAGTAGTAGGGAAAAGTATATCGAAGATTACAACTTTATGTAGTATGATCAGTATGTTCTTCTTTCAACCTCAGGATGATATATAGCTCAATTATTAGAGCAGTGGCTCGAAAGGTTTTGGTCACTCCAAAATGGAGCTTAAATCCGTCATATTTATTTACTAAAACAATCCAGACTATACCGCGATGTAGAAACAATATAGCGCTATCTAGTTACAAATGAGTAAGTTATATTAATGACCCTCTTTATTTATTTTTAAGGTTTTATTATTTCTGTATCAGTTCATATTTTAAAAGCATTAAGCATGTTGCAATAAATATTTAATAAACACTAATTATTTCGTTAGACATACAGATATTTGGTATAATGTATCAACACGTACCATCTCTTATCCAATTCTGAATAGATTTCATTAACCATTCCTGTAATAGATAAAATACTATCAAATAAATCACGTTCAAACAATTAATGGCGTAATAATATACATTCTTTATATATACATGAAACAATAAATCAAAGAGTTCATTGTTATTATTGCTGTGCTATCAGCTGGTCAACCATGGGGGTGTATAGGCTACTATGGCCTTCCATAGGCCTAATATTTTTTACATCTTCATATGTTTTTGCTTGTGATGAAACAGGACTGTGTTTGGTACGGGCTTTTAAATTATTATAGTCTTTCTGTTTTACATAATTGAAACTTGTTTTTTTATTTAGTTTAATAATATAAATTGATCTATCGCTTTTGTGAAAAGGATATGATGAATTTTAAAATAGATAATTTTATAACAATTTTTATGTTTTCTCACAGTTAGAAGCGTTGAAGGAAATGAAAGAGTGTAAGAAAAGTGTCTTGGCTTCGTAAGTATTATTTTAAAATAGTATAATATATTAACTTTTACTACTCGTCAAATTTCATCACAATTAGTCCAGTGCTTTCTTATTGAATCATTATGTAATTACTTGCCCATTTTAATATTAATAAAGAAAATTACTGATACACTAAAACTGAAGTGTTCATTCGTTTGGAAGAATATCTAAAACTAAGAGAGGGGTTTGAAAAGAGTAAGGATATCGGTTATTCGGATTGTGCAGCTACTAATAAAGAAAATAATAAGCATTTATTTTTTATATCAAAAAAGTTCTAATATTTATCAGGTAATGATATAAAAGGAAATTACGAATAAACTGGCAATGTTTTTAATGAATTTTGTAGAATAATAATAAATATGAGATAATATCAATAATTTAAATAACATCTGTTGTATCAGCTTATCCAGTATTTTTTATTCATTTGTGTATGAATTTTTTGCAGGTTACTGAAGCCCGCATTAGCTAAGAAAACTTTAGGTAAGTGTACATGTAAAAAAAGCATTTATGTTATGATATTTTACAAAATTTTAATCAATCTATCGACAGGTGAAAAGGTTTTGTTGTATAATATTATGGCATTATTGTTACAGAACTGGAGAAGAAAGAGTGTGACTTACTTTCACCACCTGGCACTATTGTTCTGTTACCAGCTGGAGCGCCTCCACCACCTCCGGCGCTGCCCCCACCCTTACTTCTACCGCCACCACCAGCGTTCTTACCCCCTCCACCAATATACCTGCCATCTCCGGCTCCACCGTTTATTTTGCCACCACCTCCCATTGTCCCATCGCTGCCGTGTAACGCACCTCAGCCAGCGCCGATATATTTACCAGCGCCTCCTTCACCAATAGTATTACCACCACCACCACCGCCACCATTAATATTACCATCGCCGCCACCACCGCCGGTTGTATTACCGGCACCACAGCCACAATTAGTTTTACCAGCGCCGGTACCTCCACCACCAGTTTACCTTCCAGCACCACCCCCTCCGCCTGTATATCTTCCTCCTCCACCTCCGCCACCAATATATCTACCCCCTCCACCTCCACCACCAGTAATTCTACCCCCTCCACCTCCGCCACCAGTAATTCTTCCCCCTCCTTCCCCACCAGTATGTCTACCCTCTCCCCAATCGCCAGTTTATCTACCACCTCCACCTACATATCAACCTACCCTCTTACCCCCTCCATCTTTACCACCTGCGTTGCCGCCGTCACCTATAGTGATATCCGTCGTTCCACCTGCATCACCGCCGCCGTCATATTCTCTACCCCCACCGTACTCAAGTGTACCCCCGCCATACTCAAGTGCACCCCCACCATACTCAAGTGTACCCCCACCATACTCAAATTTACCCCCGCGTGCTCCACCCTCGGTGCCGATGAACGCGTACGTAATACCACCACCAATCCCATGTACTATAGAACCTAAACCAATTTTTGGTAAGAAAGATTTATTAGAAATTCCGAAGTCCAAATGTGGTTGTAGTGGTTGCGGAGCCGCTCCTCCTTCGATCCCTTATTATTAAAAATAAAGTTAAGCTAGGCGGTGCACACACGTATACATGTATTCGATTTTCAAAATGGAATTATTCTAAAAATTGATTTCAGAGTCCAGTAACGGAAATATTTTCTGATTTCATTATGATAGTGGCAAAACTTGAGAGTCTGGATGTTTACAGTATAATGTTTAGTGTATTTTTACAGACAAAACTTTTAATTCTTTAGATTTTATTTTATTATATTTATTTACATTTTTCTGATATATTTTCTACTATATAATCAAACAATTAAAGTTTAAAAGCATGTAATGTAAGCAAATGTGTATAACCTGACGTTACAATTAACCACTATTCATATTCGAAATTTTCATATACATATCGCAATACTATTCTTTAATTCCATAAATTATTGTTTTGGCTTATACTATTCTAATTAATTTTTGAGTAATAATAAAAATGCTGTTTTAGTATAAAAAGTTTTAGATTATAAAAGTCTAAAAAGTAATTAAAGACAATTATAATGTATTTATTTTATGAACACCAGCCTTAAGTTCAACGTAGCGCCTCTATTGCAAGTAATCATGTATTAGTCATAGTACATCGCATAGTTGTTTTGCTGATGTTTTTTATATAAACTGTATAAATAAGTTAATTTAAAATATAATTTATTACTTAATAAATCTTTTTTTTTTAATCTCCTATCAAAACATCACCCTAAGATCTTTACCATATGTTCACTATGGATAAATCATAAAGAAAGACCTGATCTAACTTACTGTATAAGTTAGATCATTACTGTCTAACTTATATACTGTCTAACTACGGATTGATGCGTATTAGCAAATACATAGGCAAGCGGTGCCAGTAGCTTAGCGTGATTTTGTGCCATCCGAAACCTAGAGCTTGAGATGATAAATTGGTGATCACTCATCTGATTATCGACTTTTGTGCAAATGGCTTTACATTCAAAATCGCCCATATAACGCTCTAAAGTCTAAATATTGTCCCATAGAGTTTCTTGATATTTGTTAAGTGATAAGTATTATATTTCGCATAATTAATACGTGGGAGTGGATGGTGTTATTTACATAGTATAGTCAGCCAAAATTATGGTCTACGGTTGAGTTCCATTTGAACGTTATCATCAATAATAATAAGGCCGATTTACCCTTGCAATAATATCATGACAGTGACCATTACTTCAAAAAAAAACAGATAATTTGACAATATTGAATATGTAAACCGCGTTAGAAAGACATCCTATTATATTATATTGTATTGACATAATTAAAAATAATAATTTAACGTTGACAGACCCAAAACAGATAGCTATCCGTTTGGTGAATTCTTCACGTCTGTTACTGACGTATCTTGCACAGATAGACATAAGAAGATGGTGTATAGGCAACGTATTCCAAATTCAATTTTCATAAAACTATTGACTCAATTTGAAGCGGGAAAAGAAGTAATGTTATTGAAACCCACCAACTCAGTAGGATACGATGAAATCTGTTCAAAATTTTTGAAAATATGCATTAGTGATGTACTCTGCGTCCTCACACATTTAATAAATTTATCGTTCTCTACTTATGTTTTCCTTATAATATTATAAGTACAGAACAGTATAGTTTTCAACGAAATAAATCCACAACACAAGCTATACACAAACTCGTAGATACGGTAGTAACAAGTATTAATAAAAAACACTTAACTGGCCTTTTCTTTCATTTGTCTAAAGCTTTTGATCGCGTTACACATATTATACTATTAACCAAACTTAAGGCCATTGGTATCAGAGGTCCTGGTTCAAGTCATATCTTCATAATAGAAAGCAGTGTGTTGTTATCAATAATTTAAAGAAAGATAATGAAGTTGTGTCATTTTCATTAACATATAGGGACACAAAATATGGCATACCCCAGGGTAGTGTACTAGGGTAGTATAATGACATTGCGTATGTAACTAACCATAAAAGCATTTCATTTGCAGATGACATATCTATTATAGTGACATTTAATAATAAAAAAATTACAATTAATGAACATGAAATTGACATCAACGGTGTCATTCACAATTTAATTAATTACCTTGACATGCATAATTTAAAAATAAATAGTCTGGGGAAATAGTACAAATATCAACAGAGCTTTTATTGCTCAGAAAAGAATGTATACGAGCCTTATGTGGAGTTCCTCCATTAACTTCCTGACGCGAGTTTGCCATCGCTTTATATATATGAGGTATGTATGTTTTTTATGCAGAAGCCTAAGCTATTTGTAAGGGCATGTGAGGTTTATTCTCGCAATACTAGAAATACAAATAGATTGGTACTACATGGAAAACCTCAAACAATGCAGTACTCTAAAAGTTGTCTTGCCATGTGCGTTAAATTGTACAATAACATACCAGATAACCTTAAATCATTTAATATTATTAAATGTTTATATAAATGGCTGTTGAAAGAAAACTTTTATGATATTTAGAATTTTTTCACTAAAAAATATACTGAAATTGTGAATTATTATTATATGCTAACAATATGCATCTGATATTTAATCCTGACTAATCATTTAACATACAGATCTATATTATATATATTGACATTGTAAATTCAATAATAGTTTAATAACAAGACTATATAAATTTGCATGCTTAGTAATAGGTGAAACATGATGTACATATTAAAAATCAACTCTGTTATCTTATTAACCATGCTTATAGCAAATAAATAAATGAATAAATGACCCTTAGCAGAACCGCAATAACACACATGATGTACGCCCATGCATATCATCAAGTCTACTATCAAATATAATTGTTGATATTTAAGTCTCATTACCTTAAAATACAGTAAAATTAGCTGTTCTGGATATATGTAATTTGACAGTCCGCCCAAATAGTCGCAAATGCATAATACTTACCAATTGAATCTAGATCGATACTTAAAATGTAGAGTTAGCAAAAACGTTAAGATTCAGATAGGTCCTTATTCGTATTATGTTACACTCCTGCGGCAAAACTCTGTTGGACCAGTTTTAATGAAATTTGATAGAAAAAACGTAGATACCCTTTCGTTACATTGTACGCAACGAGTACTGATAAAATACTCAGACTAACTCTAAAAATATTTTATTTCGTAAAAAACTTATTCACTTAACAACACGTTGTTCTTAAGTTCTAAATATTTTTTCACACTTACTTTTTGCGCCCACTCGCTTCTACTAGACACGCATCTTACCACCGCTGGCCGACAGTATAGTCATTATAAATTTGTATCATCATCGTAGGTATTGGTAGATCTGCTCTGAATAACAAAGATTCACCTTGCACTATATTATAATTTATACAATTATAGCCGTTATAAATTATTATTTTATAAATGTCGGTAGGTACACCTAATCATCACAACAATTAAAAAGAGTCCTAAAAATATTGTATCAACAAAAGAGTTTTAATAAATAGAATTTAGACTATGCTGCTGACGGTACTTTTGAATTTATAACGAAACTGATTTACCTATCTTTCCTAGTCTTTTACCAGAATGAGGACTTGGACGTAAACTGCAAATGCTGTGATAATAGTAAAGTATACACTGCAGAATGTTTATACCAGCTGTTGCCGCATTATTCAAACATAAAGTGATCGGAAGTATAATAATTATTGCTAATTGGTCAATGTTTGGTATGTGTATTTTTAAATACTTAATAATTTATTGTCAAATATAAATATAATAAATATGTGGCAATAGTATAATTGTTCATGAACATATGACCCTCTCGAGTAAAATTTTGTTTATTTTGTTCAGGGCTGTCAGTAGAGCCGACTTATTTTATACCATACCAGGGTGTAGTCTGGGTGCTATAGTATCTTCATTGTTTCAGTTTGGGAACTGTTTATTTGGATATCGATTCACATCTAGACATGATAACATGGATATAATTATAATGACAAATTGAATAAATAGTAAACAAACTGTACTATGGCAAAGTTTTCACTTCCTATACAAACTTCTACTCCGATTTTCGTCCCTTTATGTGCTGTTTTTCGGGATAAAATATAGTCTATGTTCACCGCATATAATGTAGCTTCCCGTACGTGAAGGAATTTTTAAAATCTATCCAGTAGTTTCGGGACCTATTCGTCAAAAACAAATAAAACAATCAAAATCAAATAGATAAATCTCAAATATATCATTTTAGTTAAATTAAGTACGTAAACAAAATAGTCTGGGTAGAAATATAGAAAACCATAAATTTATAATTATGTCATTGCCGGAAATGAGTCTGATAGGTACTCGTATAAAATATGGCGTATAACACGTAAAAACTATTTTAATTAATTTCCCTCAAACCATTACATTTTTAATTAATTTCCCTCAAACCATTACGGTTATTGTTAAAGCGCTGCATAAATATTCCATTTTTCCTCGGTTACAAAGTTACTTACATTTACATCGCTTAAGTATAATTACGAAAAGAAATAACCCTTAAAAAATATGACATGAATTTCCCTTTTTTTATAACACCATAATTGGTCATTATTTCTTGATATTAAACCAATTAAAAGAGGTTTACCGAAGCTAAGTTTTAAATTTGATTATATATTTGTTTTGCAGAGAAAATAAAAGCGATAAAACAATTTTCTCAACATGGAATTAGAGCTGCATATGCCAACGATCCAACTTCGATAGGTTTGCTTGATGAGTATCGATTACAAGGAGTCTTGTATGTCAGCCAAACAAACGATAGTATTATATTAAATAAGGTTGTGTAATGTTTAAAGAAGTTTTTATTTAGCAAGTTATATGTATCGTGGGCTAATAGTTTATCCGAACGAGATCTGTCCGGGTTTATTACGATATGCCGCTATGTCTTGATTTGCCCATCAATTTCCGCCATATCGTTCAATGGTTAATGTTTGATAACTAGCCCGATTATATTCAGGCCAAACCTTTTTATACGTTGATCGATTACGTGACGCGAAACGGAACTATATTACAATGCGCCCAGCCATATCACGATATGCCCAAGTGATTAGTTGGTAAATCCACTCCTGTGTTCTGTGGGTAAATCGACAAATACGTTGCTTGTCGATCTGTCAAATTTTTAACCGGGTCGATCTTAATCGGCCCAATTCAACGATTAGCTCACGACATATACATAGTTTGCGATTTCACTCGTACCTTTTTATAATAAAAGGATGACAAAAGTATGTACTTGGTTCAAGTTATATAGCAAATTGACAATAATGAAGAGGAAACGCCAACTTGGGACACTTTTTTGGTCCTGTAAAACCTTGTACTAAAGTTAATCCTCGTAACATGCGGATGTACGATCGCATGGCATAGATAGGACCTTTAAGAATATTCTAATCATATATTTTATGTATATGTTACGCTCAAAGATCGCAAAATGAGAGAAAAAATAGTTCACAACGCGTTGTCGTTGTATATGAAGTGAATCATTTTAATCATAGATAAGTTAGAGTACGCAAAGCAAACAGACAAAGCACGAGCCGAGCGAGCAAAGCGAGCGTGCCGTGACAGCGTCTGCGATGTGCTAGAAGCGAATCGCTATTATAAAGTGAAACAACGTTGTGGTCGACTAGCTCGTCAGTCACGACACGGATTTCGCTATGTGGTTATTCTGTGATTGCTACAATGCGTTATAAGCTATTTTTTCGTTCAATGAGCGACTTCGAGCTTTGAGCGTAACATATTTTATTATGTACTGTTTTGTATCTCTATAATTATATGAATGTAGGTATATAATTTAACAACAAATATTTTAATATTTTACTGGGACATGAAAGTTTAAACAATTACATGTGATGTTAAAAGACATTAAAAAAAAAATTTGCTTGATTCGCTCCAAATATTTGCATTGTACAATATTATGTTAAAATCATAACAGTTACAATGAGCTTACCAATTTTTTTTTGTGTATTAGCTCTGTGAATCTATCAATTGCAATTTCAGGTACACACCAGATATTTTTCTAATCGCTACAAATGGCTCCTAGTAGGAAATGAAATACAAAATGAATTGTGTAATACTCGTTATGATTCCGATATAGTTTTGATTCGTAATGAAGTATCATTTGATCTTCACAACCATGGTACGTTTACCCCTCTATTACGACTTTGTTATTATTTGACACTACATTACATTTTATGTGTGATCTGAATTTCCATTATGGCTCCCACTCTACTGTAGGCTAAATAGTCTATTTAGTCCCTCCACGTTCATCATCAACCAATATTGGATCCAAAACTTCCTGTCTTGACCTCTATTAGCTTGCTTCATTCATAACCGCTTTTTTCAAATAGTTTGCACTCCACTTCCGTAATAACACCATTATCATCAAATCCAAATTCAAAATCTGGGTCATTGTGCTAATTTTCTTGTGTCTAGTAAATTATTGTAACACTGAAATTATTGTTTTTTAGAATCCAATTCTATGTTGTCCAATGTAACAAGCGTTTCCTTCCATGACGTTTATATCCATCCAGGGAATAGTGTTTCTATTCATGCATGGGCTCGTTGGTCTCCCGATAAAGGACTTGTCGTATACCACGATTGGGAAAGAATTCTGAGGAGGAGAAATTTACGCAAATATCCATTGAGAATCACCGCTCCGGTAATGTATACAAATAATATTAAACACTCCTTCTATAATAAAAGTGTCTCCAATACCACAACATCTGTAGGGAAAATTTGATACCGTCTGAAAATTACAAAATCTGTACATAAAAGTTAGATAAACAATAACAAAGTTGCCTTCCATGTTGAACTTGAGAACGAATTCAATACAAAGTGCATCAGTTGTTCCGAAGAATAGATTATATTGATTTATTTATAATGTCTGTGTCAGTACACAAACATTACTTAGTTTATGAATGAAATTCCGAAGTACATCAGGCTATCCAAAACTGGCTTTCTTAACACCATATTAAACCTCAATGTGATGACGCTAAAGTTCAAACTCAATTGTGATAATATTTTGTAACTTAACTGCTGTTTATTATTGTTTACACAAAGTCGCATTCTCATTACGTAATCATACAAAATTCCCATCGGAACAAGATTTAATTGATCAATTAACAGCAAATGGTAAACTTTACTCATTAAATCTTTTATTTCTTAGCCACTTTAAAGTAACTTAGTAAATTTTCCAGTTATCTCGTTATTCAAAAGAAATATACAAGGGCGAGTTTTCTGAATATTTGGTAGACTGGACGGCACCAGACTTTGGTCTTCGCTGTGGATATGGTGCTGCTTCACTGCTCATCGAATACCTTAATGCCACGTTAGTATAGAAAGCTTTAACCATCAACGCAAGACTTTTATTTGGAGTAGTAATCAACAATTAATATGGCAACGACTGAGAAAGTAATTGAAAAAAACCGCTAGCATTGTTCCCATTATCATTTGGACATATGATTATAATAAACTGACGAACAAAAATTCCTGATCGTTTAAAATAATTTCAAATAGGTATTAGTTGATGAGGTTTTTTTGTTTTTATTTCTTAAGAACAATATACTGAAACCTAATGAAAATAAAGTATTTCAGAGGACTATGTTTGATATACAAGTTTTTTCTAGTGAACCGGAACTTTTCTCGTCATATTTTAAGGTGGTACAATAGATCATAATTTCTATAATCTGAGAGCAGTTACGTTCGGTGGATGGAAAATTGAATAAGTAACATTTTAAATATATCAAGACACCTAAGTATTTTAAATTCCAATACTGTGATTTATAATTAAATTTTCACAATTTGGATTACTGGTCTCACCAAGGGGACTATGAATTTTATCTTTCAAGTTCATCTTTTTTTCTTTGATTTAAATATTTTCAGCTATTCTGTACTTACTTTACCAAGTTTATTGATCTTTAAACCTAATCCTAACGTTACCTTTGTTATAAATTTTGTAATCAATTAAAATTACATGTTTATTAAGCGAAGTGATAATACCCACTATGTTGTGGATTTCTGAAGAGAATAATAGCAGTATGATACTTATGCTGGAGGCTGGAACAGCGGACCTGAGTGCTGGCATACTGCGAGTCATGCAGAGTCGTTTAGACAGAATCGACTATGTCATGCCAATATGGATGTTCAGGTAAACTATACGAAAAATATCCACAATCACATTTAAAAAATATTGTGTTAAAATTCTTTTATAATTTTGAAGATACTAAAAAATTAGATCTGTTACTCCTAATTGAAATTGATAACAGTAATTTTTATCTCATGTTTTAACTCCAGGAGAAGCAGTTCAATTTGCCCGTAGGATTAGTAAGCAAAAAATTGCAAGGAAAAGCTTAAATTACCTGATAGGTGATTAAATTTATCATTTCGAGCTCGTGCTTTAAAACCCCATTGTGATTTCATCAATATGGAAAGCCTATGCCTTAATAGCGGGTTCATTAATATATAGAGATATTTTTTTCGATATTGAGTTATACATATATTGAATCAGCAAAATTTGTCTATTACAAATATGTATAACTTTGAGTATGCAATACTATGTATTAGTGTTGGCTTCACGTACTTGGCGGAACGAGAGAGCAGCTCTAATATGTATGTGGAACCATTCACTGTTGGAGTGTGGCTTTGTTGTCTCGCGGTGGGAATGACACTAGCCGTCGCCCAGTGGCTCACCTCCAAGAATGTGGAGGAGAAGGAGGGGGCTTTTATAGGTGTGCTAGCCACGTGGCTCCAACAGGGTAAGAATATTGTTTTTAATTAATTATGCATTCGTAATGTTTATATTTGCCTTGATATATTTGAGAAAACTTATATCATGATACATTCGAACCAACGATCTCTCGCTAATCAGGCAAGTGCTTAGTTAATAGCTCAAGTGTCTAGTTTTTAGTATTATAATTGAATATTTTCACCAATGTTTTAGAATTTAGATAATCTGGTTCAATAAATTTTTGAGGAAAAGTACTCGTCCGGTAAATCAGAGGTCGTTGATTTGAGACCACCTGGTATCTGACAATTATAATAAAGATAAAATATATGGAACTTCTTATAAAACCATTTTATTCTACTTAGTGTGGCTATAAATACTGTAAGAGTTAAAAATAAAAATATTACTTTTGAATTTCGAATCTATCACATTTTGTATGATTGTTTTTCATTGCTTTTTATTATTTTCGCACCAATACATTATAAAATATTTTGTAATATTAAAATGGAGTGAGGTGATAAAGAGAACTGCATTGCTGTGATTGCATTGCATAAACGAGGTATGGAGTCAAACACAATTTTCAAAATCCTCCATACACTTAGCATTAGTCAAATGTTTGAGTAAAGGGGCTATTGACAGGTACAATGAAAACTCCTTTGTTGGTGACAGAAAAATATCTAGCCGTCCACGTAAAATTCTTACGAAAAAGGCGATCAAAGTTGTAAGCAAAAAAATCTAACAAATCCTATCTGAAAGCAAAAGATTTTATCCCGAGAGATGAAGATAGCATCTCGGACCATATTTTAAAAGTTGACTTAGGACATGCAGCCTATTAGAAACGCACTGGTTACTTCATAATAGATAATTTTAAAATCAAAGGTACACAAAGGAAGGTCACAAAAAATTTTTGTTTACGGATAAGAACATTTTACAATTAAGCAATATTTTAACAAACCAAATGTCTGTTTATAGATGCAAATTTTTTATTATTTATTTTTTTATGGCCTAAATATAACCATAATTTATAATTTCTTAAACATAAGCGGTCATATTGCTTTCTTTATTTGGTTGTTTTATTTCATAAACTTAACTGATCCAAAATGTGCAATCCCTACTAATCTTCCTTCATCATTGATATCTAATAACCCTGCATTATGTAAGTTCAAGATCAATGGTCAGTGATGGTTTCGTAGGAGTGACTGAGCCATATTGTTGTGAAAAAAGCATAAGAAAATCGGCACAAATATATCAATATACCATTCTCGACAAAGTGGTTAAACCCCTTAACATCACCATGTGCAATAACCAAGAGTGGTCCTTTTAGCAATACCCGGCGCCCGGTCATAAAGCTCAATCAACCCAATCTTAATCCGCTGGATTTTTTTTTTTTTTTTTTTTATTGTCCAAAAATATACAATTTTTTTTGCATGCAAAAGTACATCATAAGCGCACAAAAGCCCTTTCGGGTTTATCAGTGCCCGTGGAGTTCAAATACAACGTTCCTAAAATAATTACAATAATTTATCAAGGTATATTAGATAGTTACATAACGTTATTTTTATTATTTAACAATGCAATTGACATAAGGTATTTCAAGCAAGTTAATCTTACTTAGCAATAGATGAGAACATAATTTTATATAATGTAATCATTCTTACTTTTATCAAGAAAGTATTTTTTCAGATATTTTTTATAATTACGCTTATTCAGATAATAAGATACAGATTCATCAGTCATTTCATTCAATATCGCCGGTAACAAATATTTCCAATTTCTTTTTCCATAATAGTTATTAAATTTAGGTAACACATATTTCTTTGATTTTTGTAACTTTCTCAATGTCTTTGGTCGAGTATAGGCAATCAATTCATTGCTATTGTGATGTTCATCAATCAATATGGCGAGCCTCACACTATTATATATTGGCAAGACCCCACAATAATTAAATAAATCTAAATCATTTAAAAAGTTTGTTTTTATTTTTTTCGGAACTATTAACTTTAGTAATTTTAACTGTAGGTTATAGATATTAATCAAGTGTGTTTTGAACGTTCTTCCATAACTACTTAACCCATATCCGATCACACTGTTAGCCAAGGCCATATATAAAGTTCTCAAGGTCATGTAAGGTATTTTGTATCGTAGAATAGATAGTTTAGATGTTATAGCCCTTAATTTCTCACATACATATCCGATATGTGGAACCCAGTTAAATCTGTTATCAATTATAAGACCGATATACATATGTTGAGTTACGAATTCAATTTTTGGACATGAACATTGCATATTTACCTTATGAAGGCATGAGTGTCCATGGGCGATAATAGATGGTGTAAATATTTTTCTGAAAAATGGCGAGTGGATATGAATGGCTTTTGTTTTTTGCGCGTTTATTACAAGACCGGTGTCATGAGCCCATTTGCATATCAGGTTGAAGCTGCGTTGCGATAGACGCTCCGCTATAGCGAGATCTGAATGGGCCGTTACTATGCAAGTATCGTCAGCAAACTGGTATACAGACCCCCTCTCAAGCAAATTACTTAAGTCATTAACATATAGTAAGTATTCAGTGGGTCCGATGATCGAACCCTGGGCAGTGCCCACCTCTGTTGGTATTTTGTGACTGTAAGCACCATCAATCTTTACAAATGTACATCTGTTATGATGGTATTTCTTAAACCATTCTAGTAGCGGGCCTTGTATACCATTCTGTTCAAGCTTTGAATACAATACATCATAATTCAAAAGATCAAAAGCCTTACTGAAGTCGATGAAGACTGCAATCACGTGACGTTTGTTATTCATGTGACTACAGATTTCATCCGTGAATTTACAAAGTAATTTGGTGGTGCTTTTATTTCTTTGAAAGCCAAATTGATTTGCATCAATTATATTATGGGCGCTCAAAAACGTATTTATCTCATTAGCTAAGTATCTCTCAACAATCTTATCCACACATGATAATATGGTTATGGGTCTATAATTATTATAATTCTTATGACAACCTTTTTTATAAATAGGACGAACAGTGCCGATTTTTAATTTGTCTGGATATGAAGATGTTGCAATACATCTGTTTATTAGATGTGTTAATACGGGTGCTATCAAATCGACAATGTTTCTAAGGTCGGCAGCACGAATACCATCATACCCTGGACTTTTATTATAGTTTAATTGTTCGATTATTTTATGGATGTCCGCAATGACAGCCGGCCTCATACGCATTGTCACATTTGGATAGTTTATATATCTCGTTGGACAAAGAATACGATTCGTACACGGATCTATCAAATTTTTAACATTTTGATGAAACTCATTTGCAAAATTTTCCGCTAAAATAGTTGCAGGTAGATTAAAATATTTTAATAATAATTCGTCGACCGACGAGGATATTTTGCCACACAATTTGTTTATTATATTCCAGATTAGTTTTGTGTTGCTGAAGTTTTCATTAATTTGTTTTTTGTAGTAAGAATTTTTAGTATAATTTATATACTTATTCGTTTTGTTTCTATATATATTAAATAATAATCTTTTCTCTAAGTTATTTTCGTCTTTTTTCCATATTCTAAATAACTCAGCCCTTTTTTTACACATGTGTTTTATTCTACTATTTACCCATTCGCATTGTTTATTTTTTTTATTGTTATTACAAACTATCTGTTCTATCTTTGCACTATTGTAAATAGAATCAAACTCATTATACATAAAGCCGAGTATGTCATCAGGCTGCTCGTACGCAAGGGCATTTATGGTCAGTTTTAGAGAGTAAGTCTTGCTTTAAACGCCATGAAAATTTGGAATCCCTAAAACAATCCATAGGATTGGCAGATTTTTCCCATGGAAAGAGTGCGTCCGTCTATTGATTACTGGCCTCTATGTTCAGAAGACTATATTGCAACCAATGGGGACCACTTTGAATAAGCTATATATATTTCTCATGACTTTATATTAATGTATTAAAATTAACACACTGTAATAGTAATTAATGTTACGATCAATAAAAAAAAATCTATGTAACAATATTTATGGTAAGACTATGTATATAGGTATTAATTCGTCGGTATTCTATAATGAAAGTAAATAAAATATAGTTAGAGTTATTATCATAATAACCTTACCTACATCCGCAATAGTTTGTAATCGACACCATTATAAAAAAATTGGAATCAGCAAATATTGCAAATACTAAGTATTATTTAGAATATACATGTTTTATGTTCGACAGATGCAAGTGCTGTGCCTGGAGGTTTATCTGGGAGATGGAACTTTACTGTGCTGTCAGTATGCTCCATGCTGGTACACGCTTATTACACGTCAGCCATCGTGTCTTCTCTGATGAGCAGTGGACGAGGAGGACCACGTAATTTAAGACAGTTGGCTGACTCCAGATACGCTATAGCATCAGACAATCACGATTTCTATCGTTCTAAGATGTTTGACGTGAGACGTTTTTGGTTTCCTTTGCAAAATTTTAATATAAAATGTAAAATTAAAAAGCTCCCTGTCTATGACATGGCGTCCGGTAATGAGAAAGATACTTTGATGGTGAAGTACGCAGCAAAACAGTTTTTAGTTTATTACAAAGTTCATAATGTACTCGTAATATCAAATAAAAATTATTTACCGTATACTGATTGTAGTAAGTTTAAATCTGATTTCTTAGTTATTTTCACAATTGAAAATGCAGTTTAAACTTAAATCAATTTTACAAATATATGGCATTGCTACTAATGCATGGATATCTAAGTTTTATAATTTAATCTAAAACGGTGGCGTCATTATCATCAGCTTTTTTAAGTCCTCACTGCACGGGCTCAGGTCTTCCTTAAAGATGGTTAAGGAGGATGGGCCTTGACCTTCCACCCAATGCCGATTGGAGGTTATTAACGATTATAAATGCATCCGGGACCAACCAACGGTTTAATATGCCTTCCGAAGTACGGAATAAAAGGGATATATTTATTATTATTTTGATAAAAATGGCATTACGTCAATCACAATTACCATAAATTAATAAAAAAGAAAATAAATAAGCTGGAGCATCTTCAAAACCTCGCAATTCGCTACATTTTTGGACCGCGTAAATAGGATCATGTCTCAGCTTCTCGAGCCGAACAAGCTTCATAACCGTTTTCACCGTGATATGTAAATATATTCCTTTTAAAAATTATTTAAGATCCTAATTCACCCGCTCACCTGAATTCCCGTTTCTAGAAGCTTCCTCTCCCATCTCGTCTCAAGCGGTAATAAATTAACATATCTAAATATGCAATTAAATAAAATATGTCTAAGATATGGCTAACTATGTTAAATTTAGGTGAAAACAACGTGGCCTGATTTAGAATATCTGAAAAGAAAGAAAATGGATCCGTCAAAATTCTACCAGAATTTCGAATACGGTATCCAACTGATACAACAAGGTGCCACGGCTTATCACGGAGAATATCACTCGCTTTACCCCTATCTGAATACATTTAGCGACGTCGAGATCTGCAAGATGCAACAGATTGACACCGTACCAGAGGTATAAATTTAAAAATACTTCTTAAAATAACTTTTTTTTTCGAAAAATTACCTACATGTGTTGTCACTTAAGTATAGTTTATGTGTATCTGTTCCTTAGTATATTAGATGTTTATGTTGCTACCTCATTAATAAATTTAGAATTTAAGTTTCGATCAATCAAATAATGGACTTTTCTTTAGATAATGACCTGGATATTAGCATCACCTAAAGGACAATACACAAATCTATTCCGTTCAGCTAGTGCTTGGCTAAAAGAGACTGGTTTAGCAAAACGACTGCTTAATCGTATCCGGATTCAACCACCGCCGTGCATGGCTGCAATGCTGGCTGAACGTGTAACCTTCTGGGATGTGTCACCGCTCTTGGCGGTAACAGCATTAGCTGCGGTTATGTCATTCATCCTCCTCGGATTGGAAATTGTAGTTGCTAATTGGAGAGGAAATCGTATTTTATCTAGTCACCACCGCAATCGTATTCTTCTAAACGAGTCAATTTAGAACTGTTAATTTAACTCAGCGGCCTGTGCAATTAACAGTAGCTCTAGATCTTAAAAGATATATGTATAAAGGTCAGTAGATAAAAATTTCAATGTAAGTCTGTCATGGGTAGTTAAGGCACTGTTATTTTTCAATATGCATTTAGGATACTAAAATAGTTGGCTTACATGTATGTAATAGATATATCTACTCAGCAAACTTAATGTAATTTAATTATATCGGTTCTTCTGTTGTGTATTCATTGATTAATAATGATTCACGAAATTGTTTAAAGTAATAAATGTTGTTTGCACATTTATTCGCATTTTATTATTTTAATGTTATTAAATTCACTCATTGTCACATTGATGAAAGTAAGTTAGTAAGTAGTAGTAGTAGTAGTAGTTAGTTAACTTATTACAAAAAGAAAGTAAAAGTAAACAAATCAGTCTCCTAATAAAGCAGAAATAAATATAATGATAAAAAACAAGCTTTTGTAATAATGTTATCTGGGATTAGAGATCTTCTATAGACAAAGCACACGAGCCCAAAATCAAAGGTGTTGCGTTATATAATTATAATTCTGCATAGCCACCGTCTAATTAGATCATCAGATTCACATAAGACATTACGGATTTTTAGTTTTTGTAAATCTTAATAATTAACGAATCACAACATATGCATATGCCGTAATACATTTATTATTAAAAATGGTATAATTTTTTTAACTGCATTTTAACATTTTGGGTATCATATGCTCTTTGTTTAAGCATTGAACCGAATTATTTTCTGGCTATAATCATTCGTATCCGAAATTCTTAATTTGTTTATTGTTTCATTTGCAAACCATCTACTAAGAGATCGTTTAACTAAACGGATTTGCAGGTTACGAAATACTTAATTTCTTTTAATTGTTTCTAAGAAATAATTACAGCCGTGACTGTAAGTAATATTTTTTATCTAAAAATCTCTATCTTTTATTATTCATTAATTATCACACATTATCTCAAAATACTTATCAATTGTCACTATCATCTGCTCTTAAAAACATCACGTTCAAAATTTATATTAAATGTTTATAAAATCATGACTCTTTAAGTAAGCGTCAATATATTTCTAGATTTTTAAGTACGTAGATGTTCTGATTTGACATTTTTGTAATTGCAATTATCATCATGTTAATATTACTCATAGAGTTGAGTATTCTAATGCTAGGCTTAAGTGATGCCACCGCTCCGAGTTGTCACCAGTTACAAAAATCGCAAGTGAGTATTTTTCAGTCATACTTTTGGAAGAACTACTAAACTTCCTTGAACAACATTTGACTTAATTTTGCATTGTTGTGACGTTTCAGTCTACTGACGTTCTTGAATCTGTCATCATCGTCATCATCAACCCTTTTACGTCCCCACTGCAGGGGCTCAGGCCTTCCTTATGGATGGTTAAGTAGAATGGGGAATGACCCTCCACGCTGGCCCAATGCGGATTGGAGGGTATTAACGAATGCAAATGCAGCCGGGACCAACAGCTAAACGTGCATTCCGAAGCACGGAGAAGCTCGAGATGAAAATTTTTGGTCACCCATCCCGTGACCGACCCTTGCGAAAGTTGCTTAACGACAACGATCTCGGGTCGCGGCACTTATCCACTACGCCACCGAGCTACAAATCTGTACTATTCTGAATTATTTGCGGTAGTTACCTTAATGCAAATACACTCAAAATGTGCTCCGCGGAGGCTTAGAGTAAATTAAAGCGTATATTGGGATCGATGAAAATACTATACTTATATAGTATTTTCAACGTCCCCAATATACGCTTTAATTTACCCTTCTAACCTGATATTAGCAAAATAATGCTAAATATGTAGTCCTAAATATCGCATCAAAGATTTATTCTCAAACTTGCTTACAAATTATTTTAACGAAAGTAAAACATATTTATATGTATGTCTTTATTGGAAATGTCCAATAAACAGTAAACATAACACAGGTTTTGTTTTGGTTTTATAAAAGGGTTAAATCGCCCAAAAAATTTGTTAAATTTATCGAATATAAAACTTATTCAGAGTAGATAATACAATTATTAAGAGTCGCATAATAATTCCATTATCTACAATTGACTTTTACCCTATAAAAATATCAGTAAAGTTTCCATATTTTTCTATTTCTTACTTGTCAACAAAATATCAATTTTGTTTATTCTAGATGGCGTCCCTACACGAACGGATGAACCAAATGATTAGTGCACTTTACTCATCACGTAAGCAAATATTCCTTAAACATTTCTTTTTTGCAACTCCACCAAGACTCGTAGCATGACAACCTCGACAAACTCGAGAAACAGGTCGAGATATTGTATACGGGCGCATCCAAAAGACATTTTAGTGTAGATAAAATGTTTCTCGAGGTCGTCACGCTTTGGTGATAATGAGTCTATTAAGTTAATTTTGTCTGTTTGCCTAATTTTAGCAAAATTCACCGGGTTATTTTTTAATACACATATACCTCAAGGACATAACTCTTTACTGAAAAAATACAGAAAGGATTTTAATATTCATCGTTTCTTCGGATTATTGTAATAACATGCTGTTATTATAAATTAATTACCTAATTTTCTTCTATATCTTAGCGATGTGTGTGATTTTGTCCAGTATATTTTATATATGATTTTCACTAACATTGGGAGTAATCGTTCACAAATATTTCTCTGTATACTTCATTTTTATTTGTCGCAATTTAAATACATCGATGATTGTTGAAGGTGTCTGGTGGAAGGACGTACTTTGCAAACTTTGTATTATAGACAGAAAATATTTTCCAATTCAACATAGACTTTTAATAATATTAGTTTTTGAACGATGTGCAGTTTTGTCAGATTAAAAAATCACGCGCAATCAAGCGATACAAAGCTGAAAAAAATCCTTCGAATTTTGAAAACCTTAATAGATTATTACCTTATTAACCTTGGTAGATTTGAAATCGATTACAAAAAAAGTAACATTGTATATTAACTTGATGTTCTTCAGTGCGCATCTTGCCTATTGTGCCTGAGAGGATATTAGTAGACAATCATCATTACTACACAACACACGTTTATTTGAGCCGATTTTACTGGGAGTTGGCACGAGTTTTTTTAGTGACTACGTATGGCCACTGAACACATTAATTAATTAACTATACACCAAAACACCAATGAATTTCCGTTAATTGGTGAAAGCCGCACGAAGATCCGTTCAGTAGCTTTGAGATTCCCGCGTTAAGATAATTAGACTAAAAGCTATAAGTTATTTAGTAGCTTAAAATTAATTAAATGGAAAATTATCTCAAATACATGATTGTGAACCTTAATATAATTACAATAATACAGTTAAACCATTCTCCATTGATCAGCGATCATATATAGGAGGAGAGGTGCTGCGAAAATCTTTACGACAAAACATAACAATAAACATAAATGTCCTTAAGGAGATTGTCCTCGATAAGCTAAAAATACTATACACATTCATTATTTAGATCGCAAAGTTATTACTATTGTTTATTTAGTAACTATTCAATTAAATGTAACTTGATACAGTACATACAACTACTACCTACTTTAATCGGCGGCTTTATATTTCCGATGAAAATTTTCATACTACCTAAATTAAACTAATTTATCTTTCCTTCGTCTACATATTATTAGGAGTCAGTCAGTTACAGAGTAGGGTTTTTGCACTAATCTAGACAGTTTGTAGACTAAATATTTGATAATAAATATTCAATGTCATTAGCACATGCTTCGCTGGTAGTTCAGTATTCACCCCCCGTGGGGTGATGTATGATGACATATTTATGTGTAACAGGATCAAAATTAAACATTGGAATGGGATAACTTTTTATCGTGTATACTTTTTATTAACTCAGAGAAAAATATATAAAAGTATAAGAACTTATAGTATAAAAGCGACTACAACAGATAAACATAGTTTTTAAAATAAAACTTAAATTGAAGACGTCTGATGACAGACTCACATGATAGTTTTAATATATCGCTTTCCCTGTGGTAGAGACCACCAGAAAGTTTGATTTCCGGCGGGATCAATATATTTAATTGTGTTACTATATAACTTATACTATATTTGAAATATCATAAACTAAATAAAGTTTTTATAGTTTAAAAACATCTTATTTCATTTCAGCGTTTTTAACGAAATCATCGAATCCGAACTTACCCAGTCCGCCGACTTCATACTCAACAAGTGCTTCAACCCCTGACTACACTGGCAATACAGCGTCATCATTCGAATCAAACTACAACTACCCACCGCCTCCCTACACAGCACCATACTCAACTTTTGGCCCTCAGTTCACGTACTCTTACCCGCCATCGCAAGGTTCTCCGACTACTGTTTCCATTTCACCGCCAACACCTAGCAACCCAACCGTAACTATAACGTCCACTTCAGTTCAGAACCCACCTTATCCCCCTCCTGAATTCTCTTATTATCCACCGGAAGGAGGGCAATTAACAGATAATTATTACCCTTCCTCGAAATCTTCGTGGTCTCAGTACTACGAGCAATATCCATATCCATATCCACCACAAGCATCATATCCCCCTCCTCCGCAATGTTCATCATATCCTAATCCTTCATCTCATCCTCCACCTCCTCCTCCTCCTACACAACAACCGTCTCCAACACCATTCTATCCTCCTAATAACCCACAGCAATATCAACAATCACCTTCATACCCGCCACAAAATCCCTCTCAGCAACAATATGCGCAATCATACTCTCCTCCTGGACCAACGTACGCAAGCAATCCACCAATGTCATATTCATCTCCTCCTTCATACACTCCTAGTACCACGAGCTCTTGCCCGTCACAATGTCCTTGCAATTCATCACCCAAACCAGATTATCCTTTTCCACCTTGTCCACACTCATCTTACCCGCCTCAACCACCCCCTGTATGCCCAACTTCTCCAGTTTATAGTCCAGAGTACTATAAATCACAGCCGTATCAAACCCCAAATAACATGATTCCATCATATCCACCAGTACCTTTCTCAGAGCTGTCATATTACACATAAGTTATCCTTTAATTTCTTTAATTTTATATCGGTCTCTCTTTAACTCTCCTATGGAGAGAATATCGATGAGTATACATTCTCTATTATAGGTGTATCCAGCAATCAAGAGTACAATTTTGATTTTTGTGGAATATATTGAATTATGTTGTTTCCTATTTTTATTAAAAAATAAATTATTGTTAAAAATCATCTGTAGTTTGAGTTATGGGAATATAATCTAGATGTAAACTTACTCAACCTTATTTTTTGCTTCGCCATAGGACTTGTTTGCTCTTATCTTGCTTACTTAAATGCTTATGAAACATAAAGGTATTACACAATTTATTTGCTTAAAACGTGTCCTTATTCAGTTACGTTATTTCATAATTTTACTTCTATCATTTATATTACACGCAAAACATTTCTTGAAATATAAACCAACATTTCATAATGAATCGATAACTTTGGTTATAAAAAACATTTCACTAATGTTCTACATTAATAGTGTATCATCGTGCCTGCATTCACCATGGCGCGATTGACGATTTTATTCACTGTTATTCTACAGGTAATAAAATAATACCGAATATTTATTGCAATATTATTTTTTGTTTAATTATACTTGTATTTGCGATTAGGAATAGTTTACAGAAATTATATTGATTTTAGAACTGCTTTACAATTCTAATAAATACTTAAAGTATTGAATAAATATGATACATTGTAATTTGAATCAACATTTTGATAACAAAATGTACATATTTTAATTTCAGATCTCTTTAATCTATGCAAACATCGACATCGACGATGATGACGACCAAGAACAGTCACTGAGACATGTTTTGAAAAACAAACCCATCGAAGAACCCATCACAGAATTTAGGTCAATCGACACGGAATGGATGGATCTGTTCACGCTGCCAAAAAATACTGCATTCCCATCGACATCATCTGCAGCTAAAATGGCACAAGTTTTAAACACTGACAAAACAGCCGAACAACAGTTAGAAGATATGAAAGAAATGGCAAATGAAATAACTCTTTCTATCCAGAACGAAATTGCGCATCTATTATCTTTAGCTCTTAAGAACACAGAGAAAGAGTTACAAGAACACAACTCAAGAAAAAAAAGATCCCCTGAAAGCCCCGTGGACTGTACTCGATTTATCTTGAGATTACTTAACCATATAAAACTCTGCAACGAGCATCAAAACATAGCTATCGAAAAGATGATGACTGCTCAACAGATCGCTGATAAGTTTGGAATCGAATTCACTCCTGATCCGGATATATTCTCTGAGCTCGCCATTGCATCGAGCAAGCAAACGGAAGACTTGGCTAATATTTTACAGGATGCTTATAAAACTAAAAACATTACCAACGAAATAGAATTCATACCATTAGAGGAGGAACCTATTCAGAATCCCAATGAAAATAATACCTATTACGTCTACTCAACTCATGTACCAAAAGAACAGATCGCTGAACAACTAGAAACTCCACCTCAGTATGAATTCATTCCCGAACACATCGATTCACAGTTGCCCGTCAGCCATATTCATTATGAGCCTACACAGTACAGCTACTATTTCAATATTCCACTTGAAACTCAAATCCCAGCTCCCGTGCATGCTCCCGTCAGTTACATGCCCAAGTTCTACGAACCGCCAATGTTTACACCAATGGAACACCATCCGCATTACTACCCAGAGCCGATTACCAAAACTACAACAATAATTCTGCCTATTGACGAGCCAAAAGAGCCTGAACCTGAACTTATAGGAGAAGAATTTGAAGAAACTGTTACTTCTAAGGTAATGGTAGATCGTGGAGACGAGCCTGGGTCGTCAACTGTGAATCATGTAATGACGTATACTATATCAGAGAAGTCCCACTTTAGAACACCACAAATTGAAAATTTACCCCAACAAATGCAATATTATTTCTTTTTGATGTAAATACAACTCACCAAGTGCCATTTCTAAGGGGATTTCTATGAAAATCTTAACGAAGTTTGTGAAAGACATTGTTTGAAAGACATTTAATAATTATTTAATTGAATAATTAAGCTAAAATATTATGATGCGTCACATTATCTTTCACTACATAATCAAAAATGGTCCACTAATAAAACACATGCTTTGAACTTAAACTTTAATAGAATTAAATTAATATACAAACTTATTTATAAATTATTAATCTTACATAATCATTTTTATGTATATATATTACCTTTGGTTAGATTTTGGTTTTAATTTAACTGACTGGTTTACACTCGTCTAATAAAGAAGAACTGGAAATAAACTTAATGGTATTTTTGGTAACAAAATATTACATCAATGCACCTGCAAAATCTCCTATATAATTAAAAAAATATCTATTTCTTACAATTTTGAATGGGTTCTATTTAAACTTAACCAGAAACACTTAACTAACAGCAAATTATACATTTTGATGTGTATATAATTTTCTTTGTGACAAGTAAACGGTAAGTGTAGCTCTAAAATACGTTACAGCTTCTCCAATTATTTAAAATTACATTTTAGCTTATTTCGAATTTGGTAATGTTTCCCTTTAAAAATTAACGGATTTCTATCTCTCTTTTAAAGCATTTCTTTATACATAGTAAACTTTGCAGGCTTAACAAGGATAGTTACTTTATAATACATACTATGTATATAACTTATTTTTAACTTATTAATATTGCTATCGATGGCTGTTAAGGCACTTCAATATCGCTAATGCACAAGGAAAATTCTTTAACGTGGGGTAATAACAAAGATCAAATCGATAGCTGAATCGTATTTGAACAACATTTGCATTGCATTTATAAACTAATAGTAGGATCCTTGGAGAATTTGCTTTTAGAATCATGTGAAAAAGATGAGCCTCTGTTTATAATTGAAATTTCTTACATTTAAATATAACACGTGATACAAAATCACTATCATGAAAAGTAGCCCTAAAAATGTTCAGTACTCAAAGTAAGTAACCGACAACTGTATTTACTATCAAAACCCAAACATAAGAAAAGTTGGTTTTCTACACTAACACAACCGGACTTTCTTGAACCTGAATCTCAAGTATCTACATCACATTACAAATTTATTATTATTTTTTATCGCGTGAATGCTGTCAGATTTAAGTAAACCTAATTTCTTAAAACTTATTTCATTAGAAGTATATCTCGATCTCTTTTATTGTTGATTGATTTACAAAATACAATTTATATGAGAGAAGAAAATGTTTTTGTACTATTTCCCATTGAATTATTATATATATCTCTCTTTATAAAAACTTTTCTTAGAACGCAAAGAACGATTGTTGAAAACAGTAACCGAATTGGTCCAATCGTTCTTGAGTTTAGCTTCTATAACGAATCGTTTGTATTTAAATAGATACATATCTGTCTGATATTAAAATATCTGCACATGTATATTCCTAAAAATATTTTTATTGCTATTCTTTCAGTTATCGCCAAAAAAATACAGCTTAAATCGTTAAAATTTTAAAACAACTGTGTCAGCTCACTGGATTTTTCAATAAACAAAATATATCCATTAGGTGTTTGCTTCCTAATTTTGGTGACAACATTGCTGATTTTTATACTAAAATGTTCTTATTATATGTTCTTCAATTTTGCATTCATTTTCTATATCAAACAACAAAACAAAATAGTAAAAACATAGATATGTATCTTAATTCAAGTAGTGGCAATCAAAACATATGAACTATAATCAAAAGTAGATAGAACACGAAATTTATATTTGTTGCCACATATTTTAATGTAGGAAATAAAAGGGTACTTTCTTTAATACTATTACAGGCATGACGCCTGCGTAAAAAAAGGTAAGATCCATCCATCAAAAAAATATGAGATACGTATTTTTTAGCGTTAAGTTACAGGAAATTACTTAGATAAGAGTTAAAGTTGAGGAGTGGGGGGCTCGCTGCGTCACAACTATGTAGAAAATCTACTGAGTGAGTGACATTTCAACTCAACGTGTCGCTGTAATTATTGCATAAGCTAAAATTGTATTATTTTCCTGATGGACAAAAAAGTTGTTTTTATGTAGTTTACTTCAGCCATCTTAGTTGTTTATTGAATTGAAATCATAATTTTTGATACGGCTTAAACTAAATAACTGTATTCTCTTACCAATCAACTAGCCTCGTTTGTAAAAAAAACATCATAATATAAATAAATATATTTGCAACGAATAAGTTTAATGGGTTGGAAAAGCACTTCATATATTTCTTTCAGCTCAAGACACAGTCGTTTTCTATTGAAACACGAATCACGATTCAAACAAATCACTCAGCATTAAAAAAAAAAAGAGATTTAAATTTCGATCCTCATTGCGACAGTATTCTTACTAGCGCCAACCTTTTGAAGTTTTTGTTTCACCATCAACTGTTGTCTCTGTCTCTCCGAAGATTGTTGTCTTTGCCCACAAAATTATCACATACCGATTCCGATGCTTAGATGGTTTGGCTACCTGTGGGCATAGTACGCACTATATGCACTATTGTGGCCACCATGAGGTTGGTATCTGTAATGCAAAAATATATATATTTTCATCAGCCCTTTTACGTCCCCACTGCAGGGGCTCAGGCCTTCCTTATGGATGGTTAAGGAGGATAGGCCATACCTCTCCACGCTGGCCCAATGCGGATTGGAGGGTATTAACGACTGCAAATGAAGCCGGGTCCAACGGCTTAACGTGCCTTCCGAAGCACGGAGTCGCTCAAGATATTTTTTTTGTTGGTCACCCATCCCGTGACCGACCCTTGCGAAAGTTGCTTAACGACAACGATCGCGGGCCGCGGCGCTTATCCACTGCGCCACCGAGCTGCTCGATATATATTTTAATAAATGAAAATGTCCACATACAGGTCACTCGCCTATTTATTAATGCTGCTTTTGATTTCCGTGAAATTGAAGTTTTGTATATTGCCATAGGTCTTACGAAAAAACAACTTAATTTGTGATTTGTACTACGAAATAACTGCTATTTATGTTAAGTAAGTTGGACCCGCGCTCGAAGGGTTTCGTAGCGAAAACGAGCAAAAAAAATTAAGTTTATTGAAATGGAGCCTCTTTATTTTATTCTATTTTTTAGTATTTGTTGTTAAAACGGCATCAGGAATACATTATGTGTGAAAATCTCAACCGTCTAACTTTTACGGCTCATGAGAGCTTGGTGACAGACGGCGAAGTCTTAGTAATAAGATTCCCGTTTTACCATTTGGTACTATCGAACATTATGTAAGTAGGTAATTCTTTGAAGTAATGAAAGACATTTCTCTGGAATATACATAAATCAATCTTATTACATTTTTAGCTACTACCCCTACAGCTAGGGTTGCCAGATGGTCGGGATTCATCTGGATTGTCCAGACATTTTGTATGATGTCCAGAGTCCCGAAAAAAAAAATATGTCCCGACAAAATCTGTTAGATTCTGTAAAATCGAATTACAAGTATAAAAAATAAAATAACACACATATCACAAAAAAAAATTTTTAGGTATTTAAATGTTATACCATTATTATATGATCTTATAAATTGAAAAAAAGTAGAGACTTGTTATTATTATAAAATTTAATAAATTAAAAGTGGATTTTATTATTTTTTTTTGTCCTGACTGTGATCCCAAAATTCCGACTTTTTCAAATTTTGTCCAGATATTTTAGTCTCGCTATCTGGCAACCCTACCTACAGTGGAGGCGTCCAAAAAGATTACAAATCATCATGAAAGGACAACGCGAATTCGAACATGAAAACGTTAGATTTAAAATATAAGCGGCCTGTATTAACCATAGATCGTCCGGAGAGTAAATCTATAGTAATTTGAGTATTGCCCATAAACCGCCCGGAGAGTAAATCTACGCACGGTAGTCACGGTACTGACCGTACAGGTGCATGAGCCGCGTACAGCGGGCCGCAGCCGCTGGGCTCCGCCGCGTACGGCTGGCTGAGCTGCGGGCACGGCTCCACCGCGGGCACGTCGCGGCGACGGGGCGCGCCTCGCTGCTGACTCTGCTCTGGTGGACTGCAGGAAATACTTTTATTACTTTATAATCGACGCTGGAAAGCAAACAAGTAGTAACCTGCAGAACAAAAATGGATATTTAAAGTGGGATATCTTTATATCTTTCCAAAAAAAATATCTTATTTCCGTATTCATTGACTAAGGAACACTTTATTTGTTACCATGGATGTTTATAGGAATTATTTATGGAAAAAAAATAGTTTTTCTGCTCTGAAGAACAATTTTGGTTTTGCGGGTTATTACGTGTTTGCTTCCCAGCGAAGGTAGTATAAAAATCTAGTTGTTTTTCTACGACTACGCTCCCGTAAATGATACATGAGTGTAAGAATTTTTTAAATCGGTCCTTGTTACAGAATCTGAGTACACAAACAATGAAATATTTCATCTTTATAATATTAGTGTGGACCTGGGTGCCCGAAATGAGATTCGAGCCTGTAACCTTTCCGGACGATTGCTCTAATTAATTGAGCTACCTGAGACCTTTTTTTTTAATCGCTGGGGAAATGCAACCTTTAGGGCTCTCCGATCGTCCTAAAAAGAGTAGGCTTAAGCGAGACAAGCTTGTATGGTAAAACCCGCTACGAGTACCCTTGGGAAAGGGATAGTTATTTTTGATTCCGAGATCAAGAAAGCCAAAGTTGAGCCTATTACGCAAAACCAAAATTGAGATGTAATAGGCTCTTAAGAATTTTTTGAATATTAATTATTGAATAGCACACTAACTGGATAATTATATAAAATAGTATTAATGCATATTTAACAAAAAATATATCACTGTAAAAGAAATTAACATAAAACACGACTGCCATTGGTGCTTAAATGTGATGTAATCTTAAAACAAAACATTAATGAAACGAATATGTAATTTCGATTTCATATTGAAATCAAAGTGAGAGAACAACT